AATCTATTTTGACAATAATACAGTAGTATACTTTCAACAAAAGTTAGATCAAAAAATATTAATACATATATTTTGATCTAACTTTTGTTGAAAGAGCTCACCAAATAGATGTGAAATTCAACTCTGTGTGTGAAATTACCTAACTATTAATAATTATCTAACTTTTTTGTTGATTCTCCATTGTATGAAAAAAAAAAAAGTATAGGTAGGACCACAACATTAGGTAAATGTTTATAACAATTTACTAGAAACCTATATCTATAGGTAGGTACAATATTTATTGCGATCTCGCAAATATTTAGATGTTTATCTATGAAATGTCTCCGGCGACGCACTTTAGTTTGATTGATAGACTTCCGGTATTGAAATATTCATTTTGAAATATTTCACGAATTCATATAAAATAATCAATGTATTGTATGTACCTATATCATCTCGTGTATTTTGAATGTCTCTGTTCTATAGTCGAATGTTCGAGACATCAGACAACTGACGTTGGTAATTGTTTTTCTTATCATTTATTTTATTTATTCTACCACTCATTCAGAAAATAGACTTGACACAAAAAGATCTGAACGTTGCTCTTTTAAATAAATGTTGCTCAGCATTACATTTTTTATATTTTGTGTTAATACAAATTATTAAACAGAAAAGAAAGTACAATAAACATACTATTATGGCACTTATCGGCCATTGACTCTACTGTGGCTTAGGTGTTACCTTTAATTTATATGTCAGAGATGTTGCTGTAGAGCAACACATATGCACTGCTGCTTTACATATATAAAAAGGTAAGAATATTGTGTGTAAATACGTTAGTGGTTGATATGGATGGATGTTTGTTACTCTTTCACGGAAAAACTACTGAATGGGTTTTGATGGAACTTCAGAGTAATATAGCTTATACATCAGCTATAGTTTAACACATAGGCTATAGTTTAGAAATATATTATTTGAATTGAGCGAAATATAATGATAAATGTCAAGTAAGTGTTATACAGACGAAGTTGCGCGGATCAGCTAGTTCGTAATACAATCTAATATTTAACTTTATAATTACTTATTCAGGTATATGCCTATTAGTACTCACTATTCACGTAGGTATTCCAAACTATCTACAAGGAAAACAAAGGAGCAATGTGTACAAATAGAATTTAATAATATTATATATTACTTTTTAATTTACAAAACTCTATACCTATTGATTGATAATAACACTACGTTATACGTATATTATACATTTTCTTTCATAAAATTAATGACACACATTCAATATAATAAAGGAATCAGGTCAGTATCTACTTACTTATGAGAGAACAAACACTTTCTAAAACACACTAAACTATATTGTATTAGTGTACGGTTTATATCACGGGACAGGAATTTGATAAGTGACTGGTTTTTAATAAAAATTGCTGATTAATTAATTGATACTAGTACGTCAACTCGTAATGAAAAGATAAGTAGGTAATCGCCAATTTATCTCTAATGTAAACAAACTTTTCGTCACCGGCTGACTGACTATCAACGCACAGTTAAATCGCAATCGTAAAAAACTTTAATAAACACTAACCAGATAAATAAATATTTACCAAATATTGAACGCTTAAAATAGTTACTCCACCAATACAGAAGATTCCTTGCTAAATAAAGACTAAATTATTATGCCATATCTTTCCATATGACAAACTCTACATATATCTACCCGTTCGGTGGCTCATTTTACTAATATTCCAAACGCGGAAGTTTTATGAATGTGGATGGATAAATGTTTGTTATTCTTTCACGCAAAAACTAGAATGAATTTTAATGAAACTTTCCAATTTATATATATTTATACATCAATATTCTATAAATATCACGCGGGTGAAACCGCGCTAGTCGTTTATAGATGAGGCAGGTAATATAAGATGTCTGAAAATTACAATGGTAAAATTAGTCAATAAAATTGACACCAGTGATTTGGCGGTGCTGAAGTATGTAGATTAGGAAGTTAGGTTAGTATCCTAAGTACGACTAGAGCATCCTATAATGACGTCAATTTCCGACTATTGGCTCCTGACCATGGTGACAGAACCATTAATCAAGGCTGCTACTCGCTATGCAAATAGATGAATAATGTTTGTTTTTTTTTTTTTGGTCTGACGAGACATTACATCATCTTCAATTAATGTTTAATTTATAAAATCTATAGGTATATACCAAGTTTTGTGTAGTGAGATAAATATTTAAGTAGGTACCTATTCTTTTAACTCTAATATACCTAATTGAAGTTATCTAAGTATAATTAACTTGCTGACACGACTACATTTTTTTTAAGATCCTGTTACACGAAAGCATTTAGGATTTTATCTTCGACAGACAATCTAAAGTTAGTAAAAAAGGGTAAGATAACAAAAAAAAAAATAACCCAGTGTTGTCCATTAAATTGCCATACCTAGTCAGGAATATGTTATTGGTGTCATTTGAAGTACTAAGGAATTAATAGAAATATATTTCTAAAACACACAAAACATTCATAGAAATCGCCCAGACAAATAGAAACCATCATGTTCAAGAGTACAAAAATCGAATCTGCCTGCCTGTCTGTTGTTTATAGATCAAGAAGAAATGTAAAAAGATCACATTTGGATAAAAATGAAATTTATAGAAAACCTCGATTGGAGGAAGACCCGGTACCAGTAGTGCACTGCCCATGCGGTGTATCGATATATCGCATTTGTTAAGAGTAGCCTGATATGGACATGAAAGGTCCATTTGTGGAGGCCTATCTCTTACAGCTTATGAATATAGGTAGAAAGGACAGAGTCACTTAAAAATATATTATAAGGTATTATAAAAAACATTACAATATATAACTAGATATTCCTATTTAAAGAGAAATTGACACAATACCCAAAATTAATGTATTTAGAGAGATCAAAATGTTACACTTGATAACAAGCAAGGTCACTAGCGATAAAACTTAAATGTAGACTTGTATCAAGGTACAGTTAAATTCTTACTAAGACTTGATTTATGTCTCGCGTTTACCAACTGTACTCAGATTTAATAATAATAATTATTATAATAACACTTCATTGCAGACTTTTTTTATGCTGAAATTAATTTATGGTATATAAAAAATCGAGATATACGCAAAGACATAAATTTGCGTATATCTCGATTTTTTATATACCTGTAAGAAGTTATGTTGAAATATATATTGAAAGGCTTTCAATGTATTAATCTAACTAGGTTTGATTTAAATAATAGATTGCAATATTAATACAAATTTTTAACGGCGTTTCTATCGCTGGAAAGTTGGTCTGAAATATTTTTACGGCGTCTGCCATATTTGAACTCGCGACCTATCTGTCGAGGTACTAAGTATAGATGTATATTGTATTTAACTAAAAGAACATCAACAATGACAAAGACATAGATGTAGAGAGTTACTTTTTGGGATTCGAGTAGATTTATAAAAAAGTTCAATATAAAAAAAAATTAAATAAGAAATATATTAATTATACTACTTACCACAGCAACTTTCATTATTAAAAAAATACGAAAAATAATTGGGCACAACTGAAACGGAACGTATCAAACGTATAGTTAATGTGTTATTACATTGTGCTAAGCGTATTCTTTTATAGTGACGGCTAGATAACCTACACCGACCCGGGTAAATATTTTAAGATTCGCTTATTTAAACACACTAAGGTTCCATTGAACATACATACGTCGTTTTCCTTTATGGATTCCGCTAAATTTACTCATTTATTTTGACAATGTTTACAAAGTCTGCTTGTGGACGCAAATATTGATTGTTTCCCGTGAAAGGTGGTGTAATTGTACGATAGTGTTATTTATATTAATTGTTTTTGTTTGTTAACAGGAAAATTACTAAAAATATAGGTATTAATACTGAGAATATTGTTGTTTTTATTATTTATGCCTGAAACAACTGCAATGGTAGTTCTGTAAGATTGTATTTTTGTATGTTATCCCCTATATTTGCTAAATCGAGTTCCGTATTTTTTTATTTAATAATAATTTTGTTAAGTTTAAAGTATACACCTAACTAAATTTAAATTTATGGAACAAATTAATTAAACTTTAAAGTACTCCGTATTTTTTTATTTAATAATAATTTTGTTAAGTTTAAAGTATACACCTAACTAAATTTAAATTTATGGAACAAATTAATTAAACTTTAAAGTAAAATTTAATTAATTTGATATTTTTTTTATCTAGTCCCAAGCTAAGCAGAGCTTGTATTATGGGTACTAGACAATTGATACATAGTTTTTTTTAATATATATGTACATAATATACATAGAAATCACCCAGACCGACACAAACAATGATACTCATGTTTGTACCGTGCGAGAAATCGAACCCGCGACCATCGAATAGTAAAGCGATATGCTAAACCACTACACCACCGAGGCTGTTAATTTGATAATATGTCATTCAAAATACGCTAAACGGTTTAAAAATAAATCTATAGAATAAAGATATCAAATTCTATAAAAAAAAATGTATCTACCTAATTTTTGTAAATTATTAATTTAAAAACATCTATAAAAATGTGATATGTAGGTGCTTCGTAAAAATTTTGAATTAAATAAAGTGTTATTAATTTTTTCAGGCAGGTTTTCCACTTAAGTATATGTTTTAATTAATATAAAACAATATTTATCATCCAGCTTATTCATTTTTGAGGTTAGTTTTTCATTTTCATAGAATTTTACAATCTATGTACATATCTAAATGCAAATTTTTAGAAATATAAACTGTTCTAACGTAAATTGCTTTGTTGTAATTAATTAACAATGATTAACACGAAATTAACTAAATATTGTCCACTTTTTGCTGTTTCATAATTACGGACAACTAAGAAAATCGAATGTGAGGGAGATGTGGAACACACCTCGGGTTACCAACAGTGAAATTAATTATTGTGACTGAGTAATGTTAGTATCAGATTTTTTTTTTTTTTCCATACAATTAATAGAGATATACCAAATTGTCACAAAGTACAATAGATTTAGTCATTCGAGCTGGATGTGAACCAACGAACTATGTAACAATTAATTGGTAACCAATTTATCGATTACTTATGGTGAATGTTTTAATTATATTATAATTAAAACATTTATCAATCAATGATATTTACGCAACTATTGTTTTAATATAGATCTTCGTAAAGTGTCTGTGAACTTCAATCAAAACACCAGTTAGTTTATTTACTTGCTGATTAGTGTCCCATTGCTATCAATGTACCATGTTCTATTTACTTCCACACGATCCCCTAAAGAAAACATCGATTTCTGCTGAATTCGCTACGTAGAGCTTATCTCATAACATATCCGTGTCTTGACCGCTTAATCGATTGTCATATTAAATATTTGACATGGAGAAGATCACAGTTCACGTTAAATAATTTCTACAAAACTTTGATTATAATAAAATTATGCTATGATTATTCTCAGCATGCTTACATAGCGTTAGAATAGAACCTTTTGAAGGGTGCTGATCACATGACATAAGAGTACTTCTAATAAGATATAAAAATATTGTACTAAAACAATTTAAATGTATTTTAATAATATAGCAATTTGGTGATATTATTGTTAATTGAAATGAAAATGACAAACCCAATTCGGAATAATTACTAGACAGCTGTACAAGTATCTTTCTTTTCCCCAAACTAATGGATACAGATTAATAAAAAAAATAAAAATGTCAAACTTGCTTAAAAACGTCCACGAAGGAGCTCTCAATGTTTTTAGTTCTGAAAATACTTATTTAGTTTCAGGAACGTATGAATATTATCATTATTTGTGTGATGGATTTGATGACAAGGTGGTTACTGTAATAAAAATTTGTATAACACGTACACAAAGTCATGAATTTGAGGTTAATATGTTTATTTTGCAGGGTTGGGGATGTGGCTACAGAACTTTGCAGACAATATGTTCCTGGATGAACTACAACCATCAGAATAAGGATGTTCCCTCAATCAGAGAAATACAGGATATTCTGGTGCAATTAGAAGATAAGCCAAAATCATTTTTAGGATCAAGACAATGGATTGGCAGTTTTGAAGTAAAAATGTCACATTATTATATATTTTAAGATTTTTCAGAATGCATTGTGTTATTGTTAACTTTAGAATATGAGTGTAACTTTTTCAATAAATACTAAAATGTACATATAGAATTATAATAATAATAGAATTTGGGTTAAGTACTTGCAGACACTGAATAGAAATTTCAGGAAATATCTGCCACATTTTTGTATTGTCATATATTAGCGTTTGTAAAATAGTAGTTGTCTTTGGTAACAATGTTTTCCTATTTGGTTAGAATATACAAAAACATTGCTAAACTGCTATACCGCAGAGGCTGTGTTGTTTGGTTTTCTTTACAGTGTGCACATTGTGATAGTTGACTTTGTACAAGGTTACCTTAGTCTGGTAAAGAGTATAATTATTATTGTAATTGATTATATTGCTCCTATAGCAGCTGCAGAGAATATGTCATAAAGATTTAAATAAGTAGAATAATTAAATAAGTAGAATAAAAATATCGTCATATTTAACTATCACATTATTTATAATTAAATGTGACAATATTTTAATAACTATAAAGATAAGATGACAAGATTCTATCATTTTATATGTTGTAGGAAAACAATGTATGTGTATTTACATTAAGCCATCAACGACTGGATCAATTAGAATTGTAATTGAACAGCCTGTTAACTTTATAAATACTTCTTAAACATTTTGTTTGTAAACATTATTATTTTAAATTTCAGTATTAAATATGTTAATATTTACAGGTATGTCTGGTTATAGATAAGTTGTATGATGTCCCATGTAAGATAGTACATGTGAATAAAGGAGATGAGTTGCAGAAAATAGTTGACATTCTAGTGAACCACTTCAAGACGTTTGGGAGCCCCATAATGATGGGTGGAGACATTGATTGTTCATCTAAAGGAATCATGGGCATACATTTGGATGAAAGGGATGCAAGTTTATTGATAGTGGTTGGTAATATTATATCTTTATAAGTTCTCATTATGTAGTAAATAATGAGTTTCAATAATAAAGCTAACCTGAGGAAGTGAATGATTACACATCACATTACTTCCGCAAATTTGCTTAGCTTAATTAAAATAAAAATTGTAATATGAAGTTGTATGTCCCAAAATGATTTATACTATAATGTTTTAAAACTAGAATGACAAATAAGACTATGATTACAGACCTACTGAAAGATTAATGTCCGATCTTAGGTGGCAAACATCACCTATAGACAAGTAACTAAATTTGTGATATATATGGTAGCTAGCTAAATTAACTAGCTTTGTTAATTCTCTCATTATATTTCAGGATCCACATTATGTTGGCAAAGAACAGACACAAGAATTTCTTTTTAATAAGGGTTGGGTAAAGTGGCAACCACTACGGGACTTCTTAAGCTCTTCTTTTTACAATTTATGCCTACCACAAGTTAAAGCACAGTGTAAAAATACAAGAAATTACATTACATAATGATGATATGTAAATATAGACATATATACATAACATATATTTTTATGAAATAAAATTATTCCATTTATATTTTAATCAGTCTTTATTTAAAATCTATAACTACGGTAGACTTAAATGTTGTAATACTGACATTTTCATATCATTAAAATAATAATATTGACAATAGGTATACATATTAATTATATTTACTAGTCAAAATAACAGGATAAAGCATTGACGGTCAATTATAACAAACCAATAAATATTAACTAAACATTAAACTTCTTATTGTTTGGTTTAGAATACTTATTCAATAATACTTATATAATGTGACTCTACAGAATAATAAATTTATAAAGAAGGCTGTCATTGATGCTGAATTAGTAGACTAAAAGACGCAAATGCGAGGCTAAATGTGGAAGATAGAGTCAACATACACTGAATTGAGCCTATGGCATTATGAATCTTATTAGCTATCAGTCATTAAATACTACTTGACTATAAAAATTCAGTTGATTGTAACAAACCAATAATAGTATTGATATTAACTCAATATAAAATTCCTTATTGTTTGGTCTAGAACACTTATTATATATTTATATAATGTGACTAGAGTACGAGTATAATAGTTTCATAAAGAAGTCAGTCATCGGTGTAAATATAATGAAAATAGTTTAACATACACCGAATTGGATGTATGGTATTATAAACCTTATAAACTATCAGTCGTTAAACATATGAAAATTCAGTCTGTGTTCATGATTAAACAGACCCCCTGTAGGATCCAGTGGCTGCAGTGTTCCGCGGTCCACAGGTCTGACTCGAATACCAAGCCTACGCCCATAGCGTTGCGTCGCTGCGACGTGGTATATACAGGCGTCCGTAATGTATTCTGTAAGAAATTAATATTATAAATACTAACTCTTAACTGCCACTTGGTCGGCTTTTTTAGATAAAAGACACCTTACGCTGAAGTATATATATACAACCTAGTTATCAGAATCTGTCTTCACATCAAATTTCATCCAAATGAGTTCAGCCGTTTAGGTCTGAAACGACTCTGGTGTCACAGGAAGTTTACAATCTAGAACAGCTTTTCGTTGCTAGAGTTTTTTATACAATATAATAATGGGTTGCCATGACCATACTAATAATAAAACTATTGCATTAACAAAAAGTGACCTTATCTTCCAAAAGCAATGTCCTACAGACAATCTGATAATATACAAACACTTCGAAATGTAGACCGTGCCGAACACTGACACTTTAAAGTTGTAGACTGATACCCTTCTTTAAAAATCGTTACATTAAATGACGTTTTATATAAAAAAAAAACTTTTGAAACCGTATTTTTTTGAGTGGATCCTATTCCGTCGCTCTACTAATGCCTACCATACATTGTTTTATTAAACACATTCTTTGAATAGATTGACTTGCACGAATCTTATACAACAATAACATATTTATAATAGGGCGCTGGCCGCTGGCATATCAATAGGACATTGGCAGAGCGGGAAAAATACCACAGAGCCCCGCCCGAAAGGAATCAAAAGACGGAGAACACAGGAAGATTTTAAAAAGTATAATATGAAACTGTTTTAGATATAGGACGTCCCAATCTGATGAATTTATGGGCCTCTATTAAAGTTACGCCACTGGTTATACCCATTCCGCCAGAACCTGATTCTAAAGCAAATACTATAATTTTTCTACTGAACAAACATCCTTTTAGAGTTTGTGTGCATATTTATTTACGTAATTTGGCGTTCGTAGCGGAAATAACTATTTCCAAATTATTCTACAACTATAAGGTCATGGCTGCAATTTACTAAAATTTTGAGACGTTGTGAGGATTATTGTTCTGGTGAATTATATTACGACAATTTTATAGATGGTTGAATTTTAAAAATTTCCATATACCTCCTTGTTAAAATTAATATGTACGCTATTGTACTTACGTATTTAATACAAAGCATTTCTATAGTATTAACAAAGTGAAGGGATATGTATGTTTCACTTGCAAGTATATAATTATAAACATATTATGTATGTTTATAGTAGATACTATAATCTCTGTTATGAGTATGTAAGATACAATATTATCTGTGTTAGGAGATGCTTTTGATCTAATAATATATTAATATGAATAATATAATCCAAACAAAATTCAAACATTTGGATAGAAAAATCAAAATTGTACAAATAATTCTGTGCGTACGTTTTCTATTAGGGATGAACTAATGGCAATTGATGTCAAGATTGCCGAGACCATGATAAAAATTTAGCCGTACAAAGCAAGGAAGGAATGCTGTAAAATACGGATTTTTTATTTAATTATCTAATGATTCTTCAATTATCACAAAATTCAATGATATTGTGTGGTACCCATATAACATATAGTCCTAAACTTGATAGCTTTCATCGACACAAAAATGACATGATAATCAGCTTACTTGCAGTTTCAACTTGTGGAACTCTATGGGTATGATGTACATGATGGGCAGCTCGGTGACGAGGACCTTGGGATGCGAGCGTCGCAGGCAGCCCTCCTCCAGATCCCACCGCGCCCCTTCCAAGTACAGTCCGCGAACATAGCAACCCTACATCATATACTGGATCAATGATATATGCTACAAAGTTTGATACAAACGTTTCTTTCTAAAATCTTGTATTTAAATACAAGATGGAAATTTTATATTGTATTTCAAATACTAATATTTTAAAAATGTCACATCTGTTCCCCGCTGTTAACTTTCATACTTAGATATTAAATAGCCTATAACCTTAAGAACTGGGTTATCAAATGTAAAAATATTTTTTATTGCTGCCTCTTTATACTTATATATTAATTATACCTAACTATACTTCTTTAATTGGGGAAAGGGAATTGTTAGTAATGCGGACTGATGACCCCATTACTAGCCATTGCTGTACCATGCCAGGTTGTGCCACTCCGTTCTCCTTGGCAAGAATTATGTTCGTAATTAGTGAATTTGCCACGATAAGCTAACGGATCTGATCTCATACTGATCTTATCATCCTCCACTGGTGCCCCGCCAACGTAAACCGTTAGCGCAGACTGGTGCACCATTTCATTATTATTAAAAAAAAATATACATAATTGGAAAAGCCTGGCTTTTACTTCTCTTTCTACTGGGGCTTATTGGAGTTTCTTGTAATGCATAACTATGGAGTGATGCCTATACCTAATTTATACCGCTGGCGAGGCACAAGTGGAGATGACGTCATTTCATAGCGTTTACCACTAGGTGATTTCTAGGGGCGCCAGTACCGCGTCGGGCTCGACCTGATCCTCCTGATCTAATCCCCTGATCTCGGCTCAATGGAGTTGCGGTATACCTTTTTTATATTGACAGATGCTTTAAACTTGTAGCACTGCGATGTGCTCGTACTTTTTATGCCTAGGTGACCATATATTCTTTGACTCAAAACGGTACATTCGTAAAGGGATAGTCCCGTGCAAAACGGGATGTCTGACGTTCGGTATACTGTATACTTACCGTGAGTGGACGCTCCTCGATGTCGTCGGCCGAGGTCCAGCGGGTGACGCGCGTGAACTGCGTGGAGCGATCCAGCGGCCAAGTGTACAGTCGGCACGCGATCTGCACGTGCGCGATCAGGTATGATTCCGGGATGTGCAGCCCCGACAGCCACACCACCACCGGCTCTTCGATAGTCGCCTGAAAACACACACCCAGCTGTATGATGTACGACGAAAAAAAATCACAGCGCCCCATTGTTTGCAATTTTACAAAGCACAGATCAGGTCGCATATGGAATATTCTCATATCTAGCGGGAGCACCATAAAATCATTACTTCCATTTGATCGCATTCAGAACAGATCAGCCAGAACATTGGTAATCAGACTCGACGCATTGGCTTTGCGGCTAGACGTTTTCTAACGCATATATTACGAAGTGTTCGGATTAATGCCGCCGCTGAATTTAACCATCGTACCCGCCATAAACTAAAATATCATCCCGATTATCTGGATGAATGGCAGTCTTCCACCGTGCGTTTTTTCATAACCACATAGTGGAATTGTGTTCCAGAAATGGTATTTACGAACAGAAATGATATTGAAACCTTAAAAGAGCCATTTTAAAAGGCCGGCAATGCACTTGCAATTCCCCAGTTACTAGTGGGGCGGCGGTAATCACTTACGCAAACTCGTTTGCCCCTACGCCATAAAAAAACCAAACTGCACTTTCACTAGTAATTTCATTACCTAGACTAGGTCTAGACTAGCTACTACCGACTCTAGGACCTAGAGAAAATATGTCGTTCGTACCCAGTCCCTAATTAATCTCATCACCATTTCGTTTCGTTTATACCCAGTTCATGTTATCTCATCACCTAGAGAAAATGTGTGGTTCGTACCCAGTCCGTGTACTGCTTGGTGCGTGCAATGAAGTGGTCCATCCATCCGCCGAGCCTCTTGCAGGTGGCCGGCGCCAGCTGTCGCCACACGAGTGGCAGCTGCCCGTTGAACAGGCTGTACGACACGTTGTCGAGTACCGCGTCCATACCGATCTCGCCCGCAAGAGCTTTGCGCAGCAGAGACAGGGTGCTTCGCATGCGGCTGATGAGCCGATTGAACCTGCCATATAGACGGAACCTTTCGTTGTAATTACCATTACATACTACAAATATTTATTTATATTACTAGCTGTCTCGGCAAACGTTGTTTTGCTTTAAAATAAAAAAAAAAATAGGGGTGGACTACCCCTAACATTTAGGGGGATGAAAAATAGATGTTGGCTGATTCTCAGACCTACTCAATACGCTCACAAAATTTCATGAGAATCGGTCAAGCCGTTTCGGAGGAGTATGGGAACGAAAACTGTGACACGAGAATTTTATATATAAGATTATAATATATATAGTATAAAGGTATCCGCAGAATACCAGCGTCGTATAATTTATTGCCTCTTAAAGCATATTTTAAATATTATAATTTTTTTTACTGATTGCCAAAATGGCCGTTTCTAATTCAGAAATGTGCTCTAACACTATATCTATTCCCATGATTCTTTGTGCAATAAATAAAATAGTTACTATTTTTGAAGTTTCTATAGGTACCGACTATTATTGTTATAAATGACGTTGTAAACCAACAGAACAAAATCTTATTATCAATATTAAAAAACCTATTTTTCATAATAAAATTATATTACATTTAAAAATGTGTTGCAATTGCACATCTCTTACTTTCTACTTACTGTCTAATCTCCATCTAAATCCTGCTACACAGTAATTAAAAAGACAGCAAACGAACACTATTGAATAACAAATCTGTTACCGTACCTCTCTAGTTCTTGTAACAACACAACAAGTGTGGGGGTTATGTTCATTTCGAATTGTTTGCGCACGCGCCAGATCTCGTAGACTGCGGGCAGCTTGCTCATCACGTCCACAGCGATCATGTCGATGAAGTCTTCTCGACTCATAGCGCCGCCGCTCTCGCCTGATTGGCATTTTTTTTACTCTCATTTATATGGTTTTATATTGATATATGTAATGCTGAATGGCATTTATTTAAAAGAGCCCCAAACTTGCTTTTCCTTGCTTGTGACGATTCTGCTTTCCGAATGAGCGGTAGAATCAAAACATATTGACTAATCAAAAATGCTTATATAAACAACTACAACTAGCTACCCGCCCCGGCTCTACACGGTTATAAACGTATTATACATATAAACCTTCCTTTTGAATCACTCTATCTTTTACTAAAAACTGCATTAAAATCCGTTGCGTAGTTTAAAAGATCTAAGCGAACAGACAGCGGAACCGACTTCATTTTCTACTATGAAAAGATAATAGGCCAATATATCACGATTTTATATTTTTCATCCTCTGTTTATTTTCATATGTGCAATATTTACTACTGTAGGTATATGGACAATTATTAATTTAATAATTAATTTAAAACGTTTATTATAATAGATAAATATATTTAAATTATATACTCACCTGATACATCTTTCCTCACTAGGATGCATTAATAATAAAATTGTTATAATATTATACACTTAATAATAAATAATAAATTACAATACAGTTATATTATTTTATTATCTTATTTATAAGAAGACAAGTTTAAGAAACGATTTGTTACGTACAAAGTTCAAAATGTGTAATAGATTTGTTATAGAAATATCATATTTTAGTTACTTACGTTCCGATTTTCTTACTGGCAGCGTAAAATAATAGAAAGTTGGATTAAAAAATTGATTGATTGTCATTTTATATAAATAACCATTGCCACCTGGTAAGTCTTGTACCAAAGTAAGCAAGAGTTATATTACGAGTACTTGACGAGTGATAAAAATACTTATCAACACAAAACGTTCGTACAAAAATGTGGTGATGATGGTGAAATGTAATGTTTAAACCCCCTTGCTAGAAATGTACCATCAGGTGTATCTGCACGTGGTTACAACATAATAAAATGGTGAATGGCTAACTGACCTGAACTCATGTTCATCTTATCGTTTTGCATTGGTAAAAGGCGTTAGCGCAGACGGGTGCACCATTCCTAACCGCTGACGGCCTCGGCGGTCTAGTGGTTTAACATACCGCTTCCGATGGTCGCGAGTTCATTCCTCGTGCAGTACAAACATTTGTATTCATAAGTATGGTTGTATTTATCGTTTTCAGTGTTTTATATGTACAATATGTACGTATATACAAAATAGAATGTCCAAATATTTATATTACTTGTATAGTACCCTTAACAAACACTCTGCTCACCTTATCTATTAGAAAAACGTTACTTCTAATCGATGGATTCAATTATAATACACGTTACGCGGAGGAACGAAGATTGTCTTAAAGAAAGTGTAGGTATAACATGAATGTGGATGGATGCCGGATGGAAAGGGAGAGGACGCGCTAAAAAAAGATGGATTGATTGTGTGAAAGATGATATGACTAACGGGAGAGTATGGTCAGATATGACAGCCGATAGGGAAGAGAATGCCATACTGCGCCGACCCCAAATAGTGGGATAAAGGCAAGGCAATGATGAATTATAGAGGCACGTGAAGATAACAATAGATTAAATGACTTACTTGTCTGCGGTTGTAACTCAATAAGGTGTCCCCACATCTCGCGCACGGCCTGACTGAAGTACCCGATCTCCGCGTTGGGGTGCAGCCCGAACACCTCGGGCGTGTTCGCTAGCGGCAGCGTGTCGATGAACTCTGTCGCATATTGTATAAAATAAATGATCTCGCAATTAAATTCAATAAATTAGAAAATATTAGCAAAAAGTCAACGGCACGTGGTGTTCCCAGGCGGTCACCCATCCAAGTACTGACCACGCCCGATGTTGCTTAACTTCGGTGATCGGACGAGAACCGGTGTTTTCAACATGGTATGGACGTTGACAACGTTGTTTTACAATTTTGTGATTACAATTTTCAATACCTTATTTATTTATTGTACGTAATCTATTATTATCACAGGTGTTCTTGTTTTCGCTGCGCAAGTCGATGCCGAACGTGATCTTAGCGAAACGTTTAAGAAACACTAAGAATGTAACTCATCATCGACATGTCACTAAAAATGTAAACAACGATATTTTCTGTTGTTTGGCCGTTGGCCGCAGCTGACATTTACAGCTTACAGCAAGCATTTGTGCAATACACAATTGCCGACGATTATTGTTTAACTGTATCGTTTTTAAATAACTAACTTAAATATAAGTTTTAAATTAAGTTAAAATCATGAGGCTTTACTACTTTGTAAAACTATGTATTGTAATTATAAATTGTTGATTACCTAAAATAAATGTGCAAGATAGCGCTTTATAAATTGTCTTATTAATATTAAAATAATAAAAATATATATACCGATATACTCCTCCCTCTCGCCCTCTGGCGGTATCACGTAGTCGAACACCGCGTCGTGGTAGAAGTGGAACGGCTGGAACTTGTCGAACAGGAACTCCCCCATGTACTCCTCCATATAGGTACGAACCACGCGACGATCGAAGTCGTCGATCACACGACCCCCGTACATCACCTGCATATGAAATAATATTAAAGCCGTAAAATTTCTTGAAATAGTTGAACACGTATCACGTAAATTAAAAGGCTCACAATAAGACCACACACACACACTCGCACTGCTCTTACTTATTTTCGGCCCGTATGTGTGGTATATGCAACTAAGCGCAAAAAACAGCGAATGCTGTAAAAATGAAGTAAATAATTCAGACACAAAAAGATTTTATACCTCTCCGAAGAGATATTTGAGGGTTGCCCAGGGTATAGGTCCGCCGGCGGATGTGCAGCGGTCGAGGTAGCACTGCAGTATCTGCATGCTGACCACGAAGTCTGATTCGCTGAAGTCGTACGCTATGTTCCAACCGATTTTGTCATACCTGCGGCGCTCCTGCAATTTTTTCACTGGTAATATAATATTGTGACGAAAAAAAACTAACTTGCGTGTAACCTACTTCTATATATCAATATGCTTCCTCGTCTACCTCGATGAAAAGGTTGCTATTCGAATATTTTTTATTTAAATAAAAAATATTATTGCGTTAACCGTATTAGCTGGTATAGTACATACATATATGTATTGTATATATATATCAATTGAATTTCTTGACACTTCTTGTCAACTGAAGCTTATAAAAAATTGCATGTCAAGTCTATACCTGTATAAGAGCCCAAAAGGATCTATATGATTATATATTAGTATATTGTACCTGCACAACAGCATGAAAGAAGGCGAGAACGTAGACGAGTTTTTTGAACTGCGGGTGGGGGCACTCCTCGAGTGCGTGCGCGCGCATCTTGAAGTATGTGTTGCGCAGATTTAACTTCAGCCCGTTAGGGGGCTCCGTCACCACTGTCACATGTAGATTATGTCATAATTATTATTTCATTATATTAATTCTCTTATTTGCTTATCCCATGAGGTCGATGACATATCAGTTGATAATTAGCAATAGTACCTTTTCTTTTTAATTTTCATGGAGACCAGAGATGAATAGCTCCAGGGGAGGCAAGCGGGTACTGTTTGCCTTCTACGCACTAAAAACTTCAAAATGTCACTCATCCATATGTATAGTGGTGGTCTAAGACTAAAATTAAAAACCTAAATTTCAGGACACAAAAATTACAGGCCCTAGGTACGTGCCTAGGTTGCCTAGGTCCTAGTCCGCCCCTGGATATATACTCATACAACTAAATTCATACCTTTGAGCGATCTCTGCAATATTCCTATTGGGAAGGTAGGCGTAGGGTCCGTGGTCAACCAGAGCCGGTATTCAGGGTGCGGTTTCTCCATCAACTCCAATTGCTTCTCCAATTCGCGTAGGAATGATACCAGTAAATGGCAGTTCTGTAGTATTAGCCATTGCCCGTGGGAGATAGCACCTTCCAGTAGCGCCAGTGCTGCCTGATAATAAAGAAAATAATAGTAATAGTTATAATTTGGAGTATGAGATGAGTATCTTTGAGTATCTTTTGTCCTCTTAAACATGCAAAATACCTAAAAAATAACTAATATCATTATTAACGCGGAAACACCAGCTGTCCATTGGCATATACCTAATGCCTATGCATTATACAGTTGGTGTTTCCGCGTTTATGACTATGATAATCGTTTACCATCAGATTAGCCATATGCTTGTTTGCCAACGTCGTAGTAGAAAAAAATTGTAAACTGTATGCCCATATATTTTAGACCCCAACGAACAAGAGACGTATTACAATACATCCTGTGAATCTGTGTGACATAATATATATAGATATATGGTAGATGGATGAATCTATTTTGACGTGATTATTTTGTTTATAAGCCGGTGTTTCATAGTTCTTAATAGATTTTACCAATAACCAAAACAGAAAGGAATAGTCCGAATTCTTGCGCAAATTCAGTAAATATTAGCATGAAATTTCGATAATAATCAACTAAGTAAGTAAGAACGGTTTGAACACATGATGTGAAATAGACATCAACTAACAAAGAGAAAAACAAAGAGAAAGACGTAATTAACAACAAGCTCTTAGGATACAAGCATGAGAACCTCGTCATGAGAAGTACGTGGTACCGCCAGTGTATATTGATATATAGCCGGCAGATTAGAGGGTCAGTCAATATATCATTCCAGTTATTATATATATTTAAATAATATATATAAAAAAAAGTATTAGGTAGGTATGGAGATTTTTTTACAGCCTATAAGGTGCAAACGCCGGGTGAAATAAAACTATATAGTGACATTCTTCATTTTTTAATATATTTTCCTGAGGAGCAAGTCAGTTTTAACATATTTACAAAAATCAATACAATTATAATCGTAATTTAAAACGGTCATCAACTCGCTATTTAAATTAGGAGTTACGAATGTTGCGTGCGTGAATATTTTTGTCTAGCGTAGATCGATCGATTTAATATTAAAAAAACGGAGTACGATTCGAATACGGGACAGAGTCAGTCCCGCCGCCGCGCCGGGACATTTTAAACTAAGCCTAGAATACGGGACGTCCTGGAAAATACTGATCGTCTGTATAAACGCTATGTATAGTACTGACCCCTTCCTGTCCTTGACCCAACGAGAGGTATTTGAACTTGCCGCCGCCAAAGCCGCATCGGTCTGCGAGCTTCATGAGATCCGCTGTAGGGTCCGACCCTGGACTCAGGATAAACACCACCGGAGTATACGGTGTCGTTTGCTCCACTATCATGTCTAAACTGAATATGTAAAGAAAATGTTATTAAAATATATACGATAATATACATACGTGTATATATATGTAATATAACAAAAAATGTACCTATACATTTTATAATTTCCAATGGAGATTCGACAAACGGTCATGATTGTTTGCAACAACAATCCTCAAAATAAACTATTGAATTATTATACTGAGTATATATTGAATTAATATATCTGTAACAATTACATTATTCAAGAATTTATTAAAATGTAAGATACAAATACAATATTGAAATAATACATCGCCAACGTCCATACCACGTTGAATACACCGGTTCTCGTCCGATCACCGAAGTTAAGCAACATCGGGCGTGGTCAGTACTTGGATGGGTGACCGCCTGGGAACACCACGTGTCGTTGGCTTTTTTGTTTCTTTATTGTGTTTTTACTATTTTTATATTATCGTTTTTTTAGAAGTTTCGATAGTAGCAATCAGTGTAGTATTTTTGTGGATATATAAAAATAAACAAATAATTTCAGATATATAAACGTGATATTTAAAATTACAATACTATTTACGGGTTCGATCGATTTACAGTGTTATTTGTTACCTGATAACCGGCGGTGTTATATACTCCTCCCCCATGGTGACCGTGATGTAGTCCGTGAGCGCGCGGTAGATGCGGTCAACGCGAAAGCACCGCAGCAGCATCAGCAACTCGAACGGCTGCAGACGCTCACGGTACCCGTTCGGCACCTCCGCAGACTCGGGCGTGTCGCTGTCGAACCACTGTTGACGACACAGTAGTACTTTTATGTTACCTCATTTGTTTAATGGTTTTTTTTTCTTTTATTTTGATTAATAAACAGATTATAATATTATTATATATATACAATATGTGATAAGATAACGTTAAGTATTTTTAAATCATTAATCACAGATTATTAAGAAAAAAATAAATATAATCTTGCAGATTTGTTTTAAGAAATGGTGCTGAATAATAATTTATTTTATAAAATTTAATATAAAATTACCCTGTAATATTTAAGTAACATTTGATACAAAGACTGACCTCAGATATAAAGAATGCGTGGATGGATCAAAATGAAAGATAATTCGATGATAAATTCGATAATGATGGTTCACCCATCTGCGCTAACGGTTTACGCTGGCGGGGCACCAGTGTAGGTTGATAAGACGAGCATGTAGTCAGATCAGTTAAAATTTCACATTACTAACAATCCCCTTTCGGCCCGGAATATCTTAGTTTCAGCTATTTCAACCACCAACAGTTTCGATTGTAGGGTGCAATTAGGCAGTAATTACGGGTTAACATCCATGACATTATAGTCCTCTGGAATTGCAATCCATAAGTATCACGGGTGTTACATGATATCGTGATGACCGTAGTGTGGTTCATATACCTACTCGTATAGGCGATGTTACCTCTTGTCATCAGGTAAACAGTCAGCTTTTTTTGCCACTAAAAATGTTTAAAAAAAGTTTTTATAAATTAGAAATTATAAATATTTTATGAAAAGTTCTAAACGTCGCTTGTATACAGGATTCGTTTTAAATGCATAACGTCCCAAATGTGCAAAACAGAGTCAAATACACATTTATATTACAAAACAAATTATGACTCCAGTGCAACTCCAGCGGTGCCTATTCGAAGAATGAAGTTGCGAATTTTAAGTGAAATAAAATTTTAAGTTGTCAATACATGCCTGGTAATTTCATTGTCATATCGCTTCTAACTGAAATACAGCAAAAGCAAGCTGCTTAGTGACATCTATATGTTGTAGATTTTCACTACTGTACCTATACACAAAATATGTTCCTTTTATTGGTCCAAAATAGCAAGCAAATAAAATACAAACAAGTTTACAGCGCACACGGGATAGATGGCGTTTTATATTCTACTGTAAGACACCAAGATATACATACAAGTAGATGAACAACACTACTACAGGCAACAATAAAAATAAGACGCTGGTTTTTGCGATATCACTGTCCAGGACTATCATGATTGGTCGCTTTTGTAATTTTCCACTATACACTATTTTGTAAATATTTATTGTAAATTTATAAAGTTAAAGTAATAAAAATACTAAAATATTTTTGTTCGTAACTGATAATAAACATAAAATTAGATAATACAGTCGCCAAAGTCCATACCAAGTTGAATACACCGGTTCTCGTCCGATCACCGAAGTTAAGCAACATCCGGCGTGGTCAGTACTTGGATGGGTGACCGCCTGGGAATACCACGTGTCGTTGGCTTTTTGCCAATTATTTTCATATGTAGGTTATTTTATTTTCAGATCCGAATCACTGGAATTCCCAGAAATTATTATCAAGTAGATGGATTTATATATTTAATTTTTAAGTTCATATAATACACAGTCATAAAAAATAAACTATGATCATAAAATTGGAAAAAAACGTTGCCAACGTCCATACCACGTTGAAAACACCGGTTCTCGTCCGATCACCGAAGTTAAGCAACATCGGGCATGGTCAGTACTTGGATGGGTGACCGCCTGGGAACACCACGTGTCGTTGGCTTTTTGCCATTTCTTTTCATATATATTTTATTTTTAGATCCGAACCACTAGAATTCCCGGAAATTATTGTCAAGTGGATTTTTTTATTTCAATTCTAAGTTCACATAATAGTCATCAAAATAAAGTATAATCATCTAGCGCAAATATCGTAATTTAGAGACCCCGGTGTGATTCACGACAGCAAGCTCTTATTTGGTGTAAACATGTAAATTATATTGTTAGCAGGGCCTCTAAGGCTCTTGGGTTTATCATACGTAGATCAATAAACTTTAACAACATTAAAACCTTAAAAGTATTGTATTGCGCATATGTTCGAAGTCACTTAGAGTACGCATCCTAAATATGGAATCCGCACTATGAGGTTTATAAATCCTGTATAGAAGCCATCCAGAAAAGATTTCTTGCGTACTTGGATTTTAAATGTAAACGACGCTCTGTAGATTACTATGACAGATGTAGAAAGTATCACTTTCTACCTTTTATCTTATGAATATTGCGAACGGAAGAATTGATTGCTCGGAGCTGCTATCAAAAATAAACTTAAGAACTAATACCCTAAGACGTAGACAAAGAGCCATATTAAGTGTCCCTACAGTCAGGACCAGATACATAGAGAACACTTTTGTTTTATGAGCATGTAACTTTAACCAAGTATGTACCACATGATATTGATCTGTTTTGTTCCAGCACTGCCTCAATTTGGAAACTCATATGTAACCAATTCTTTAAAGGCGTACTTTATTTGTGTGTTCTGTGGATACATCGCTATTTGTGGGTATGTTAGTCTATTTACTTGTACTGTATAACTACAACTGAAACACTGTCACGTGATTACCTCGATATGTTAAAATTGCATAATGAAAAATTTAATCTAGTAATACTATTGGCGACGATTATTAATTGGCATAGGACAATTTGATATGACAAGTAACACGTAAAATTACACCGTTAATCTTCCTAAAATAAATAAAAATAACATCGGGCGTGGTTAGTACTTGGATTGGTGACCGCCTGGGCACCACGTGCCGTTGGCTTTTTTGCCATTTATTTTTTAAAATAATTTATACCTTTTTATACTTTGTAATTTAAATGTCAGTCTATCGAAATTTTCGAATAAGAAAAACTTCAATGAACAGTCTCATGACATTTAAGATTCTAGTGGCAGTAAGCGAGCACAGCGCCCTCTGCTGGGGTTTTAAAATTTTTCAATATGCTACCAAACCACAACTGCTAACGTTTATCTCCGGAGAAAGGGGATTTGTTAATACCTAATGTGAACTGTTGATCCTATGGTAAATGTGCTATAGGTTGACCTTCATTACATATACCATGGGTTCGCACTGATAGCCATCATGATAAATTCTTGGTGAATTTGCCAAGACGGGTGAAAGACCTGACCTCAAGTTCATCTTGTCATCCCCCACTGGTGCCCCGGCAGAATAAACCATTAGCGCGGACGAGTGCACCATTTCATTATCATCTACTAAAAAAAACGTTACCTCCTGCCAGACGCCGACTCCTCTAGTGATGTGATCGGGTAATTCTCCGAACGACTCCGGAAAGTCGACACTTAACTTCATTATATCCTGCCATCCCTGGTACAAAAATAACATTAAAATCAATGCATATTCGTGTTACAAACACCTATTAGAATATAATAGATTAGGTACTGAAAGGTACCAGAGGTACTGTAATCAATCGTCTATATGAGTAGTTCACTCTTACCAATTCCAGCCGCTAACGTACTATTGTAAGTGGTAACAGTCCCTATATACATGAACAGCACTACGGACATCAGGTTGTCATATGACACCCGAAACAACACTCACGCGTTGCCATTTGAGAGGATTAAGGTGTCAAGCTTTTTAGTCTACAATTTCACTGTCTAATCTGCACCATACGAAACTGATGGAGATATTCAGTGAATACAGTAAATAGAATTTATTCTTGATTTCATCAAAGTTGCACGTAAGTTAAAAATAAAACAGTTACATTTTGAATGTGATGGGTTATACCTACTTTTTATTTCACAACAAATGTGCCTAATAAAAATAGCTTATTAAGCAAGCTGCTTGGCGGCTGTAATTCATGGGACTGAGGTACCCACGTGAACGACTTTTTACAGTCTACCTTTAGCAAATACTCGCTTACAATGTAACTATCTATAGGAGAATGAGTTATAAAAATCGGTTATTAGTACTATTTATGCTATCTAATAAACTTAAACAAAACTCAAATCTATCTTTATAACATTAGTACAGATGACAAAATTAGTGATATTATTCAATTATAATATTCAAAATTCTTTATTCAGGTAACAAAATTTTTACTAAGTTAGGTATATATACCTAGTTGTCGGAGCCTGCCTTTAATAAGTCGAAAAATGCCTGCGGCAGCAAGCGCCATCCTTCTACAGTTTATATAGTAAATTTTGAACTATTTAAATTATATTATGCTTATCTATACATATAACTAAAATTAGAGTGTCTGTTTGTAATATTGAAATAATCGTTTTTTACTACATGCATGAATATAAAAACGGTACATACATCAGAATAACATTTTTCACAATTTTTGTCTGTCTGTCTGTCGCTCTGTTTGTTCCGGATAATCTGTGAAATAGCTGGACCGATTTTGACGGTTTTTTTTGGCAGGTAGCTGATGCAATAAGGAGTAACTTAGACTACTTTTATTTTAGAATAATTTAATTTTGAAAAATAAAGTTAAATTCCATGCGGACGTAGTCGCGGGAACAGCTAGTATTTAGTAGTAGCACAGATAACATAATATTACATAGTAGTAGTAATTCAATAATTGTATTATATAAATAAAGATAATGTCATAGAGCAAACAGAGATAGTGGGCGGGACAATTTATGATAGTTGCTAGTATCCATCCATGACATGTTGACCGCGGTTTCCCCTATTCTAGCGGTTCCTATGGCTTCCAGCCATCGTGATAAATTTCTGATGAATTTGTCACGAGTAGCTAACTGACCTGACCTCATGCTCATCTTATCATCCTCGACTGGTGCCCCGCCAGCGTAAACCGTTAGCGCAGGCGGGTGCACCCTTCTATTATCATACATTAAAAAAATACCTGCGCAGGTATCCAGGTGGCGGGGCAGGCTCTAGGTGACTTCTCCAGCGAGACGTTACCCTTTATGAAGAAGTCCAGCTGGGGCTGACTCACATTGCCCTCGCTTTGTTCCAGCTTTATATCCATTTGGAACGAGAACAGAAGCTTATGACGCTCGAATATACCTGCATGTAAAAGTTTTTATGAGATATTTTGAAATTTCAGAATATAGTGGTTCACCGGAAGCGAACGCATGAAACATGCTTGCTATAACTATAGGTCTAATCATTTCCCTTTTATAAATACTATTATGTTAGTAGCACGTTCTAACTTCGTCCAAATTGAATAGAAATCTACACAATTATATAAAACACATACACAAAAACATAAAAATAGCACTATATAATATTGATATCACATGTAGATATACAATAGTATTGTGCCTACACTTGTAATATTTCTGTCGACACTTGAGACCCTTGCCTTAGTTTACGTCTCCACTAACATAGATTTAAGTTAAGTGTAAAATGAGTATACGTCCCGACTCCGCGTCGACTGGACGCGTTATTAATAAACCATGTAGCACCCTAGCAATAAACTTAATAATGTTTAATAAATAGTGCAATCATTTTACAGGTATACTCACTACCTACATACTACAACAAATAATATATTATGTAGCGCCACCTCATCACACAACATATATAACGCTACAGTGATGAGGATACCACCGCGCTACAGTATTATCTGTGGTAGTATTTTATGCATATAGCCATGCCATAAAGTATTATTACATAACTTTATCTGGCGGCTTCAATGGGTCAGCGGTTTAGCACTCCACTTTACTTCCGATGGTTTCGAATTACTCGCACGATATTAAGTATGTATTTTAAAAAACGCAATTGAGTATTTCTATCAGTTGTTTAGTAGGACAAACGTTTAGTAACACAAGCTCTGCTTAACTTGGGACTAGGTGACGCAGAGTGAATTTTATATAATGGTATTTAAAGGCTCTTTAGAGTTTTCGTTACAAGCGCTCAATAGATTGCGAATATACTTATAATATCAATTAATCGGTTACAAAATTTGTAAGCCCAAAAGTTTTATACAGATAAATAAAAATTAAAAAACGATGTAAGATTTATGATACAATAGTAATAAAGAAAAGTTTTTTATACTAAATTAATATGTATTTACCTCTTATTAATAGAAAACTTAAGTTACCTGTGCAACCGTAGTCGTATACATTCTTAGTGAGCATGTCGATGATGTTTCTTAAACGTTTCGCTAAGATCACGTTCGGCATCGACTTGCGCAGCGAAAACGAGAACACCTGTGATAATAATAGATTACGTACAATAAATAAATAAGGTATGGAAAATTGTAATCACAAAATTGTAAAAGTACATTGTCAACGTCCATACCATGTTGAAAACACCGGTTCTCGTCCGATCACCGAAGTTAAGCAACATCGGGCGTAGTCAGTACTTGGATGGGTGACCGCCTGGGAACACCACGTGCCGTTGGCTTTTTATAATTTCCATATTGCAGAAATCAAGCGCAAAAAACGCACAAAACTTAACCGAATGTTATATTTTTATCCTAAAGAAAAGTTATGGTTTTTTAAATACTTAAATACTTTAAATAATACATACGCGACATATTATAATAATACGCGTGTTCTGGTCACTCAAAATTACTCAGAAATTACTTACTTCCGATAGTGCGTGTTCGATTTTTCGCACGCCACTAATATTTGTTTTCATGAATATGATTATTTGTATCGGTCGGGGTGTTTTCTACGTATAATATATTTTTATCAGTTATCTAGTACCAATAACACAAACTTTAGCTAGCTTAATGTGGATCTAGTTGGCGCTGTGTGAATTATCCTGAGATTATTAGGTATATCAAGAATGTCGAAGCAGAAATAGTTAAGTTCCTGGGTAAAGGATAAGAATACTAACATCTAAATATGATGAGAGCGAATACTGGTACATGCTGTTCACCCCCGCCATGTCGGACAGTACGAAGAACAGTATGGAGCCGCGCTTGGCCACCGGACGGTAACCGTCGCGCAGTATCTCTATGTCCTTTGTAGTCGCTTCGGCGAGCTCCAATTTTTCCATTACCTGTGAATATATAACTATTTGACTCAACAAATATTATTTTGCCATATAAATTATTACTGAATGTATATAATAAATAGCCTACCAAAATATACAATAAAAATCGGTTAAGCTATCGACACAGTAAGTTAGATAATATACACCGTGACAAGTGATTTTTATTTATTTAAAATTTTAATTATTAATTGAATTGCCATAATTATATTACGATGGATTTGAAAGGTTTAAAAACAAAATTGTAGACGTTAGGTGGCGCTGCTTTTTCAATGTCTGCTGCGTCCGCCAGTATACTATAAATAAATATGTTATATAAGTAGTTCAGTTTCGCCGAAAATATACATATAATAAAAATGTATGTATGTATGTATGTATGTATGTATGTATGTATGTATGTATGTATGTATGTATGTATGTATTTACGCTGAAACTGAACACGGTGCTCAAAAATTCAATTCAGCCTGGCTGGAGTCTGAATAGCCTTTACTACTAATTCTATAAGCTTTATTTAATACTTTTGAAAAAGTCATCTTTAATATTTTCTCTATCAATCTTCACTGTACTTTTGCAAATTGTGACATCGAAATTCCTAAATAAATGAACCGATTATGATGCGTTTTAAAGCTGACATCATTGAGTTATTAATAATGAATACGACTGTCTTATGTCATAAATAACGGGAAAAGTGTGACGGTATGAAGACGTACTTCCGCGGCTTTAGACTTTGTATTCTCCAGAGTGTTTACAAGTTCAACGTTGTCGAGCATATTGCCGGTGGAGGTGGCAAGCTCGCGCAGCAGAGAATCCTCCAGTCCTGACAGCAGACTTTTGTTGGCGCTCGTCTCTATGATCAAATTCTCGCGTTGTTCTTCCAAATCAGCACGCTCCGCTCTCACTACCACGCTGAGGAGCTGGTCTTCTAAACCCTGATATTATTTATTATTTTCTTTTAGCATATTCGAATTACATTCGCTTATATATTAAAGTCAAAGAGAAAGTAATTTATTCATTTAAAAAGTTATGAAATGATGATGGAGGCAATGTATGATTGGTATCACGGGTGTCATATGATAACGTGATGTCCGTGTATACAGGCGACAGGTACATCGTGTCATGTAACATGTCTGCCATTCAAATTACATACTGTAGTGATGCGTACGGTGCTTTTTATATATTAATAATATATATACTACATTACACTCTTTAATTACTACAACTATAATTTCTAGTTTGTACAAACTGACCTGCACAGTCACTGTATAGTTGATGACCACCGCTTTGGCGTACGCGGCGGGGTTGAATTGTGGGTTGGCTAGCTTTGTGGTTAAGTACATGCGGAAGTTAGGGTCGTAATCTACTTCAGAACTGCCGAGGATTACGAAGGTGCGCCCACTTTCCACTTAAATAGAAATATATTTAATTATTTGTAGTATTATAAAATTGGAAAAGCAAAATGCAAGCGTTGGCTTAGGCGGTCAGTAATCCAAGTACTGACCATGCCTGACATTGCTTTACTTCTATGATCGACGAGCATGTAGACGTTGGCAAAATATATGAATAAGAGTGAATAATGTGTTCAGTATAATATAAAATGTTTGTTACTTTCGTTTTAGTTGCTGAGAATGTACAACATCCTTGTAGTAAAAATAAAATGCAATATAAATCTTTATCAGTTAGTATAGCAAGCGAAATCTTTGTTTAAAATTAATTACTGCGATAAGAATATTATAAAAAAAGAATGGTTTAATATATTTAGTTATACAAGTAATTTAATTATATGCTACATACTTGCTCGTAATAAATGTACGTATTATTCATTTCGTTGGTCGTCAACGTCCATACCATGTTGAAAACACCGGTTCTCGTCCGATCACCGAAGTTAAGCAACATCGGGCGTGGTCAGTACTTGGATGGGTGACCGCCTGGGAACACCACGTGCCGTTGACTTTTTGCTGTTTGTAACAAATTTTAATACCTTTTATATTTTTCTCGAGAACATTATCTACTACTGGATCAATGTACTCGTTTACATCCTGAAAGAGGACCGGTATTCCGTATTTGATGGCCATTTCCAATTGGCGCAGGAATTGCGGATCGTTGAAAGATAAAACCTGTAAATTGAAATAATAAAATATAACATTTACTCTATTTCTGTCAGTTATTTAGTACTAACACAATAACACAAGCTCACTAAATTTTCCTTGGTTCCTTCTAAATAGCAATAACCAGTATGTACTATACTATAGATGAGACGATGTTTTTTTTTTATTACATGAAACTACCTATTTAATAATTATATGAAATACTATTATAACAGCAGAATATGGTGTCTTTGACAACTTACAATATATACAAGTGAATGCGTATTTTAATATTAAATTATAATAAGACCTTGAGATTATTCTTGGCCTCCTTCTTCTTGATCCAGGTGAGGGCCTGCGTCTGCGGATCGATGCACAGCGGAAAACGCGACGCGCGAATCGTCAGTATACCATTCTGTACGGACAACTCATCCGGTGGTAGGCCCTCAGAGTTCCACCTGCAAGCATAATTATAGTGATAACGGACCATTATTGCTTGATAATTTCGATCCAAAATAAACATTAACAGAAACTAATATTATTATCATATATTGTACTCATAAATAGGACAATATGTCATCTATCTAGTAGGAATTACAAATATAAAAATATTGTAATATTCATAGGCAGATTTCATTCCTTTCATTAAGAAACAAAAAGCCAACGGCACGTGGTGTTCCCAGGCGGTCACCCATCCAAGTACTGACCACGCCCGATGTTGCTTAACTTCGGTGATCGGACGAGAACCGGTGTTTTCAACATGGTATGGACGTTGGCAACAATCTTTTAATAAATAATAAATACATATTCCTTTCTTTGAACATTTATGGATCCTATGAGTGTTTCTATTTCTATTACATATATTTTTATACTAATTGGATAAAGCGTATCTATACACTAAAAATCATTAACATACAAAATATCAATTGGAAGACAGTAATCACTGATGTGTTGCAAGTGCTGATTTCAATCTTATGATTATTACAAGTACAAAATAAAATCATATTCAAGTCTTAAAAGTTCACGTTTACATGAATACAAAGGATAACGCCCAAAAAGTATCTTTGATAGTCCTGGCTGATGGATGATTTTTTAATTTGCATTTTTAAATTTATAAATTAGAAAAATATTAGCAAAAAAAAGTCAACGGCACGTGGTGTTCCCAGGCGGTCACCCATCCAAGTACTGACCACGCCCGATGTTGCTTAACTTCGGTGATCGGACGAGAACCGGTGTTTTCAACATGGTATGGACGTTGACGAGATTGTTTATAATAATTAAGTCTATATTTTGCATTCTAATCCTAACAACATAAATCATACGTAACGTTATTGCTATAGCAAAGTTTAACCGCAGATAACATAATATTACATGTTTAACTGACATTTATAACATAACTAGCATTTCATTGTGTTCAGTATTGCGCTTTATTGCCACTGAACAAGAGTTAATTTTATTTATAAATGTTGTGTAATCGGACAATTCACATGATATTCATATTGTACAGGGGCCGTTCAAGTATTACGTAAGCACTATAGGGGGGCGGGGGGTCTTTTCTTTGCTTATTTTGGATGACATGGGGGTGGGGGAGTCTGTATGATGATTACGTCATCGGTCGTAATTTACTTTTTTACACGAATGGCAACCCTCACATTGTCTTTGCTAAAAAAACAATACATTAATTGAGAGATGTTTACGTAAGCATGGGTGGAGGGGGTAAGAGCTTTGCTTACTTTTGCTGACAACGGGGGATGGGGGGTAAATAATTGTGATAAATCTGCTTACGTAATACTTGAACAGCTCCACACGTGTAAGGAGGGCTTTAAGTAAAAATTTGCAACATTCTCTACTAAAATATTAACAACGTACCCACTAATTTCAACTTCATTAGTCAAATTCTTTTCAATCGTAAACGGCGTAGTCAACGGTATACCTCGCTCTAAGACATCACCCAACCAATCCTCATATATCATAGTCTGCCGGAACGAGAACGAGAATGGTCCCGCGTAACTCAAAAACGAGGACGCCAATAGACAGTTCCCGATTAGCCTAGATTGTTCAACGTATAGCGCTGCCAAGTCTATAGTCCAGCGCTTCTGTTCGCTTGACAACCCTGACATTAGCTTGTCAGCGGCCACTAAACGCCTCATCATGATATCCGTTTCCTCCTGCAACTCTTGGCGCCTCAGCATGGCCGTTTCATATCTGTTGTTTAAACCATCCAGAGTATGTTGCAGCCGGTCAATTTCTCGGTTCAAGGACGATAGATAATTCACAGCCTCGGTGTATTCCTTTTCGAGTGCTTCCACTTTATCTTTCTTTGGCTTCACCTCTTTGTAGACAGCGCAGTAACCAAGCACGGCAATTACGAATTTAAGCAAACCGTACCTGTAAATACATGACATGGTATCTTTGTGATACTGCACCGTTTTCAATGACTATGAACGAAATAATGCAATAATAACAAGTTACAGTATATCTCGTAAAACGGAATACAAATATATTCTTTGTTATAAAAAATATAGAGTATAAATATTACAAACAATATTTTTTTTACAAGAGTTATTAAATACATTCTGTACATTATATTTTAATCAAGCGATATGCAATTAAAATCACTAACCCAGCTTTACTAATCTGTTGCATCGTGTCCAATTTCTTGCTCTTCTTCATGTGCGCCTTCACTGCCTTAACCTGGTTCTGCGTGATTAGATCGCAGTTCATCTCTTGCAGGTTGCGTAAAAAGTTGGGATCGGCCATCATGCCCTTCGCTCCTTTCCAGCTCACGTCCTTTATGCCGCGGATGATCACCACACATTCACATACCACCTGAAATTACGAATATATAGAAGCTCCAAGGATATGGGTATTTTATTCTCTCTCCCTTATAGATAAATAGTTGCTATTATTTACTAGGTGAACTATTAAATATTTTATAAAAAGTTATAATTATAAACTTGTATCTCGCAGTGCTGGCTGCGGTAATATATAACTATGTAATTCGCTGATAATTTATTGATTTATTTATATATCTTTGATGCGTACAGTACAAAAAGAAATGGTACAATTGGAGGACTAAACACAATGCAGTATTTTCTACCAGTCAACCATAGGCTGAGCATGGAATAATTGTTAGCGGTTAAAATATAATTATTTAAATAAAAGTATGCATTAAATGCAAATAAATAGTTAAATATATAAGAAGGTAGATAATAATATATGTAAATACTAACACATATAGTAAATATATGTACCTATATATACATAAAGGAATGCTATAGGTATAAATACGTAACATAAGATTAATTAGATACAAACCACAGAAAAAAGAGACACATATACATACAAAGCTATGTATTAGTAAATTAATTTAAAAAATTGTCAAAACATTGACAAAGTATATTTGTATAATTAGTGCGGGGTTCCCTGCATGCGACCATTCGAAAGTAAAACAGTGGCAAACCGCTAGAACACCGTGGTTCAAAATATTTTGTCTAAATAATACCTGTACGGCTTCTGGTGGGGTAGCAAACGATCTAATTTCAGTAATATCATTCTTTTCGAGGTCGGCGAGAGCTAATCTAGCCGCCTCAAGCGCTGGCATCGCTGCCGACAGCGCTTCCTCCGCTTCCGATTTCTCTTCAGCAATCACTACGCTCTGTTCCGTTATCTCCACGGATTTAATTGCTGCCACTTGCTGCTTGGCTACTGCAGCTTCAGTAGCTGTAAACATTTTAAAATTAAATAATGTATGATATGACGTTAGCATAAACAAGAAACACTGTCGAAGAAGTATGCAGTCTGAAAAAGGTGATACGAAATATATTCTGACTTTAAGTAGATTTTGTAAGAAGATTCTCACGGCTCTATTCCGTATCACTATGCGGTTCTCTTAGTCTGTTTTATTTATTTTTTGGTGATTGTCAGAATTAAATTCACGACCTCTGTTCACTAACACGGACGCAATTCAGAGTAGTGAACGACTATGCCACGACGCTCTCAGTCTATTTTATTTATTTTTAATTAAAAACAGTGTATATCACCAGTAGATATCTCTTTCAGCAGTATCTCGCACTCCTTGGTTTGCTCTGCGACTATGATCTTCTGGACGGCGAGTTTAGCGTTCAGATCTTCGAGTTGTACATTAGCTTCCTCGATTTTCGCCAGACCACCTTTTAGACGTTCGCACTGTAACATTCATATCTATATGTAAGTACATTATGAAACAAAAAGTTATTGAATGAAATACATATTTATTGAGACCTAGATATGTGTCACAGAATACGATATTAAATTTATATATATCTCACATGTGTAAACATATTTTTGTACAAATGTGAGTAATCTAAAAGTGTTGAAATATTTACCTAAGTGATAATTAATTTTTAAATTATGATCAGGGATTTATTATTAACCAAGTTATATATATTATATTATAAATTATATATATATATATATATATATATATATATATATATATATATAATATATAAATACATATAATAAAACGATACTGATTCTATAATTTACGACGTCCATCGCCAACGTCCATACCACGTTGAAAACACCGGTTCTCGTCCGATCACCGAAGTTAAGCAACATCGGGCGTGGTCAGTACTTGGATGGGTGACCGCCTGGGAACACCACGTGTCGTTGGCTTTTTACAATTTCTTTTGATATTATATTTATTATTTATAGGACCAAATCAGAATATAGTATATAATAGAATGAGCATGAATTTGTTAACAATTTTATTTTAGTCGATGATAATAAATAGAATTAAAATAGGAAGTAAGAGCAGTCGCCAACGCAATGTCCATACTAAGTTTAATATAGGTCTTGCTTTAATAGGGATGTATTTATACTTTATTTTATGAATATTTATTTCATTCGGTCAATTTAATTTTGAGATTATAATCACAAAATTAAATAAACCGAATGCCAACGTCCATACCACGTTGAATACACCGGTTCTCGTCCGATCACCGAAGTTAAGCAACATCGGGCGTGGTCAGTACTTGGATGGGTGACCGCCTGGGAACACCACGTGTCGTTGGCTTTTTGTTCTATATATTTTTTTGTAATAGAATAATGTAGTGTTTGTTATGTAGAAAATAATTGTAGTTACTGTCGCTGTAATGACGATTGGCAATCAAAGACCACACGATGACACAACTCACTTCTATATTTTTGATTTCATCAAGTCGAGTAGTTTACTATGTGCAATTATGTTATCTGTGCTATGGGTGACTGCGAACAGGGATGAATGGAAGAGAAAAACATATTACGCCGACCCCAAATAAATGGGATAAAGAAGTAGATGATGATGAGTAGTTTACTATGGGAGTAGACTAATAGAGGCCATCTCACCTGGACGACTATGAAGGCGTCCTTCTCGTTGAGCAGCGAAATGTAATTGGTGAGGAAGTCCATGTAGTGTTTAGGCGTGACGTAGTTATTCCTGCGCAGGCGCACCAGAAACTCCACCGAGTAGCGTGCAACAGACATGTGCACGTGCACCACGTGCTCCACTATTATCGAACGGAACTCGTCGGGGATTTTTTGGACCTAATTTGTACATATACAGTGATTAATATTTATTTTCATTTATTTAACTTAAATGTACAAAAATATTGTGTACATACATATGCACTTAACACCTTGCAGCGTTATCTACCAGTCAACGGTGAATGGTGCAATGAAAGATTATATAATATCTATTTAAAAGAAAAGCTACATACAAATAATACAGATATCTCATGGGGGAAAATGTACACGAGTTGAGAAATATATTAGAGGATGTTATTATCTTACCAATTTATAAACGCGAAAGTTTATGAGTATGGATGGATGGATAAATGTTTGTTACTTTTTCACGCAAAAACTACTACAACACGGATTTTGACGAAACTTTACAGTACAAGTACCTTGTACATCAGAATAACACATAGGCTGCATAAATTTCACGTGGTGAATTAGCCTGTCATAATAATTTAAAAAGTAGTATGATACACGCACATTGATTTAAAAAGACTGTCGCTCTCCATGTATATAATTAATTATAATCTTCCATTACTATTTTATAGTGAAATTAAAATTACTCCAACACGGGCAATCTTATTAATTGAAACAAAAATGGTTGAGCAAATTCATAGAATAGATATCTGCATTCATACCTTCGCTTTGAAATTTTGGGAAACCTTATTTATTAAAAAAAGGACAAAATTCATAACAATTACACCTGCATAACATACATACATAAAAATAGAGAGCAATACAGTGTAGTAAAAAAAAACTAGTTTAGAACACCTGTCATATTAAAATCGACTAAAATGATTTAATATATGTAATTTCGAGATTTTAACGTTCATTATAAATTGTATTACATACATCAGCGAGGAATACATTAGCGACAGCGAGAAGAGCCTGCTTTGGCCACGGAAACTGCCAATCGATAGTTGTATTATTAACCAGACCTGGGAAACTGCGACATCTGTTGAACAAAATAATTATTAAACTTTATATTTATTTAATTGATCAGGGATTCCTATGTTATCTTTTGACCTCAACTTCAACAACAACAACTTCAACTTTCTTATCAGATTTTCAGATTTCTAGACGAAAATCCAATCTAGTCAAACTAACGAGGAAGCCAACGATCACAATAGACACTAGGACTATTTTATACTCATTTCGATCGTCAGAAAAAAATATATATCTGGCAGAACAGAGGTCTTTCTGTATTATGAGGTTTGTGGAGATTATATCATTGGTAAGTGCCAAATGTTACGTGTATATAATACATAAAAAGACCTCTTATATGATGGCCTTTATATTACGATAGTGGCTAACTGGCATATACCTCTATACCCTTTAATTTCACTAACTTATTTAGATTTGAAATTTGTAGACTGCGCCCTCCAACCGAAACAGAGCTTAAGAAACTGCCGTGTGGCTGCAATAGGTGAGACAGAGCTACCCGCCGATTTTGTACAATTTATTTCTGATAATTTAGTGTTAGCTTGTTGTTTATTTTAAGTTTAGTTAGTGCATTTAGACATTATTTAAATACTATTGTAATTTATTATACACGGCACATACACACCTATTTCTCAATATGTCACCGCTGGGCGACATTGATAGCACCACATGTAGATTGTCAGCGCATTTGTTACAAAAATAGTTCCAAACAGCGTCTCTGTAAATATGTATATAATACTACAGATAACATAATATTATAATACTTAAAAAAATACAGTAAAATTGTAAAAAGTCAACGGCACGTGGTGTTCCCAGGCGGTCACCCATCCAAGTACTGACCACGCCCGATGTTGCTTAACTTCGGTGATCGGACGAGAACCGGTGTTTTCAACATGGTATGGACGTTGACGACATATAGATTTAAAATAAGGTTTTCTATATTAATTGATTGATTGATTATAATTGAGCAATATAAGGCAAAATTCAAAGTATATAACACGACATACTTAGCGACCCCATAACCGGCTTCGTTGCTCTCATTACGTACAGCGTTGATGATCGCATCCTTTTCGTCATCACCAAACAGCGCCGGTATCATCCCGATCATCAGGATGTTATTGATGAACTCCAAGAATCCTTCCTCCAGAATCTATCGCAAATCAATTACACAATTTTAAAGCCACAATTTAACAGAATAATCTATTTGATTGTAATTAATATAGGTGTGCCAAATTTTATATTACATAGAACAAAATGTGAATATGACCTGTGCAGCAGTAAACAGGAATACAGTTTTCTTGCCATCAACGCCTAGTTGATTATACATTCTCTTCATATCATCCTTGAATGTATTCTCATTGTAGTTCCGAGTCACTGTTATCTCGAATACATCGCAGCCTAATCAGGCGAAAATGAAAGTAATATAAATTGCTGATTAATATCGTGTTATAAAATAAAAGATATATACTAACTTTTATACAAAATAACTTTTTTTTCATTACTTAGATGTATAAATACGAACTTAGGTTATATAACAAAGGCGAAAGATTGCGTTAAAATTAAAACAGTCGTAGCAAGTGCTTATTTTAAATTATTATTGTGTTTATAAGGAGTAATATGAATTTTTTTTCATGATATATTACAAAATTTTACACCTAGAAATGATTAAATTAACCAACAAATATCCTTTTCGCAATATGTTTTGTTTCCAATAGTTATTTTTAAACTTTCAATATACATTATTTCTATTGTTATCTGGGTTCAATTGAAGTAATTACCTTTATTGACTATAAAATTATTAGTAAAGACCCGACTAACAATATAAATTTTTGTTTCCGTTCATATACATAATAAAATGTTAACTACATTTTATTATTATGTATATAATGCGAGTTTATAATGCGACCTCACAAAAATTATTACTTTTGTTAGTCTAACAATATATATGCTTCCGTTTAATATATTGAATGTAGAATTTAGAATGTGTCTCCTTACTCCTACCACCCCAATGTCACAACCTGTCATACTTCGTCACTCCTCGATCCTAATCGGAGTACGCACCAGCGGCGAAGGCAGCGAGGCGACAGATGGACTTCTTCCCGGAGCCGCCGACACCAATGATCATAGCGTTGCCGCGGTCCATCCGCAGGATGCGCTGCAGCCGCGTCAGATGCTCAAGAAAGTCTTCGAACAGTACCACAGACATCTTGCCCACGCGCTCGTTAAACTCGTCCAAGATCTGGGTACAACATTTAATCAGCAATTTAAACAGACATATTACACATATATATATACATTCCCTACTATTTTTTTTTAAAGATTGAAACTGACTTAATGATCCATTACATCTAAAAAAATGTAGGTACTTGTTGAGTTTCTTGCCAGGCCTTTTCAACTAAAGTAGTTATTTGAATAGGGTGGTAAGTATAGTGATAAAGATATTTAAATGTCCTACATGAATAAATGGTTTTTATTTGAATTTAAATCGAATGCACAAGGTACTTTTAAACAGCAGTAACCCCCAGAAAACTCAGGCAGTATGTCTTCGTATCTAACTAGTATATGCACTCCTATTATTATTATAACCTCTTAGAAATGTAGAAAAACTATAAATAAAAAAAAATGCTAGTTTCAACTGTCAATGACTAGCATCAGTAGGCTGCAGCTTTTATGCACAAAATTGTCAATGGTTTCAATTTGTTCTATACTAGCCGGCACCTTGTTGGCCACACTAGTTATACAAAAAGGAAACAAATTTAATGATATTGAAATTATTTACAAACTCCAAATTACATATAATAAATTTCATGAGACCATTCCAATAATCAACTAAGAATTTGTAAGTTGACAACTGTGTAAAACACTATCAGCAAAACCATCTATAAGCACTATAGAACTCGATCTATTTGTCAGGCGCTTTCAATCAGGGGGCGCTCATAACAACTACTCGCTGTACTTCGCGTTTGGTGACTTACGATACTGTCTCTGTATTTTGATATATACGCTACTAAAATATATAAATGATATATTTATTATTTAATACATGAAACGAAGTGTGAATACAAGTTTGGTGTAGCTTATACTCTATTAATAACGGGGATTAATGTACCCATTGCCAGCAATGTACTATGTCAACGTGCAATTCGTCACGATAGTTCATGCTCATCCTATCATACATCCTATTTGCCTCGCCAGTGTATACCGTTAGTGCAGGCGAGTGCATCATTTCATCATCATTCATAAAAAATAACTTTTCCTATATAAAATATCATTTTAAAAAATTGGTAATAAAGCATAATGTAACAATTGTGTAAAAAATGAACCTCTTGGAAAAGGAAGTAAACAGCTTCGTAGTCCAGCAAGTCCTCATAGTATCGAATCTCTTCTTCATCGAGGGCATTCCGATAGTCACCGAACAGCAATGGGTCGCGTATCACATACTCTTCAAGCTAACAAAAATATATAAATATTCATTATACCAATTATGTTATCTGTGATTATACTGAATCAAGAGTTCGTAAACAAAATATATGTACTCCTATTTTGGATATTACTATTTTAAATCACAGATTAGAGAATATTGATATAATTTTAATGGTTTTAATCTGTGTTCTTCATTCTTAGTACATTATGTAGACAATGAATAGACATAAAGGAAATATTGGTAAAAAATCGGCGACTTTTTTATTATGCATACATCTATACATCTAATTAAAATTGGAGTCCCTGTTTGTAATATTGAAATAACCGTTCTTTTGCTATATGCATATGAATATAAACACGGTACATGCCCCAAAATATTTTTTTTTACAATTTTTGTCTGTATGTCTGTGGGTCTGTTTGTTCCGGCTAATCCTGAAATGGCTGGACCGATTTTAACGAAACTTTTATTGGCTGTTAGTTAGTGTAGTAAGGAGTAACTTAGCCTACTTTTATTTTAGAAAAATAAAGTTAAATTCCATGCGGACGAAGTCGCGGGTACAGCTAGTTTTAAATATAATCCACCATGTTAAGTGAATAGATGTGACATAACTAAACTAAAAAATATATATGTATATATTACAAATCGACAACTGTATGCTCTCTTTACAAATTCATTTAAGATGTCTATTATTGATACTAAACGTTGCTAACTAATTACAATATTTTTTTATAATTTCAAGTTAGTGGCCAGACCTGTGTAGAGATTTCTCAAAATAAACTATTTATGGATATATGTATATGGACTTTGCAGTGCAATGCAGTTACAAAATATTGGTCTATAGATGTCATCACCGGTACACTGGTTCAAAAAGCAACCCATGAGAAATGGGGTACTATGTAGTCTCAGTAGAAGATAAAAGATGGCGGTATGACAGCGATTACGAAAAGAGGTTGTCGTAGTACGTACTAAGTGGTGTTTTATAAAATAAAATGGTACTTGCGTTATGGTATGGTATTTTAGGTAATTTCTAGTGATTCAGTTAAAAAATAATATATAAAATCTTTTTATTATTCATTCATTCATGCATAATTTCAGAGCTACGTTCTTGTCGGTGGAGCTCTTGCCACTTTCCGCGATCTTCCATCATGCTCTTTAATTCTTTTTATTATAAGAGATGGCAAAAAGTCAACGGCACGTGGTGTTCCCAGGCGGTCACCCATCCAAGTACTGACCACGCCCGATGTTGCTTAACTTCGGTGATCGGACGAGAACCGGTGTTTTCAACATGGTATGGACGTTAACAACAGAAATTATCTATTACGAATACATATTGTAGTAAATTGTGAAGTGAACATTAGTTAATGTTTAAAATAAAATAAGCTACTAACAGTAAGTTCTCGTTCCACTTCCATTTCCTCCTCTTCTTCTATGGTGGCCTCTTGTTCCTCAGTTTCGGCTGGTTTTGCCTTTGGTTCTCCTACCATAAACTCTGTGGCAAAAAACATTAATTAATTGAAGTTTTTTTATATTCCTTAAAATTTCACTACTTAAGTATTCTATTAATAACATTGCTATAAGAATAAAAATATATTAATCTGACATACATATACTGCATGCTCATTTATGGTTTTTTGTGCATACTACATGTATGAATATGTAATATTAAAAGAATATTATATGTATATGAGAAAAATATACCGATTAGCTGACGTTAATTATAATATTAATAATTGTCTCACACTTCCTATATGTAGGTACTTAGAGAGGTATAAAAATAGAAGGGGGGATTTTTGGTTCCTTATATTGGCCTGACAGTTTGTAAATTGTTTTTAAATAGTTGTCTGGATAACATATATAAAAATTAAGGATCAGCCAGTCAGCATGTAATACCATTTTTTTAGCATTTATAGCGCCAAAAGATGTAAAACTGCCAACAGGACATGTCTGGGAGTATTGTTGACTGATTTTTAATGATATTCTGTAACTGGTATACAAAAATCAGATATCAGAAATAAGTGAAGTTAGCACTGTTTTCGCTTAGGTACCGTCAGTACCTGAACAATGGCCGTAAGTGGAATTAGCGGGTAAGCATACCATCATAGTATATACTGGTATTTTTTTTTTATTTATTAGAAACCAACAGCGTTACAATTTAATTTACATTAACGTATGTTGTAATATTAAAGCTACTATAGGTTTCACTTAATTAACACAAAGTATGTAGTTTCGTCTTTTAAACATCATTTTAAAAAATATTTACTTAAAGTACAAAAATCTTAAACGTGGCAGTCATCATATATACATATATATTGATTAAATAAATAAATATATTCAAGCTATATTATATTACACAAAAGTCTTTCTATCAACACTTTTTTATCCTTATATATTTTTCTTCTATTTATCACACATACTTATAATTCATCCATTTAACTGATTCTTCATTTTAGATATTTAAATTCATCACGAATGCTATTTCTTTTTTTCTTTTTTTCAAGTGGCTCCACTGAAAATCAGCGCTGTAGTGACACGCTGCGGCACCAGCTGAGTGGAAGCCTTTTCAGCATAGACGATTATTAGTATTTAAGTTTTCTTTTTTACTCTGTACTCTTTTTTTGTGCTGAATAAATGATTATTATTATTATTAAAATAACAAAATAGGAAATCAACGAATTAAACTGATCACATAAAAAAAAATGAATTAAATAAATGATTGAATGAATGAGTGTGGAAGCTATACATCTCCATATAATATATACTACACACTGATGCCGGTAATTTGTCCATACAATGTATGCAGTGTGCATATTATAGATACTAGACTATCGCTTCGTAACTGTCACTTATATATTTAACAATGTGCTTTTTAAATGTACCTTTTGTGTGAAAAAACAAGTCCACGTCATGAAATTCGTTATTGTATACACGAGGAATTCTAGCGAGGGGTGAGTTAGTTGCATAGTTTGAGGCACGGCGAGGTACTGCCAAAAGCGGGGTGTGCCGTGTGCGGCGCGACGGTGTACGGTAAGACACGGCAGCTACCAGCTCCTCGCAGTCAAAACGACCACGTACGATATCGTGAAGTAGACACATATCCAACACTTTACGTCTATCTTCTAGTGTGAGAAGACCATGCCGATGGCAGTCCTCATTATAAGAGGTAGAGGACACACGAAGCCGATAATTGAGATGATTTACAAATATCCTCTGTATTCGCTCTATATGGTTTTTATACACTGAATATTGCGGTGACCATACCTGGCTTGCGTATTCTAAAATGCATGCATAATACACGGTTTTAATAGCCTGTACGTCAGTAAAATCTTTACAAGCACGAATTATAAATCCTAAAATCAATCATATACTTTCGTTTATCAAAAAAAGTGCTTGGCGAGTGTCTGGCAACCATAGATTTTTATTTCATTAAGGACATTTTTAATTTCATGTTAAAGTATAATCATAAAATTAAATATGTCGATTGCCAACGTCCATACCACGTTGAAAACACCGGTTCTCGTCCGATCACCGAAGTTAAGCAACATCGGGCGTGGTCAGTACTTGGATGGGTGACCGCCTGGGAACACCACGTGTCGTTGGCTTTTCGCCAATTCTATTCTTTTGATATTTGTAGATTTAATTCAATTATAATTTGTTTTTAGAACAGAATCACCAGAATTCGGGTGAATTTGTTATCAACAAAGCAGTTTATTTTAATTGATGAGAAAAATTATACAAATTGTTCTTGAATGAAGTATTCGAAATAACATTTGTCAACGTCCATACCACGTTGAATACACCGGTTCTCGTCCGATCACCGAAGTTAAGCAACATCGGGCGTGGTCAGTACTTGGATGGGTGACCGCCTGGGAACACCACGTGTCCTTGGCTTTTTGCTATTTTTCTCCGAAGCAAGTTGCAAAGCATAAAAATAATTTTTATCACCAACCGTCTTCTTCATCATCTGCAGGTTTTTCCTCCTCTTCGGGGACGACAATCTCCTCTAACACTATGGGCTCCTCTTCAGGGAAATATTTCACCACATGTTCTTGTATGTGAACACGCATCAGATCGATGTCCTGTAAAAAAAATATATGTATGACATAAATTCCTGGATTCGAGGGATAACATCTTAGTCCCATGTGTATTGCGGGGTTCACATGATAAAGTTATAGGTTCATGTATACCGAGTTGTTATCGCTTACCATCAGGTGGACCGTCAGCTTGTTTGCCATTCGAGTTACATACTAATACATACACAAATTAATTAATTCAAATAAAAAAAATCATTTATTCATGTAGGATATTTCAGTCGCTAATGAACGCCAAAAATGGGATTCGACTCGTATCAAGAATTAAAGAACATGATGGAAGATCACGGAAAGTGGCAAGAGCTTCACCGACAATAGCGTAGCTCTAAAATTATGAATGAATGAATGAATGAACGCCAAGAACTAGTACGAAATTCATCTGTTAGGTTGTATTTACATTGTATTTTTACTTATATCTTGCATTGGTTTCTATTTTTAATAATAAATGAACATCTTGTGTATGAACAATTAAATTATTGCCATGCACGGTTGTCTTTTAAGTAATCATTTAGTGAACAGGATTTTAGGCTTTGCTCAACAAATATAACTAGTCACATTAAATTTATTTAAAGATTATTCATGCATATTTGGTATTTTATTATAAAATAACCCATTCTCATCAAAGACCAATTGACTTTTCTAAACGATACTTAGGAACAGCAGAAGTTCTAATGTTATTAGTAATCTAGTAATTGATGGAGATATTCCAGCCATTGGCATCAGCTTGCCATCACGCCCATGCCTAATAGTATTACATACATACACATACAACAAAAAATATAGTTCCGTACCTGTGTGTTGATGAGACGGTCGCAGATGACGCGTGTGAACTCGTTCCGCCAGCATCTCACCACCGCCCGTTTCTCGCTGAAGTAGTTGGGGTGCGTGAGGCACATGCCTGCCGCCACCCGGGACAGGTCGCGCAGATTGAAGATATAGTGGAACTTGGCCGGAGTTGGTGGCAACTCTATTATTATAATCTAAGAAGTCGTTTGGAATTAATAAAACCGTCGTAGCCTGCTAGATGAAAACTAAACTAATAAATTTTATACAGTACATAAACAGGATTTTTTTATTTTAACATCATTGTATAGAGTCGAAATCGGGAGATTCGTTGGTGTTTTATAGTTGTGACTATCAAGTCGGGATGACTTGATAGTCACAACGATAAAACACCAACACGATACACGCTGGAACCTAAGTGGTCTCAGACAATGCGGTTTCAGAGAAGCTGCCTCTCGCATAAACTTGGTTTGTGGAATGAACTACCTGCTGAAGTTTTCTTGAGAAATATCGTAAGTCATTTATTTGCCACCATCGTAATAGAAAAAAAATTGTGAATAGAAAAGCGGTAGATTAATTTGTTCGCTCGTAATAATTAATTTCATTATGGCTATCTCAAGTGGACCCGTTTATAATAGCGTCGAAATATTTAAATATTATATTCATGGTAAATATTACGTCTACACAATTGCGAAAAAGTTTAAAACAAAATTTACTAATGAATTGATTGTTTCACTCATAGAATACACAGAGAGAATAGTGTATAAAAAAATAGATATACCCTATAATTTGAAGGGAAACTTTCAACTGTTTACCAGTGATAATGGTGATAGCATACGTAAAAAAGTACTAAGAATAAATAGGAAGGATAATTAATAATATGTACTATGGTAAATGTATACTAATAAAAAAAAGTAAGAGGTAGGAAGGTGTCAATACTTCCAAATAATGCTTAATTTTGAGTCATAGCTTATGAACACGTTACCTGTTTGTATCACGTACTAGTACTACCAGAGCAGTCCTTACCGTATTATCGCTCTAAAAATCTATATAATTTTAACATGACAAAATAAAACTTACTTTGTAGAGATCGAGCGTCATTTGGACAATTTTGTCGACAATTTCCTGTATCTCTTCGGGGAAGATGCTGAAGTGTCCGGTCAGGATCGAAACGTAGATATGGCGCAGTGTTGCTTCGGATGGAAATTGGAGGTTGTATACCGAGAACATAGATATGAATCGAGGATCCACCTGTGGAGATTAAACAATAAATATATACTTGTATTTATCTATTTTTTTAAAATAAAATAAACGGTGAAAAATAAAAAGCAAAAAGCCAACGGCACGTGGTGTTCCCAGGCGGTCACCCATCCAAGTACTGACCACGCCCGATGTTGCTTAACTTCGGTGATCGGACGAGAACCGGTGTTTTCAACATGGTATGGACGTTGGCAAACAATAAAATGAATAATGTGTTCAGTATTAGCACAGATGACATAATATCACCTAGTATTAGGATTTATATGAATGTCTTTCAGTGACTTCAGTATAAGATGATAAAAAATTGTGTGTATAGTATAAATGTCCTCATTTATACTACACATCAGTTTGATCCAGGATGTTCGATTGAAATTTAGTGATTGATGAAACTTTGGTTTTTGGGAAAGGCTAAACATAGGTATTTGTAGACTGTAAAGTAGATAAATATATAATTGTACAATAAACTTACATCATTCCTTCCACCACCAGCCTTGCCCATTGCGGCTAGAAAGCCAATATCCTTCAAATTCTTCCACGTAAGATCCCTCCCTCTGTCATAGAAGCCTTTTCTCTCGAAAAGCAGCTTTAAAAGGGCTACAGGTTGCTGTGTGCCATACGTATCAACCTGTCGTAATTAATTAAGCAATATTATAGATATAGCTCTAGTCTTTTAGAACAATTCTAATGCAGTTTGCAGTAGCTGGATTTACAATTTCAAACAAAAACAAAAATAAAATAACAGTGGGAAAAAAATATCTACAATAAAAGTAGTCGCAAAATCAAGTTAAAGTAAATATAACGTTATAATATCATGAAAATAAAATTTTATACGGCAAATAAATAAATATGTTACAAACTAAATTATGAAATTTGCAATACTAATTGGAGTATAAAAAAATAACACAAAGGACCACATACTTATGTAAGTGTAATCTTAAATAAATAAAAAAAGTCGAAAAAATTAAAAATAATATTCTGTTACTTATACTCTGTGTAAATATAACAAAACGCTTACAATAGGCATGTTCATATCATCTATAAACACTAGCATCTTCTTGCCGACGGGTGGGCCGAAGGTATCTTTGGTACGTTTCTCCACCACTGACTCCAAATTGCGTTGGACGTCCATAGACGAGGTGCGCGAAGAGAAGTTCATTTGTTGGATTATCTAACAGTTAGGATTATACAATTGCAACATTAATCTACAAATTGAACCATTAAATTATACATTACAATTATGTCATTAAAAAATTTAATGTAATGTACAATACGAAAACAATATTGAATTAAATGTTCGCCAACGTCCATACCATGTTGAAAACACCGGTTCTCGTCCGATCACCGAAGTTAAGCAACATCGGGCGTGGTCAGTACTTGGATGGGTGACCGCCTGGGAACACCACGTGCCGTTGGTTTTTTGCTCTAATTTCTATGGTAAAAAGCCGTTGGATTTTTGCCGATTTCTTTATTTCAAAAGTAAAAAGCATAGTGTTCTTATTACTTTTTTTTGTACAAAATTTCAAAACTGATATGAAGTATATTACGAGTATCTTATCTAAATGATTTGACTAAGCCTATACTTCCCGGCTCACATTTTTCTAGTTGTTATAATTTAACATAATTCTCAAACTAAAACAGTTTTCTTATGTATGATTATTTTCAGCCTATAAAACTTCTTGGTACCATCACAGATAACATAATATTACATACAGATACCCCATCCCATACAAGAAAATGGTTCCTTCCTAACTCGGGCTATTCTTCGGGCTATTTTATTTCGCCACCGTAGCCGCTAGATGTCGCTAGATTTGAAGCAGTTCGGATTACTAGTGGGTGCTTAGTAACAAAGCATGAAAATAGATGGCAGTCAATTCAGTCTACATGACATCTGTTTTGCAAAGATATGTATATAATAGATATGTAGGTAACTGTATCGTGTACCTCATTAGGGACGATTCAAGATTCAATGTAAATGTGTAGGTATAATATCGTTAGCCGACACTCTGCAGATATGGCTTATGTGCCAATGTATATATTATGTTGTTATGGTTTATTTTACATTCCATGCCTATTTTTTTGATATGTTGTAACGCGTCTGCGCTATACGTATAGCCTGATTTTGATACGTTTATACTCGTACGTATCAAAATCGGGCTATACGATTTTTTATTTCAATCGTTATATGTATGAGACTGATTTTAGCTACAATTAATTTACTGGTATATACCTCATGTATTCTACGATGTACCCCTCTTTTACCTAATGAGAATTCCGCTATATCTTATATATAAATTTTGTATCACAGTGTTAGTTGCCATATTTCTCCCACATTTTGATGAAATTTGATATGTATACTTGCCAGGTCTGAGGTAGGGTTGTTATCTATTTTTTATACCCCTAAGTCATAGGGGTGGCCTACCCCGAAAAAATATTTTTTTGTATTATGGACAATTTTTTATTTATTTATAATGTTACATTGAAAATACATACACGCCTAAATTTTCACCCGTCTTTCACCAACCCCTATTTTTAATAGCGATATTCTTACAAATATTGTAAATGCTAAAGTAACTCAGTCTGTCTGTTTGTCTCGCTTTCACGGCAAAACTACTGAACTGATTTAATTGAAATTTGGTAGACAGATAATGTAGACCCTGAGAAAGGCTACTTTTTAATGCGAAAAAGTATTGAAAGGGGAAATGAAAGGCTATATGAGGATATCGTAATTTTTAAAGTCAGATCTTGTAAGATTAAGTGAACAGGGTCGGTCTAGGTTTTTCATTATTAGAAATGTGTAACGGGGTAACACGTTATTTAGTGCGAAATTGTGTATATTACAATAAAATTTAATGAGAAAATATTATAATGATGTCACTGGGACACTCATTGCCTTACTACTATATCGTCCGTTAGTCGCGAACTTTCTGGAAACACGAGAGGCGCGCTCCTATTGGTCGGTCGGCGCGGTTACCGTGCGTAGATGAGTAGATGAGGTAGACGAGTCTCACGGCGCCGCAGCGTAAGTACTTACTATACATACGTAGTATATGGGTACATATGGGTGTTACAAATGTTTTTATTACGAGTAATATTACTCTGTTATCTAAGCAAGTAATGTGTGCTTATTTTGAACTTGATAACATTCTGAATTACTCGTATATCTTTCAATATCTTTAGCGGTATAAACCAGGTTATGTACTACTACTAGTATTGTTAGTGAGGGATAAAGTTGATGAACAAAAATAAAACAATATTCGTATTAAAAATATATTCATCTAATATTTTTAAGTTTCTTCCAAATACAAGGGGTCTGACATGGGGTGTTATGTACCTACATTAAAAGATACTTTTTGAAATGTATGAAAGAAACGTATTGTATGAAATTTTTGAAATGTGTGAAATGTATGTACCTACATTAAAAGATAATTTTTGAAATGTATGAAAGAAATGTATTGTATGAAATTTTTGAAATGTATGAAATGTAAGGACCTACATTAAAAGATAATTTTTGAAATGTATGAAATTTTTGGAATGTATGAAATGTATGTACCTACATTAAAATGTAATTTTTGAAATGTATGTACCTACATTAAAATATAATTTTTGAAATGTATGAGATGTATGAAAGAAATGTATGTACCTACATAAAAAGTTCATTTTTGAAATGTATGAAAGAAATGTATGTATGTACCTACATTAGAAGATAATTTTTGACATGTATGAAATGTATGTACCTACATTAAAATATAATTTTTTAAATGTATGAGATGTATGAAAGAAATGTATGTACCTACATAAAAAGTTCATTTTTGAAATGTATGAAATGTATGAAAGAAATGTATGTACCTACATTAAAAGATAATTTTTGACATGTATGAAATGTATGAAAGAAATGTGTGTACCTACATTAAAAGATAATTTTTGACATGTATGAAATGTATGAAAGAAACGTATGTACCTACATTAAAATATAATTTTTGAAATGTATGCACCGTACAATAACAATACACGTTAAACATCATACCACAGAGTCATACACAAGTTAAAAACAAACTGCTATGATATATTAATGAGAAAGGAAAATCAACTTTATGGTATTCGAGTTAGGGTCGATTTCTCTCTTTTTTTTAAATACTATTTTAATCTTACCAGTTGCCAGTATTCGAAGACAGCTACGATTCGTACTCGATATTTTAAATTATTATGTAATCGATTTTACAGTACAAATGTAAATAACCAACGACACTAATAATGTACTACTATATTCCGTTCTTTGAAACGGAACACTGCTATAATACAAAATAATGAAAATTTACTGTTCACAACGACTCATTAAAAGCATCATCGAATAATGCGCTGTAATAAAATCCTGCTATCGATTATTCGAAAAAATCGATAATACATGTATTTATTTTTAATATGACAACACTTCATACATAAGTATTATTGGAAATAGTATTACTTGCTTGTTCGGCTATTTTTAATTTACTTAAAAAAATTTTATATGTTTAATTTACAATAATAATATATTAAGTGCTTATTATTGGAAAATATAAAAAGACATTTAATTAGGCCGATACAAATGACGACAATGCCATCTATGAAAGCATTTTGAAAACATTGAGCCCCATATTAGCACTGATTAAAGTGTAATTAAGTACTGAAAAATAACAAAATGAGTAAATATATGAAAATTACTTTTCTAAACGCATTATTTCATTTTAACATGTATATATAACTTTTTAAAAATTGATTAAACATTTTTGAAAACACAGTTTTGTTTTTTAAAACGTTTGCAAAACTATGAAGAATTCCATCGATACCAATCACGCCATCTATATGCAACTTTTAGCAATAATAATGGCTACTTCCTCATTGAGTGCCACTGGTACCATACTCTTAGATAACAAAGTGCATATGTATTTGACGTATATTGTTAAAATATATGACTTAATAATAGCTTTGTGTTTAAATTATAACGTAATTTCTTTATAATTCCTTTCACAAAAGGATTTAATTTAATAATAAAATTAATACAAGTTCATTAAAAAATTGGAGGCGCCGGGTATCGATCCCGGTACCTCTCGCATGCTAAGCGAGCGCTCTACCATCTGAGCTACGCCCCCTATATAACGGTATATCGAAATAAGCGATCACATTGCCAAGATATAATTTTAATTTTAGACCGGTTCTAAGAACTTTTGTAATATTGCTGTAACGTACAGTTGCGTTGCTCTTATTTATTACATATATAAAAGTAGTAATAATAAGTTACATTTAAAGTATAAACTATTACAAACTATTTTATATAAAAATAACATTTCTATACTAATATGTTTTATATGTGATATTCACAAATGACTAGAAATTTGTGACACCTTGAACATATATATCTAGTTAGTTTTCATAATAATAAAGAGTTCAACGACTCACCTGGTGTCCAAGAGTGACCTCTTGGATCCATCCATCCATCCAGGAACTGACTTCAACCGATATTGCTTTACTTCAATAATTGGATGACAACCAGTAATTTCAATATAAAGTGATAGGACGGTGAAAATAAAAAACAACTAAAATTATAACAAACAAATTGAACTCACATATTTATCAGCAGGCAAGCCTCGCAGGTAATTGGTAATAATAGCAGTTTTAGAAGTCCCCGTATCGCCGACCAGAAGTACAGGTCTTTCAACCTAAAATATTAGAAAATATGTTTTCTAATATAGTAATAAATAATCAATGTTTTTAAATCATTTATAAGAATTTCAACTATTTATAAAAAAACATTGGTTTAGTACCTATTATATATTAATGAAATTCAATAGTGACTTTGCATTTCAAATTATAATTAGGCTCGGTGGCGTAGCGGTTTATTGCACCGTCTTACCTTCGCTGGTCGCAGGTACCTAATAAATACTTACATAAGGAGGGAAACGGAATATTACTAATGTGGCCTGTAAGTGTGGACTCCATTGCTAACAATGAACCATGTCAGGATCACCTCAACGCGGTTCGCCATAGAAACCATCATGATAAATTCGTGGTGAATTTACCACGATGGGCTAACTGAGCTGTCCTATTGTTCAACTTATCATTATCCACTGGTGCCCTGCCAAGCTAAACCATTGGCGCAGGCGGGGCACCATTCAATTGTCATAAATAAAAAAATATACTTAGATTTTTTGTAAATACGTACATAATATACATAGAAAACACCCAGACCGATACAAATAATCATAAATGCGAGGATTAAACCCGCGTTCATCGGAAGTGTAGCAATGTGCTAAACCGTTGTGGTCTAACGAGGCAAATATATAGATATCGCACACTTATCATAAACAAACTAAAAGAAGATTTTGGGTAACTGATTAAAAAATAAAACATTAAGTCGATTTCGTACATTATTTTTGAATAATAACATTATTATTATTCGAAATATTACATTTATTAAATATCACTTACGCTCTCCATGATTTTAATGAGCCAGGTGAGTCGCAAGGTGTCCACGGTCGGCACCAGTATTGCGGGGAACTTCATGTCTCGGTCGTGTTCATATGGAGGAACCAGCCACTCCCACGCATCCCACGTTTTGGTTGATAGCTCTAAGCAATAGTCGTACAGGCTTGGAAAACCCATTGGGAAGTGTTCTGTGGATAAAATAGACGATATTATATATGCTATATACTATGTGTCCATACTTCTTTTCATCTTGATAATATAGTAACAAAAGACTTAGGCTGGTCAGTGACAGCCAGTTATTTAAGAGGTTGCCCGATTGCGACTAATGTTTGTAGTCAGATAAAACTAGGCTAACAGGAACGTAACATGATTGATTTTAATTATAATGCAAATACCACATCATACATGCCTTTTAGAAGTCCTACCAACTTTATAATTGTTTTATATAAATAAATTGTCTAAATTAATATAAATAAATAAAAATTATTAAACCGACTTACAATACATTATCATAATAAGTTAATTTAAACTAAATTTCGTTATTTAGCCTAAATTAAAAAAATACTCATTGTAATTAGCTAACTACAATACAAATAACAAATCATACAGGTTTTTAAGAACTACTACTAATTTTAACAATTTTTTATATAAATTATATAAGTTGTCTGAAGTATATAAATATAAATAAAAAAATACACTGCCTTAGACAAACATTATAGTGTAATAATCAATATGAAGTTCGTAATTTCTTAAATAAAAAAAATATAATCAGAAAAAAAACTTAGGTACGTCGTAATAGGAGAAAAGAATAAAACATACGCAAGAAAGCCCTTTGATGCGATGAAAGTCCTACTCCTAACATACTTTACATATACATAACTTAAATACTTTCTTAATATTAAGAAATATATAATAAGACTAGCAGATTTAATACTACTAGGTACGTACTGGTGGTGGCCTTTTTTTCAGGGTTGTCTTCTACAAGCATCATGGGACACGCTTTCTTGATATAGTTGTCAAAATCAAATCGACCCTCGTCTATTATTGATGCGCCCAGACTGTTGTACATTGACTATAAACAAGAAAACCATAGACATAGGTAAATATAATAATTATAATTAAATAATATATTTTTTAATGGATAATGATATGGTTTTCCTGCCTGCGCTAACGGTTAACGCGGGCACCAGTGGAGGATAATAGGATGCACATAGGATCAGGTTAGTCGATCGTGGTAAAGTCACCAGGAATTTAACACGATTTCCAGGGGGAACCACGTGGAGGTTAACGGTAACGTGACATGGTACGTTGTTAGCAATGGGAACATCCCCATTCCTAACAATTCTCTTCCCCCCCTAAAAATACATTATATTATATTATTCTGATTTTGTCATCTCATTTAGGCTATTTTACTACTGCAGGTTAATTTATTCTACTCGTCAAATATATTCTTAGCCAAAAAATTAGTTTAGTTTGTGACATAGTTTTAGAGCGTTTTAAGATAAATTAGAGCAAATAAAAATATCGCTCTGGATACGCAGTTATTTTTAGAATTTGCTTGAAAATTAGACGTTATGTGTAAGAAACTATTAGTAGGAAGTAATATATTTACCACTATCAAAGTATAAGTATATAAAAATAGATGTACCCTTGGAGGCGCCGGGTATCGATCCCGGTACCTCTCGCATGCTAAGCGAGCGCTCTACCATCTGAGCTACGCCCCCGGTGGTAGACAGTACACAAATATATCACCGCAACGAAAGTAAAAGTCACAATCTGAACTGGTTCTTAAAACGTAACACCAGTTACGTAGTATACAACTGTATCACTTGACATTAAGTCGTGCTATATCTTAACCTTGATACGAGTAGATTTACAATGTGGGATTAATTGATATTTGTATAGTATACAAGTAACACATTTACTAACATTACTGTGGGAGATACACTCATTGACGCTAAAACTGTAATTACGTAGTTATAGACGTGTATTAGTCTATATTATTTACATATATAGTCCCAAGCTAAACAGAATTTGTGTTATGTACTAGACAACTGATATAAATATTTATATTTTTTTGTTAATTCTCTTTAAAAAAGCGACTCAATACTAAACAAAATGGGACCAATCTGAAAGTATACACTTTCAAATAAACAAAAAATACATCAGTATACAAAGACGGAGTTATGAAGTAAGAAACATTAAAAAACATATACATAACCCAACTAAATCGAGAAAGTCCTCCTATTTTGGAGTCATTAATAAAGTTGTGAGCACCCTGGAAGAGCAGGGAGGGGAGGGGGGGGGGGGGCACTAGTCCAAATATAATTATGACTATATGTACAAAAAATGAGGCATACTTACAACCATAAAGACGCATTCGACCACGCTACTATCGATTTCTTCATTGCTATCTTCTTTATTTGGCATCAGGCCGCTGATCATGTAGCACAATTGGACGACCTATGGAACAGTTACTTCTTGTACACACATAAAACATAAATACAAAATTAAACTTTACTGATAAATCACGCTCTAAGAAGTACGAAAGATAAATATTCATATATAAAATTTTTAGTACTGGTTGTATCTAAAAACACATTGTAACAGTAGTAAGTGATGGCATATAACCGATTATAAAAAATCGTAAAGTATGATTAAACAAAATAAAATATTTTATTGTTTTCTGTCTTCTAGGGAGCGTCATTTTAAGTTGATAACATATATAGCCTATAGTCAACGGATGATCAACCGCATCTAATGATACGTCGATGATAAATAGTTTGGAAGTTATGAAGAAACAGATGGACATAGACACCTTACCCTTCATTTTGCCGTAGGATGGTAAAAAAGTGGATATTTACCATGAGAGAGAGAGAGAGAGAGAGAGAGAGAGAGAGAGAGAGAGAGAGAGAGAGAGAGAGAGAGAGAGAGAGAGAGAGAGAGAGAGAGAGATTAACCATATGATTCGTTTTCCATTCCAAGTACAAAAAAAATATGAATGATTATTTTTATATTGAACCCATAACCATCGCAAGTGAGGCGGTGAGCTAAACCGCCACCACCACCGAGGCAGTTAATACTGTGTCGGAAACTTATTAATTAAATCTAAAGTAAAGTTCTACTACACTTTCCATACAACTTACGAGGTTCAATGGTGTTTGGGGCACGATGGTTTTAAGCGGCGTTTGTTGCTGCAGCCCAAACATACCGAAAACTATGTAGTTGATGGCGCCGGGTACGTAGTGGTCGAACAGACCAGCCAGCTGTTCGCGCTCGGCTTCGTTGTTGCGGGATCGAAGCCATCTGTTGCAATTATTTATATAGCTTAAACCCGTGTAAAGTGAATTAAAATGTGTAATACACGTCAATCTATAGGATTTGTATATATATATATATATATATATATATATATATATATTTTATTTACAAATATATATTTATTATAAAAATATAAGTATGCTCTGATATGACAGCTGATAGGGAAAGTGGAAGATGATATACAGTGCCGACTCCAAATAATGGTATAAAATTATGTTTTTTTTTAATCAGAAAACATAACCAGACATATAAACAGAAAACATAAAATATAGTAATATATTATTAAAGTCCAATAATAATATTATTAAAGGTTTGCAGATAATCTCAAGATGTCAATATACGAGTATTTATTTTTTTGTATAGAAATGAATACATACACATTTCCATCGAAACAAAATAAAACAGATATTCCGATGGAGGCGCCGGGTATCGATCCCGGTACCTCTCGCATGCTAAGCGAGCGCTCTACCATCTGAGCTACGCCCCCGGTGGTAAACGATATACAAATATAATATCGTAATGAAAGTAAATCGTCACAATCTGAACTGGTTTGTAAAAGGAACGAACAATGATTACTTGCAGACTTTGTAAAAGTCTTCAAACATGTGTTTTAATTACACATAAAAGGTGTTATCAATTTAGAACAGAGCAATGTAAAGAAAATACTGAGTTCAAGTCTCAGTCCTCAGGAATATAGACATACAAGCATAATACGTACGTTTTTTTTTCAACTATTCTAATAGTGTTGGACGCAGTTGGCATTTAGTTTCACCGAACGATAGAGGGCGAGAGGTGGCACTTCAAACGCGCGGTAGGACTTAGCGGCTGAAGGCTTACTTCTACTTGATGGATATGACTTTAGTCTGAGGGCATCGGTAGGATCACTATTCGATACTCGTTTGAATTAAATGGGGGATCGATCAGAAAGGAGTATTATAGGTACCATAATATTCGATAATGGCAAGATGTCTGCTTTATAATAAAAAGAAAAATAAAAAGCATGTGTGAAGTCCACTCTGCTTTTTAATAGCATAAAGAGTTTGCGGATCACCTGTTGGTAAGTGCTTAGCGCCGCTCTTGAGCATCTGCAACACCAGGGGAATTGCAAGTGCGTTTAAAAAGAAATACGCTCTTCTCTTGACGGCTTCAATATCGTATTGGTTCGGAAATTTATTCCACAATGTGATTATGCATGGCAAGTTTTTAGGAAACGTACGGTGGAATACCGATTTTCCTCTAGAAGATCAGGATGATATTACAAAATGGTTTACGATATCTATTAGACATTCAGTTCGGATTATTATTCCATCGTATAAAAAAATCATACCGGTCCCAATATGGCTGATAACCGAGATTCTTCGGATCGACGAACACCATTCCTGCTCTAGATACGGTCGCTGGTGACGCGTAGTTCAGATCACCCACTTCGAACAGCAGTGAACAGTACGGCGCTAGGCGTATTCGCTCTCCATTGGCTAAGGTTAGCAGTTTATTATCGTCCATCACAGAGTTCATATTTTCAATCCAGAGGGCGTCCACGTCGCCGTCGAATAGAGAATACCGACGTTCATCCTTTTCAGCTGGTCTGAATAAAAAAACACGCATCATCAATAATAGTCCTGAACTAATATAGGCTTTTGACAATATAATTTAATTATAGGATTACGATAGGTTATAACTCCTGACTAGGACATGAGGGTTCTTATATCTATATATACATAGCAACATATTAGTTAGTAAACGTAGTATTGCATATGGTTTACACGGAAGTTTCATACTTAATATTATATTTGTGTAGTTTAAACAACCGTAGATGACGTAGATTGTAAAAAGTCGTCAAGTGGGGAACCTCGTATATCTATTTCAACCATAAAGCAGCTTGCGTTGTATGTAAGATGTTTCGATTGATTGACGAGAAAAATCAGTGTAATTTCAAAGGATACGTAATGCCCTGAAATTTTGCCCTTAATCCTCCGGAATGAAAAAATAAGAGCGCTATCGTAGGAGTCACACAATAACGAGATTTTTATAGTGCTGTTCATGTAAAAGCGACTATTACAGATTACCACCAGGTCGTTCGCCAGCTAGTTTGTCATAACTAATAAAAAAATGTGGGAGAGATCACTTTATGTTAGAATTTAAAATTATATTTATTTATATTAAATTTTATACATTGTTATTTTACAGCACGACATGCAGTTATATCTACACATACGAAAAAAAATACCATAAAAATTGGTTACCTATTCATTTCACGGAAGATTCTAGAATACAACCCATCCGTCCAATCTCTAGTAACAGGGTCCAGAATTCCATACAATTCTATCACAGAGCATGCCTGTGTAAATAATAATACATATAAGCTCGACCATGTGGAAATCGTCATTTTCCAGTTGATATCATATTTCTTTAGTCAATTTTCAAGGTGTAATACCTTGACAATTGACTTGGTATTATAAAAAACTTATTTTAGTTACTAAACTTATTTGGCCCTTTGATACTACTTGATGTGTTGTAGTTCTCTGGAATAGCAACGCATGAATGGTAGTTACGAGTGTCACATAACGTGATAACGTGATGTTTGTAGTGCTGTTCATTCTCGAAGATTACAGCTTACTACTAGGTGGGCCAACAGTTTGTTTGCAATTTCAATTACATAAAAATAATGTTTTATAGCGTGTTTAATTTTTTTATAAACCTTCTTAGGTTAGAATACTTATTTTTAAACTTTCGAGTTTATTAAACATTATTAATAAAGTTAAACGGATTTTTAACATCAAAAATTTTATGGTAAATAAAGGTATTACAATTTATTAGTGTATTTTATAGTATATATCTTTATTTATCATTAAATACACCATTCCATTATCATTAATTAAAAATATATATTAGAAAGGATTATTTTACCTTAGGGTTAAGTACAGTAAGTTTAGTAGGCAGACCAAGATTTGTCTGTGCCTTGACGAGCGTTTGCAATATAACACTTTTCCCGCCGCCGGTGGGTCCCACCAGCATAGAGCAGTGTCGCGTCATCATAGTCTCGTAAAGTTGTACTACTTTGTCGACCTTGCAAATCCAATTGTGAGATGATAATTTAAATATATGTAGTATTTTACATTTATTTTGTATTTTCATGTATATGTAAAATCACTTAATTCTATTCTACACCGATATTTACTTACATTATTATATTACCTACAAATGGGAGTGAGTACATAAACTTTATATAAGAAAATCTATAGATGATTGGCTTGGACAGCACCTTAGGGGTATTTGGAAACATAAAATAATTCTACATCTGAGTTAATTATATTACATAGGCATTTTTAGTTTATCGTGGGTTCGATTGAACATTTCACGAGTTGATGGTTTAATTGGTAGATATTTTCTGCGTATATTAATATATTTAAGATTTCTATTAGTTATATAGTGCCCATAGGATAAGATTTCTTTAGTTTGGCACTAGATGGTGTTGTGTAAATTGTTCTGGGTGTTCATTATTGTTATATTAAAATCTACCCTACCCTTACCAACGTAACTTAGCTAACATGACATAGCATACATCCTGTATTATGCGTTTATAAAAAAAAGCATATTGAAGTACCTATGTCTCTAATTATGATTCTATGATCTCTTTGGCGTATAATATTATAATCAATTATAATTTAATTAAAATGAACTAATCACAAAACAATAATATTTATGTCATATTCTGTTTAATATATATATTACCTGATGATCAAGTACAATATATCCATCTTTCTCGAGAACGTCAATCACAGTTGCGTTGAATTCTGGGTACCCGACGCGCGGACACTCCAGCCCCGGGAATAGATCTTTGATGAGACCGAGAAACAGGGGCACATCCTCGAATACGAATTTTGGATGGTTCATGTCCCTATTAAATGTAGACAAGGCTGATGTGATTAAATAAATAGGTATTAATTCTCTCAGTTTAGTATATAAAGTTGCTTGAGCTCTATTATAAGTACATAATGATTCCATATAAATATCGAAGATAGAATTACAAGTATAATTAAAGCACTAGTTCCTGAATTTCAGAAATTCAAGTTATGACCAAACTGTGTGTTTCTTTGCTTAGGTCCTAAGCAAGAATATCCTAAGCCTTAGAACATTCGCTGTCGAATTACCACTGCAAAACCCATCACAAACAGTTAAGGAAAATATTTACGGACCAAAAAATGACAGAAATGTAATAGTTCATATCTCCAATATTGAATCCTTTAAATTTTTTTAATTGAAACTAACCGGTTATAAATGAAATGAACGCAAAATATTTTCAGTCGTAATAATTATATTTTATTTGATATTTTTGAATATGGACTTTGTCCACGTAAATGCGGCATGTAATTAGTTAGAATATGAAGTTTATATGTAAATCAAAGTTCAGTTTCATTGATTCAGCAATTAAGGTGTCGAGGCCATAAATAATTAACGAAAAAATTAAGCAAATTAGCAAGCAAGTAAGCAAATAAGTAACCAACTAAGCAACAATATCAGTAATTAATGAAGCCAATAAGCAACCATGCAATTAAACATCCAACCAAGCAAATAAAGTCACTATTACGTATTGGGTTTTGAAGCATTATTCAGGCATAACAGAAAAGCTATGTTTCTCGGATATAACAATATTTATTGGTATAGAGAGAGTGAGAGAGAAATAGCGTATAGAGCACCTTTAAAGCTTCTAAAGCTCGTTCTTGTACATATAAAATTTAATACTCACTTCTTAGATTTATATGATATGGGTGGATTTTTTATGTAACTGCAATGTCAAACAAGCTGACGGTAAGTGGCAACCGTTGCGGCGTCGCTTACTTACGTGGAAATTGCCATGGAATAATATGACGCCACGACATGGAATAATAGTTCGTTGAGTTGCTATTTGATGGCCTCGGTGATTTAACAGATTACTTCCGATGGTCGCGGGTTTGATTCCTCGCACGGTAGGCACAAACATTTGTATTCATGAGTATGATTATTTGTATCGGTCTTGGTGTTTTATAAGTATATTATGTATGCATTTACAAAAGTACAAGTTCTGCTTAAGGTTAAGTCTGCTTCGGACTAGAGGGCGCTATGTGCATTGACCGGAGATATTATTATTATTCAAGAGCATAAGCCAGTATATTTGCTAATAAGGTTTTAGTGAAGCTATACCTGAGTGCGCGCATGAGCACCATGATCTCACTAAGCCCGGGCGAGTCCCGACGTAACTTGCCGGCCATACGCAGTACTGCGGTGAGAGCGCGCAATCCCCAATCATAATGGGACTGTTTCGACAGTTGTTCCCGTGCCACTTTATATAACACCGTCATCTTCTTAGCTAGCACCTGTATTTATAAGGTATGACAAAAATATTAAATACTATAGCCAGCCATATGCACCATTATTTTTGTATTTGGGCATAAATTTTTATTTATTTATTCATTTATTTCGGATCCATCTATATTAGGTCAGTAAACAATTTATGTACTAATAAGTTGTTTACTAACATAATATGGATGGATATCAGTAATTATAATATAAATATATCTATGTCTACGTTCAGATGCACTAGGTCCGCAGCAGTGCAATGATATCCTTTGGAGTGGAAATCCGACATATTTGCTATAATGTTTAGGAGGTTGTTTGCGCTCCCCCGGATTATAGACATCAATGATGCATTTCTTTTCCGAGTTATGGCTTGAAAGCCAGACCAGTCCTTACTAGCAACACTTGCTCTCAAGTATATCGAATGAGCCAGAAGTCACTGTGCTCAATCATATTTTAGGGATCCCAATGACCTATCCTACTACGCCACCGGCTGGAACTTTCACAGCGTGTCGTTCGTCAAGCTCACTGTAGCTTGACGGACTCATGGCCCGTCTAGACTAATAAGTTAGAATCATATATACCGTTGTATAACAAATAAATAAATACCCTTCATTTTATTGCGAAATTTAAAACTTACCTTAGCAGTGAGGAAACCATCAGAAAACAGCGATATCTGGCATATCATCTCAAGATCTGGCAGGATGCAGACGACGGGTCGGAATAATGCTTTCACCGACTCGGGCAGTTCTGTCCGACCGGCGTACCCGGGGTTCATAGTTATGAATATACCAACTTTGCTGTCCATCGCTATCTCTTGACCTTCAAACTACAGATATTTTTTTAAAATCAATGGAGATAATATTGAGTTATACGTAATGACGCCCTCGTACACCGTTTTTACACCGTCTTACTTTCGATACTTGATCGCGGGTTTGAATACTCGCACGGTATAAATGTTTGTATTCATGAGTAAGAACGTTTTTATTGGTCGGGGTGTTTTATATGAATATTACACAATTAGAAATAAAACGTATTTATGTCTATCTATTATTTGTTTAGTACTTATAACACAAGCTCTGTTTAGCTTGGCACTGAGTGGCGCTGTGTGAATTGTCCTGAGATATTATTACATCTAATTTAAATCGAAATTCGGTGTTGTAATCCATTGTAACGTTGATATAAATTACCGTAAACCGTTTGAGCTTCATGAGCAGCGCGCTCCTGATGCACTGCAGCTGCGTGGATATGACCGAGAGTACGGAGATGTCAATCCGGTTGAACTCGTCGAAACATCCCCAGGCGCCGCACTGGCACAGCCCTGCCAGGATCTGGCCGACAGCGCGGAAGTCCATACCCTCGCCGCAGTTCGTCACCACGCACAACAGACCGAGTGCTTTGGCCAGATCTTTTGTTGTCTCCGTCTTGCCGGTGCCGGCTGGACCTATATTAATTTCAGAGTCATCATCATCAGCCTAATTAATAATAATTAAAGCATATACGAAATTTAAAGTTTTATTTGATACTAAAATAACATTATAGCAACCCGCTGCATGTGTCTGCATCCTATATTTAAAACACATCAATTCCTAATCGTTTTGTAATTTGACATGCAGTAAATGCTTGGAATGGAGAAGGCCATAAGAACAAAAATATGTAAATTCAGTAACTGAAAATCATAAGTGTAAATTTATATCAAATATAATTTCAGTGGTGTAATAAAAATACACTGAGGGATAAACAAATTAGCATATAAAGTATAATAGTTTACAACAGTTCCAGTTAAATAAAGCTACAAAACCCCCATGACTGCATGTGGCGTAAAGTAACGAGATAAACAGACAAACTTTTGATTATATTTTCCCATCATGGTGCAATAGTTTATTACTATGATCATACCTTGCAAAAATAACAAGTATTATAAATTAGCCGACGTGTGAACCTATTTAAAAACAATACTATTTAACCGAAGCGTAGACGAAGACCATATCATCGTAATTATACCAATGGCCTAGAATTAGTAACTGTCATCTAAAGACATGAATTAGGTGTTACATATGAATGGAAGGCCGACAAAGAGATGGATAGGCTGTGTGAAAGATAATATGGTAAGAAAGGGAGTGAATAACGAGATGACTGCGAACAGGGAGGAGTGGAAGAAAAAACATATTACGCTAACCCCAAATAAATGGGATAAGGAAGAAGAAGATGATCTAAAGACATGAATAATATGGGGACCACTGAACAGCTCAATGAATGAATGAAATGAATGAGAATCAATGAATGAATGACGAGTTGTCGCTGTTGAGGTGTAATGGTTCTTATATTGAAATGATAATAATGTTACAATGTTACCGGCAGGCGCGCCGCCCAGCTGCATTGTGAGAGCTTGAGTGATGGTGAGATAAATGCGGTCAGTCAGCGGAGTGATCACCAGACGACCGTTCAGACCCATGTACTCGTATCCGTACTCGAACACACCTGAACGGAGATACATATGTATAAGTTAATCTACGTATATTGTAGTATATTTTTAAATAAATGATTATAAATCTATCACAGAGGGCTACTCAGTTGTTAATAACAGTGACATTGAATAATTTTAAGAATAAACGGATACCATAAAACAATTATTCTTTTCTAGTATTTGATATTAGACGGTTAGCGCAGGCGGATGCAACTTTCTGTTATCACTTATTTAATAAATTCTAAAGTATAGACATTAAAATGTGACGTCACGCAACTTATTACATTCCTTGCCAGGTAATATCGTCAAGCCCTTAACATTTAACTAAGTATCTCTAACCGGTGCACTGACGGATCCAGAGGTTGTCATCCCGCTTAAGCCAGTAGAATCGCAGCTGGCTCTCCCACTCGAACTCCGCGGCCTCAGTCACGTTGTCGCGTACAAATCCCTCGATAATGTCGCGCGCGTGCACGTCGATCGTCGTGATTGTTCGGAACTTCAGCCGGTCGTTCGAAGTCAAATCTAGGGATTATCCTATTGGTAAGTACTTAGGGCTCGTCATTTTAAAAAGTAGCAAATGCAAAGTATGTATCATGACTGAAAATTAGTGCCGGGATTACAATGTTGCCAGTGGTGGAAGTGGTGAAGATACCGGGCCCTAGACAACTATTATCGTTGTCGAGTATTCATCTGTAGTAGTACTAATTGAGAGGCTACATTTATTCCATTCTTAAAACACTATAATATTAATAATATTTCTCCGATGATTAGGTTTCATTTATCGCATAATATATTTGTTTCGTCATTAAGTTAGATTCGTATTATAAACCAATTTACAACTTTGTAATATGTCTTCAAGAAAATCAAGAAAAAGTGATGGCCTGCCTAATTAATATTAAAGTTACATATATTATTATAAGCTAAAACAAATGAAAATATATTTAATGTCAATTGCAGGCGAAACCCGAAGAATATAGGTATTGAAGTTACTGTATTCCACCGGGACTGTTTAAAAGAGGTCTAGGACTTTTTTCTTTTACGCCGCGGCACGGCTTCGCTTGGGTGCTAATGACTTTGCGAATTATGTGTAATATAAATTAATTAACAGCGAATAATGCCTATATTTGGAATTATGTACCTCACCAAACCCGATTTTTCAAACCAGTTATATAATTTTTGAGTTTATTTATAAAATTATAATCCTTGTATTAAGTTTTAGAGATAACGAAATAAACACGAGTATATATAAGCACACACCTTGTCTGACCTTGACCACAAGCCCGTCGAGCTGCTCGTTCTGTTGTTGTAGATGCTCCTTCATAGCGCGCTTGTTACCCTTGCGTATGCGTACAAACGTTTCTTCCGTTTCCGCCGTCCACCAAACACCATTAGCGGCTAAGCACACCATACCTTGGTACTCCAAGATCCACTCCGTTCTATAACAGTAACAATTATATTGATAACTTGAACAAATTACACAGCGCCAACTCGTCCTAAGCTAAGCAGAATTTGGGCTACGAATGTCAGTCTGTAACAGTAATAAAACTAATTATGACTAAGCACTATCTAGTGCCAAGTTAATTGTGTTACGTATACTACTACAATTGCTATAGATACTAAAATATTTTTGTTCTTCTGCAAATAGATAAAAACTACACAAAAATCATACTCATGAAAACAAATATTTGTATTGCGAGGAATTGAACTCGCGATCAGCGGAAGTAAGGGAGAATTCTAAAACGCTAGACAACCGAGGCAGTCAGTGAACTGCTATTTATTGGAGACTGCACATATTTTTTTGTTTATGTTAGCTATATCTTCGATATTTTATCACTTTTTTCAATTGAAAATGAAATGTCGATTAACGTCAATATGATTAAATTCATATTCGTTAAGCAATTTAATACATGATTACCACAGACTAACATAATACATAATAAAGACTAACATATTACATAATAATACTAAAGTATTACTAAACAAAATTAGACCAAATTGAATCCAGAATCTCAGTCATGTACACCGCATAGAGTAAATCATATATTCAAATGCACGAAACGATTAAAATAAATTAAAATTATTCACCTGGGTACTCTCCAATTCTTTCCATAATAGAAAATGGCTTTCTTTGTTATAAACTTGTTTGTGCTTCGCATTTCTATAAGGACCAAGTTCATCCAGTCCTCGACTCGCCCCTCTGTGTACACCACGTGTCGAAAGTCCATTATCTACAATCAGTAGAAAAATCATAGGAATTAACAACCACAACTAAAGTATCAGTCATGTTATATACTTTTACTAGATATGGTCACCGCTTTCTCTGACAGTTTAATATTAAACGCAGCCACCCCGCGATCTAATTAGCGGCATTGCATCAATTATGAGTAAATTCATAGGAGAGAATAGTCACAAGTAAATTACTGGGTATGTTATTTATTTATACCGTCATACTTTACTAGATGTGCCCCTAGGTGTTATTGGCAGTCTAATTTTAAAGGCAATTTTAGTGACAGCTGTGTTGTGTTCCAACGCATCACATCAGCTATATAGATAAGAATTTTTAGTTACCGAATTTATTATTTAGTTACTGTGGTCTCTAACTTTTCGTTTTGACCGGAAAAAAGTTTTCGACCTAATTTTGCGGCCAAAGGGAAATGGTAGGAATTTCTTTTTTTAAATCTGCCGGTAACTTTATATACATAGTTTGATTATACAATACAATTAAACAAATAATAACAACAATTAGAATAGGAATTACAGTGCGGTCATAATACGTGACGTATTTCTCGTTGAGGAGATAGGTCTTAAATCTGTAGAGCGCGGGTGACCAGCGATTGCACGGCTACATTGTTTATCATTGACAAATACTATTACGTGATATTGTTACCTCTCCTTCGGCGGATATCATTTTGGTGGCCACTGGTCGGTTGGTGTGATCCACGTATAAATCTAAAGCCCTTATGTTATCGAACATCTGAAACGTTTCATAATAATACACTCTTTATTGTGTATAGAGAAGAAATACAGTAAGTAGAAAAGTAACAAAAGGCGGTCTTATCGCTTTAAGCAATTTCTTAGTCAATCTATAACAGTGGACTTATGTACATAGTATAGAAAGGTGGCACACAAGATTCTATATTTGCTAAACGAATAAATACATTATACATAATAAAGGTAATCAAATTAAATTAAACTAAATAATTTATTTGCAAAATACAGTGCTTCAAGGTTTTACAGAATACAGTGCTTATTGGTATTAAACCTGCAAACAGTCGTGCAAATATTTATATTATTACTAAGTTAGTTAAGTTAGTAATTCTTAAGTTACTTCCTTACGTATGCATTCGCGCTACACTTTCAAAATATTTTATTTTTTTACAGTGAAATGAAGTATTGGTTTTTATGAATACGAGGGTAAAAGTTTCTTTGGTATTTTACTTTTATCATATGTTCCTGTACGCAACTGCACTCACTGCTACCTAGGATGGACAAGAGTTCATCTGTCGATATGAAGAAGAATCGAGGGAATATGCGACGTTTCGAGTCCAAGTAATCATTCAGTGACTTTTGACATCTGAAATATATATTAGAATATATTAAATATAGATCCGATAAGTACAAAAAGTTTACACGACTTAAAAACCGAACCATTTTTCGTGGCTTTAATATAAATATAAATTGAACTTTAGCGATAGGTACAGGTTACTTTCTGCAAAAATAAAACTTAAAGAGGCTCAAATTACAGATGAATGTGTGTATGGGGAACCAATAATTTCTCAAGTAGTCCCAATATAACAGCAATATTAAGTGGTTATTGCAGATAAAGTCGAGGACGAATCAGGAAGTATCTAAAAAAATGGAGTAGATATATTTTATTTATAGGAACATGAAATATATACTTGTACCGTCACTGATAACAGAAATGAGAAATAGCTTGTTGGCTATAACGTATAGAAAATTGTAAATTAGTAATTCAATGAACTATCAATGGTATGTATTACGTTAATGTTCTGATTATTAAACATATTCAATAATATTTATAGTTATAAAAATGTCTTACTTTTGGAGTCCCAACCCCAAATTGATGAATTCCTCAAGTCTACCACTAATTGTACAGCAATCAACTACGTTCAGTCGCTTAGCTGTATCCAACATAATCTACAGAAAAACGGAGATAAATTTAGTTAAACCACGAAAGATAAAAAGGTATTTATCATATTTATTTATTTTCAAATTAATCCGAGAGAAAGATGTGGGCAAATGAAGTATTGCGTTCACCACCACGGCGACAATAATACTGACTACCCTATCTGAGACAATAATAATAATAATATCTAAGGACAATTCACACAGCGCCATCTATTTCCAAGCTAAGCAAAGCTTGTATTATTACAACTAATATAAATACAAATATACATTTTTTATAAATACATAGAAAACACCTAGACTATCCAAATCATTGTATCGTGCGAGGAATAGATCTCCGCAATCATCATCAATTATCATCATCGAAGGTAGTGTGCTAAATCGTTAAACCACAGTGGCCGTTAAAAGTTGGAAAGTTATAATATTCTTCTATATATTAATAACGTTAGAGTAAGAGTAAGTGCTTAGAATGAACTGACGAACCTTTCTAAAAACTTTATCGATATTATCGAACTTCTTCGCCTCATCGGGCAACTGTACACGTATATCGCCACCCACAAAGATACCCTCCAGATACAACCACTTGCGCTGCGTCGCCATCCATTCCTCGATCACTTCCGATATTAGCGAGAGCCGCCGCTCCCAAGTCTGCACCACCGATAGGAACGGCCCGATAAATCTGAATTATGTCAAAAGGAAGACATTCAAATAAATTAGTCTTAACGGCGAGAACATCCTGAGCCATTAATTTTTGTAAGCGGATTAAGACTTCCAAGTGATACGACTAGGTTCTTCAAAAATTTCACCGTTCAGTTTCATCCTAATTTATTGTTTGATTGATGTATATTTAGAAGTAAAATTTAAGACTTTTATATCTCTTAATTAGCTTTATATATAATATTTATAAATACAAGAAATATTATATATAAAGCGGACTTTAATATAAAGAAAGTAAACTCCAAAACCACTGCATGGCGTTGGGAAGACCACTACAACAATACCTATAGAAATAAGAAAATATATATTAAAATACTATATGTATTTCCAAAAAATATATATTATAACATAATTTATAGTATATAGGAGTGGGGAAGGCGATTGTTAGTAATGTGGACTGATGATCCCATTGTTTAGAATGTACTATGTCAGGTAGATCTCCACAGGGTTCCCTTTGGAAACTATGATAAATTTCTAATAAATTTGTCACTGCTATCTGACTTGACCTCATGTCGATCATAACTAGCGCAGACTCAATTAGCGCAGACGGGTTCACCATTCCATTATCACCCATTAAAATATATATATAGGAAACACCAAGACCAATATAAACTCATGAAAACCTATTTATTGTACATGGAATCGAACCCGCGATCATCGAAAACAAAGTGGTATGCTAAACAGCTAGATCACCAAGGCCGTCAATTTATTAATGTATATATATGTGAGGCTGCACTGACTGCGAGGCCGCCATGCTCTGCAGTGACATGGCGTCGTCGTCGAGTTTGACGATGACCTCGTCGCAAGGGTTGAGGGTGTAGCCGCGGTCCTCGCCACGGCTGAAGTGGCGCGTCACGCTGAACGAGATCGAAGCCCACGTCTCCTGTACGTCGCGGACGCCGCGCTCGATTGCCAGTTCCTATCAACACATAGATGTCGCTATTATTACTAATGCTATCTATGCATGCGACAGAGACTACAACATGCAATGGTGCAGTTCGCCTTTGATGATGATAAGGTCATGTGATGGAGGATAATGACAAATAAATTTTTCAAAAAAGATTTACACTTACAATTTGCGACTTTGCACGTATGGTATGGCAGTTCACATTATCAAAATACTTATTTATTCTTAAGATATACAATAAAGTTCGAAATTTTAGTATACTAGAGTTAATATGCGTTGATAGATATCACAAGATAAAATCGATCTACAACCTGAGAGTAAAAGTTCAGTAGTACAAAATTTTCTCATTATTGACATGCAACTGGAGCCATTATACAGTACATATAGTACTCTGCCATAGTGCTGTTCATATCTTATCTAACCCCTTGGTAATCTCAGAGCCATAAAGAAAATTTGTGACTTACTTTAATAGCGTGATTTACGATTTCCTCAGCAACGTCTTGATACTTGTGTAACTCCATAGCGAACATATTCTCCAATGTAAACCGATCCGGTGACATGTCGAAATCCTGATCTGTTCGAAGTACATTTACATTTTTAATAGCAAATAAGCTGACAGTCAATTTGATAATAAGTGGGAACCGTCGTTAAAATTCATGAAGATCGTATGGACATCACGTATCATGTGACGCCCCTAGTACCCGTTATGTTTACCATTCCAGAGGGCTGAGATACCTCCGCACCTTGTAATTTCGCTGCTATACTTCACCCTCCACCCAAAAGGCAACTTACAAAGAAGTTTCTTTACGGCTGTGTAAAATGGAGCAAACAAATATACACACACATATTACTGGTAAAATATTTGAGAGGCACAAGAGTAATCACGTATTATTAATAATAAGTTTTGTGACATTCCCTAAAAATTTTCCAAACCGTGAAATCGACAAAAAAAATAAATAACTAGACTCACTGGTCTTTGCCATCAACTCCTTCCAATGCCTTTCGCGCATGGCTTCATTCTTCAGCGACACCATCAACGGCACAACCCCTTTGAATTGCTTCATCTTTATATCCAATGTCAGACCGGTGGACGTTAAACGGACCGCTTTTGGCAATTTTCTAAAGAGAATTAAGATAAATTAGATAACTGATTAGTTTTTGATTGAGAAATAAGGATAAATAAGGGATAACGTTTTTGCTTTTGATCCTCTCGATACAACTATAGAAGCATTCAGGTGTACAGTTTAATTATGAATAAGTTTCGACAAATACTACAAATATAATATATAGTATTTGTATGTTGCATATAATACTAACAAACTCTGTGTAATTTGAAGGAAGCATAAAGAACTTACGTTTAAATAAGACATGGACTAACTAACGCCTTCAAAAAGTTAGCGAAGTGAAAGCGAAGTTAATTGGCTTAGGTGTTTGTAGTATAAATAGCAATAAATCACACCTGTACTCTTTGAAGAATTGCTCGATACCGTCAACTAGGGCTTGTGGGTTCAGATTGACCCATAGCGTTTTTGCCCATAGTTCTCTAGCATTCTTCTGAGCCTTATATATCTTGTAGATTTGATCCATTGCGAGAAAGTCGTTCTTCGCACGATTAAAGTTTGAGAAATCTGCCAGCGGGTTGTCAAATAGTTGTTCTGCTGATTGCAGCGTTCGCTTCCGGGATTCGAGCTCGTCGAAGTATTTTCCAAACTCCTATTCAAACAGTATTGATTAGTAATAAAAATCGTACAGTGCCACTGTACGATTTTTATTACTAACGTACATTTCCATTCCTATTTCTTAATTACCTACTTAAAAAAATTTACTGAGATTGCGTATTTACAAATAAAGTCATTTAAGAATACATAATTGAGATTGTCGTTATTAGGGCCATGAAATAAAATAAATAATTCTTCAAGTCTATGGTGAATAGATATCTTCTGGGTAAACGCGTTACATCCTAGGTTTAACCATCGTTTCCCACCAGATGGGGTAAGACCAAGCGCAAACCTAAATTAATCATAATAATAGGAAAAAAGATTATTATTTATTACACAAACATCATGTGTAGTAATGAAGGTAGAATTGAGTAGAATTTCAACAAAAATGTGGTCATATCGATTATTCACTTTATTTATCTAACGCGCTAAATTTATTTGTAGATATTTATTATAGCTCTACATAGCACACTGTTTTCTACCTTTCTACCGTTTTTCTATATTTGCAGGCAGGCTTTAAAAGTGCATTATTATGCGTACCTAACGCATAATAATGCACTTCTAAAGCGAGTGGTTTATATGAACAACGTTTGCAGATCCTTACTGCGTACGCCGAATGTAGAAACGACTGACAGCTGACATTTTAGCACTTTTTTGAAATACCTTATAGTGTAAAACTCAACCTAATTGCTACTATATTACCATTGTTTTATTCAATATAGTGTAGCGAAATATACTAAATTACTTAAACAAATTCTTCTTTCATCGTATACTCTTGACAGACTAGTTGTGGCCTTCAAGATGGTATCAGTGGATTATCTTCTTTCTTTTTCCTTGGTGATAAAGCTCCTCAAAATTTGTCATCATCCATATAAATAAATATGAAAGCAGAATTACTAACCTCCATTAAGAGAAGTCCCTTGTCCATATCGTCACCCACAATAGCAGGGCCTTCAAGATCGAACTTCTCGATGAATTCGTCGAGTTCCTTCAAGAAGTTTGCAATTTCTACTACATTCAGCTTGGAGAACTTCTCCTTGGTTTGTTCGAGTGTATTGCCACGGAAAAGTGATGTCTGGTACAGACTGCCCCAGGAGGATTCAAGGCCTTTGGCGAACTGGAGGTCTTCATCTGACACCTAGTGGTTAACGACATATATTGTAGAGATTTAGAACTGTCAGATTAAAGATTGACAAAGGGGTACCTACACAACGTGTAAACAGAAGCATGTAGCTATGAAGGAAATCCAGATTTTAGAGTTTAATTTAATAAATCGCACTACAGGCGAGTTTACTAAAGAACTTCCGGAATTGGCATATATAAAATCAATTATAATCGACGAATAAACAATATAGTAAACTTGGCACACATCACAAACTATAATATGTATCGACTAATTTATTAATATAATTTCAATAAATTAAAACACGTTACAATTTAAAGTGTCGATTTAACTTTAGTTCGTTAATAATTAATTTTAGGTTTGTTTAAAGTTACAGGGAATATATTTATGCAGCACGGCTGGATTCACAATATTTTCTTATTGTGCGTCTGAAATTAATTTAATGATCGATGTTGAATATTCACGATAATTACAGATTGTTCTATGTTGGATTTTGAAATTTATTAAAATAAAGAGATAAACGTTTTATTTACATCTTCAGGACACACAATAGAAAATAAACATATAACAAAAGCTGTAATAATATGTAATGAATAAATTTACGGACTGTTTATTTTCGTCATTATTTATTTGTATATCTAGACACAGAATAGAACTCACGTCGATACCGTGCTGCCGAAGCATATGGAACGTCTCCTGCATACCGCGATATTTCACCTCAGCGGTGATGGTCATAGCTTGGACCTGGGTAATGGTTGCCATCACCAGCTTGAAGTCCTCCAGCCCTTTGATGTTCATGTTCATTGTCATACGCAGGCTCTGTTGAATAATGGAATTACCTTAAAATTTGAAGAAATGTTACTGTCTTTAGACTTTTTTTTTCTTCAGCTGATTACCTCAAGTGACCTTATATATATTAAGTATATATGGTAAACAGGAAAATCTAAGAGGAAATCTCTGTCCTTACATAGGTTTAGTACTTTGTATGTGACAGTGTTATAATGACGAGATACACAAAGAGGTAACTCGTACTGTCCCGTTTTATTTTCCGCTTAGTTCTGTTCTTTTACGGATACTATTCTAATAGTCAATTTAAGTAGAGATAAAATGTGGATTACAAGTTTACAACCCAAATAGTGTAGAAATTACATATTCTGTACTATAAAAATGCCTCGAGAGCCACGCTCTTATCGGTGGAGGTACTTGTAGTATTTTCCACCATTCACTTTAAAATTTGATACGACATGACACGACAGTCGTGTGGTGTCGAATTATTATACTCTTATAAGATTCCTTACCTCAATTTGATTTTTTAAGTCGTACATATTCATCCTAGTTTTTGAGGAAACACAATTTCCCAATATGTTTTTCCATTCCTGTGCGTGATCTTGCACTTGTCGTATGATGGTACGCAGGTTGACTCTGATCGCACCCACGTCTACAAACTTCACGTGAGAGTCCAGCTCAGTGATGATATCCTCGAAGAAGAAGAACTTCTCATCGTACTTGTGGATCTGATCGTGTTTCTGTATGTACTTCTCACATGATAAGTTCTTATCGAACGCCCACAGGTGTTGGTATTTATGCCATCTAGAATATTATCTCTCATTAATTGCATTGTCACCGGGACCGAAATCGAGTGTATAGAGATGAGCATTGTGTTTAGAGATGTGTGACACGTTGATATTATTAACGGTTATAATAGTCTAGAATTGACACGGGTTGAAAAACTTTCAAACTGTATACACTTCTTTCTTTGGTGTCACCAGATTGTAGTAATATTTATAAAATAATTGTATAACTAATGAACTAACTTCTGTATATAAGTGTTGATGTCCTGCGTGAGACGATATATGGTGTCTTGTATGAGAAGCGTGAGATCGTTGACAGCGACCACTCGAAGTACGTCCTCAAAGAACGAGAACACATAGAATTCGTTGCCAGTTGCCTCTGCGATGCGCTGCGGTGGACACGGCAAGCAACTCTTCTTCATCCAACGCGGGAAAGTTGTTAGTCTGTGAGTTATTTATTTTTATTACTTAATTTTAGTTATATGGAGCGTTTACATAGTTATAATGTATTTTACAATTAAATAAACTAAATAGAAAACGCCAATAACAGATACTAATAATGATGCTTCGATGTGAACTTATAGAGTTATAGTGAGTGCCATTAAATAAAACTAAATTACGGTTCCTTAAATAAAAAAAAATTAACATACTTTTTAAATCCATCGTGGCCATACGACTGTCACGGTAGGTGAGATTGTGAAATGAACGCATCACTTGACATGTTCATAATTCGAGACCATCAATCTCTCGAAATAATTTCCTTCCAATTGATTGATTTTTCCTTCACGTTCACTCAGGATATATTATTATGTATACTAACACATCTTTCTATCAGGTAGATCCATCGTTAGTGATCGGATTTAAAGCCATTCCAGTTACGTAACAAAAAATAATCCCACGGCCCGCTTGGTAGCCAGCCTATACACATTGTTCTCTCACTATACCTAGTCTCACCGATGTTTTTTCAGTCATAGTTAAAGCGGATTCTATAAGCCAACATACCTGTTGAGGAAGTGTTTGATGTTATACTGAAGTATGTTGCAGCACTCGGCCGCGGTGGGACGCATCGTGATGTCGGGCGGAACCAACACCGCGTCTACTTGGAACAAGGCCGTCTTCTCGCTTAGCATTCGCTGGAACTGCTCTAGGTTTTCTATCGTCAGTCTATACGAAGAAATTGATTTTTTACCACAAGTTTTTTCGAACTATTCTAAATCTGTTGGCCTGGCCTTTACAGTTTCGCCGAACGCTAGGTGGCAAGTACAGAAGGAACTCCAAACTCGCGCAAGGGCAACTCCAAACTTATGGAACGGCTGAACGCTATCTCCTGCCTGACAGACACACTGTAGTCTGAAGGCACCGCTAGGGGTTCGAATCTGGGCTCAGGCCAACGTAATTTCGATCCTCGTTTAAATTGGACTGAAGATCGGTTGGAGGAGATTTTTTCACGAGTTACTTAAAAAGATCCTGTTTTGTAGGTAAAGTAGTTAATAAGAAATTAAACAGTGTAAAAGAAAATAAATTTCATATTCTATTAACATTTATATTTTAGACTTTGATTATACAGAAATATTTGGTAACTCCAAATCGAAAACAATGATGTAATGATGCAGATTATTGTTCAACGATTAGTGTTATAAAAAAATGATTTACTATATGGTTCCGAAATAAGAACAGTAACTTCATTCTTTTGAGAACTGTTAGTGATTGTCAAACTTCGGTATGAAAGCTAGTAATAACCTTAATTAAATTTACCTAACTAGACACTTGAATATCTTCTTCTCCCAGTATGTATAGTACGAGGTCATGACGTGGGACTGTCCGGTGCTGGAGCCCAGGATTAAGTACTCGAGTTTCATCAATATCGGACCGATGCGTTCGTATATTCGAGACAGGGTTGCGACGCGCTCCAGCCTCTCGTTTTCCACTTCTACGAAATATGTCTGTCGAATGTTTTTTTTAAACGATTTATATATAATTATCCCGCTAATTTATGTATGTACATTTTTTTTTAATAATTTCAAATATTAATAACTGACAACTAAATTAATTGCATTGTAACAATAACTATTCCAATATTTATTTTTGTAAAATGGAATACAGTTTTTTTTATACAATAGTATCTACCTATATAGAAAATAATAGTAAACTCATTTCAACGAGTTGTCGTCTGCGTGCCTATCTCAATCTTAGATGTATATACAACCAGGGAGCTTACTTCGTAACTTGTATTCTGGTTTGAAAGTAAGAGACACGGCAGTAAAATTATAGAGTACGGAGGCATGACACCTTAGTCCTCTGAAATAGCAGCGTTAAGTAGTAAGTATAAATTCATTTTGTCGCTGATTGTTCATTTCTATAGGGGATCGTTAGCACTTTTAACACCATGGTCTATCAGCTTATGAAATCAAATGAAATCAAAATATCTTTACACATGTACGTCTAATACATACCTTCTAACATTAACATTAACACTTCAAAATTTACCATCAGTACGTAGTTCTGTTGAACTAAGAAGAACTTACAAAAAACTTAGCTGCTATATAATTATTAACGAGTACTAATGTGCTGCACTAGCATCCGAGTTTTGCTAATACCGATTACCATCGGCACGTACAGTATTCCATTACCACCAATTAAAAATCCGCTTACCAGCATAGAGGTTATATACTTATTTTCAGTATTGTAATAAGTCGTGCTAGTTAGTCAATGACTGATAAACTTTATGAAATAGAAAATAACAAAATTATACCTTGCAAGGGTAAAGCCACGTATCGTCAGGGTGGCCAGTCTCAGGGTCTGCGTAATCCTGCGGCCGGACCAAGGGGAATAGATCGAACTGCTCCAACTGATCAATCAAGAATTGAATTTCTTTTTCCACCATTTTTAGTTGTTGGTACACCGCTTGTAGAGAATTTTCGCCTACAGATAATAATATCGTTTAGAAATGATTTTTTATTAGACATTTAAAGTTATTTACATGTGAGTCTTATATTATTGAATTAAATATATCATTGAAGAATTAAGTAAAATGTTCGGAAGAAATCGATCTAAGATCCAATTTTTTAATAGAGATTCAACTATTATTGATATTCTATGGCTATTTATTCATATATCGGCATAATCTGCATCGTTTGTCCGGTTACCTAGTATTAATATAAACATATATATTAATAATAGCTGACCCGGCAAACATTGTTTTGCCATATAAATTATTTCTAGATAAGACCACCCTTTTCACATAGGGGTATAAACAATAGCAAAATTTACATAAAAAAGGCAGTCGTTGTTTATTGTTCGTTGATTTATATTATTTTCATTCACTTAGCTAACGACCTTTTTGTATTGCTGCTGATCACACACTGACACAAAATTGTCACATTAATCTTAAATCGAAGTATGTATTGTCTATATTTATAAAACTGTAAATGAGTGTGATTGGTATCAAATAAAGGATTTATCTATCTATTTTAACATATTAGATATTGCTAATATTATAAACGTGAAAGTTTGGGAGTATGCATATATGGATGGATATTTCTTACTATTTCACATAATAACTACTTAACGGAGTTAGATAAAACATTACAGTATTATAGCTTATATATCAGAATAATATATAGGCTACATATAACATGCGGACGAAACCGCAAGCACAGCTAGTATATAAAAAAAAAGGAATTTACACACAGTAGAAGTGAAACTTCAACGGACAAGTCTTTTCTCTCAAGACGCGAAAGCAGACTAGAGCCCCCTCTTTGCGCCCGCGTGGCTGTCGATCACTTCTCCGCCGCTACCTCCTCCTAGTCCTCCGCGCGACGATAACGCTTTTTCTTGACCGAAAAATCCTAATGCGATGTTGATTATTGATGATTTTTCGGTCTGGACGGAAGCGAAACATCTATATACTTTCGCTTCAAAAATTATACCGCTCTTTACCGTTTATGGAGCATTTACCTTTAGTGATGTCTTTGATGTAGTCGCTGATACCGAGCGCGGTCCAAGTGACGCGCGTCAGTCCCGGCAGGATGTGTCGCTCCATGTCCAGCAGGTGGCGCTTCATCAGGTGCGTCTCAGAAGGACTCAGTGATGTCGTGCTTGTATTGTACTTCGATATAACGCCTTCTAATGCTTCCAATTCGTAGTACAGTCGAGACTTTTGCATGGCCACGTCACGGATGTTGGAAGGTAGGTCAAAGCCTTGTAAGATTATAGAGCATATTGAAAAAAGTTTTATAATTTTAATGGGTTTGTTTAATACCAAAATTGTGAAAAATAGAATAAAAATAATTAATAACGACACATACAATGCTGTTCGCACCTTTATTTGTGTATTATAGTTATTATAAATAAATAGATAATATAAAACTTTGTATATCTATCGGGACTGCGAAAAATGATATTTATAATTAACTGACTTCTAAAAGAAATCTACACTTTTTTTGTAAATAATAATCTTAATCCTATACCAAAATCAGATACTACTAAATAGAAATTTAGTGCAATAAAAAATACACTTTTAAATTATATTCACATACCAAGCTGTTCCATAAGCTCCGCCTCGTGTATTATCAGGAATATTTCTTTATCAAAATTTGGTTGAAACTCCAGCTCATATTCCTGCATCAGTTTGTGAACTGTGAGATCCCGCCACGTCACGTCCGTCTATGAAAAATATAATGTATAAATATTGCCAAGACTTATATTACCAAGATTTAATTGGACAACACTGCTCGTCGCCCTCGTAATTATTGTTTTCTATATTTTTATTGTCAATACTCAATCGTGCTCATAAGCGTTTTGTTTGCGGCACCAAACAGTGCTCGAATCCTAGAAACCATTTCATTTTACTTTATTTAAAAAGAAAAACAAACATACTACATATAAACAGTGATAAGAATGTCCAAGAAGTATTAATTTTCTATTCAGTGCATTGTACACTGAATAGAAAATTAATATTCTTCTTGGATTCATATACTAACTCCTATGTATTTTGACTGATCTAAAACTGAGACGATAGATTCTGAAACGTATATTAGACGCAGGTGGATTTCATGTTGTAATGAACTATTAAATACTGTGGATATATTTTATGATATTACATTAGTAGACATTACCAGTCCCTCTTTCGCTAACAGCGACATAGAACTCGGTGACTTGACATTCTCGTAGTGTTGCCCTGGGATTCTCATTAGCATCACTGAAAGCAGAAAATAAAAACGATCATGGATGACCAGCCGTTTTGATAACTAATTCTAATGACATTGGATTGCCCTGTACGCACCTTTTAATACTCTTGAATTATCCACACTTTGTGGTCATTTGACAAGAAAAGTACAATAATGTATGTTGAAATGAAATTGATATCGCGATAACAAATAGCCAGAATGGTGTATGTGGGAGGAAGGAGGAGAAAGGAGTGTATAACCCGGCTAGTTACAGTAAGTGTATTGTAAAATTATCTTAGTATTTTATAAAAGTTTGCTAAAGCCCTAATTAAAATAATGGTTACAAGGTAAAGGAAATATTCTTTTGCCTTTCGAAAGGTACATTGTTGTTCGGTTATAGGGAGGGGCGGATCTACAGCGACTATAAACGGCGGATATAAAAGGGCCCCAGTCTCCTCTGAAACGATATTTTTTAGAATATAAAAGAATATCTAGAATGTTAAAAAACCTATTATAAGGTTGGCAACCCTGACATCAATCAACCCATGCGCGTCTATCGAAAGGAACGGGCAATTTCTCGTCGCTTGTTCTTGGTCGGTGTATTTTTTAGTTGAGTAATATAATTAGGTACGTTACGTAGGCCCTTAAGTAGAGCCCGTTAGCCCAGGACTCCACAACCTCACGATCCACCCCTGACTATAGGGATTATTAGGCAGAGAATTTGCGGGACAAGAGTAATGACATCTTTGTTCTCTGTACTGGCAAGGTATCAGTGATATCGTGAGTGTCATATGATAAGATGATTGTCGTAGTGCTGATCATGTATATGGGCGACGATTACCACTTACCGTCAGGTGGGCCGTCAGTTTGTTTTACATTCCAATCTTACTGATCTTATAAACGCGGAAGTTTGTGAGTGTGGATGGATAGATAGATGTTTGTTACTTTTTCACGCAAAAACAACTGAATGGATTTGAATGAAACTACAATATATAATAATACATCTGAATAACACGTCGTTTTACCCGCGTGTTATTCAGATGGTAAAACCGTGGGCACTACTATATATAACACAGTTATATATAAAAAAAAATATATCAGTTAGATATAGACTGTGAGACAGATACATTGTTCAACCCAGTATGAAAGAGTACGCTAATAATCTTTACATAGTATAAAATGAAATCGCTTCCGCTGTCTGTTTACTTAGATCTTTTAAACTATTCAAGGAGTTTTAACTCAGTTTTCATCAATGGATAGTGATTCAAGAGGAAATTTTATATATATAATATATGTACATCCGCGAAAAGCTAGGGCGAGTAGCTAGTTAATAATAAAACAACTGACGCGCTTTATCCCTGCATCGTTTGTCAGCGATCCCCTTGTGTACTACGTCTGCCGGTCGTAGCGACTGCAGCGACGCTTTCTTCTTAGCAACGTGAGCTTTTCCCGCCGCCGTTAGTTTCATCCCTCTACCGCCAGATGGAGCAAGTTCTTTATAACAAAAAATAATATTCTTAATTATATAAAATATTCTATAAAGTCAATAACACATCGAAAACAATTTTTTTAATGGACATGATGACACTCTGCTTTGAAATGTGTTCATAAACGTGTGTATTGTCATAATACAATTTAAATATTACTGTTCTTTTAAGTATTTTTTTAAATAGCCTGTAAAAACTATTACAGATTATTATTGTTTAAAGGAACTTTTTTGTTACACTTGACTGTCGCGGTATAATTTGATAGAAGTATTAGTTAGTTTATAACTAAAATAATAACTTCGAAAATAATTTACAAAGTGAGAGGATTGTATAATATACCATAGTTTCCAACTTACCATCGTTGCCAACTGAGTCAGCTTGAAAGAAATAAATTTATTTAGTATTTTCTCTAATTATTTCTAGAATGTCTAAAAATATGAAACTAACCATCTTCTTTCTTGAACACAACCTTGAGTATGTTCCTCTTCATCATATTATCGACAAAGTGTGAGGCGTCATTCACCCACTCCTGGTACTTTGAATCTTCATACTCTTTGATAATCTTCGAGAACGCCTTGTATTGCAGGAAAGCTTCTTTTTTTTGTTCACAATCATTTAGTTCCGGTACCTGACACAAAATATAATCTGTGTTAAAGGAGTTTCTAAATGGTATACATTAACTCGGGAATGTAGACTTGACATTGGAACATATTAATACCATGAGAATATATTTGGTTATATACTTAAAACAATTAGATGTTATATAAGAAAACAAAAAGCCAACGGCACGTGGTGTTCCCAGGCGGTCACCCATCCAAGTACTGACCACGCCCGATGTTGCTTAACTTCGGTGATCGGACGAGAACCGGTGTTTTCAACATGGTATGGACGTTGGCGAACATTTAATTCAATACTTCTTTCAAGTCATAACTACATTTGCTAATTCTGTTCGTTTATCTGTTATTTATAGAAAATTATATTATTTTTTATTAATGAATATTATTTTTTTCTTTTTTTTTTTAATAAATACATTAATACATACAATAAAAAAAAATTAACTTTTAGGTTTTTTTTCTGTTTTTTTTATTGTATGTATTAATGTAATTAATTTTAGGTAATTGAAAGATTATATATTATTTTGAGTTTAAAATTAAATCATTGATATATGAATATTATTGTATGAAATAATTTTATTAATCCATATGAACTATATCATTAGTACGAATACAGATAAGATAATATGACATAGTACGAACAAGTGTGTGGCAACGTGGAGACGGCTCAGTGGCCGTATTCCAAAATCCCTAATCCGAACTATATTCGAGCAAACATGAGAATTTATTTGTCATTAATTATAATAGTAATCAATTATAAAAAATAGGTAAATTGTTACGGCACGTAGTATTAGAAAAAAATTAATAATTGGTGTTAATACAAAATTAAGTCCGAACTTTCCGGAGTCGTTCAGCGAATTACTCGATCACATTGCTAGTGGAATCAGCATCTGGCAGGAGGTAACGTTCCCTCAATAGATGATAATGGAATGGTGCACCCGTTCGCGTCAACGGTTTACTCTGGCGGGGCACCAGTAAAGTATGAAAAGACGTAAGCGTGAGGTCAGGCCAGTTCATCGTGACAAATTCACCAGGAATATATCATGATGCTTTCTAGGGCGAACCATGTGAAGGTCAATTGAGGTACCATGAGAAAAGGGATTTGTTAGTAATGTGAACTATCAACTGTTGACATTACATTACACATTATTACATTATACATTACAGGTCACATTACTAACGAATCCCTTTCCTCTGGAGGTAAAGGTTAGCAGTCAAAAAACTCATCATAGGGCGCTGTGCCTTGCCTATGCCCACTAGAGTCTTATTAGTAGTTACTGACATATATTTTGAAAAGAAATAAATGGCAAAAAAGCCAACGGCACGTGGTGTTCCCAGGCGGTCACCCATCCAAGTACTGACCACGCCCGATGTTGCTTAACTTCGGTGATCGGACGAGAACCGGTGTTTTCAACATGGTATGGACGTTGGCAACAATCTTTTAATAAATAGTGAATACATATTCCTTTCTTTGAACATTTATGGATTCCATGTCTTTCTATTCCTATTATTTTCTTTTACTGATTGGATAAAGCGTATCTATACACTAAAAATTATTAGCGTAGAAAATATATTATTACGTCTATTATTTTGTGAAACCTAACCACGGAAACGAGGGGGGAAGGGTATTGTTAATATGGACTCATGACCCCATTACCAGCAATGTACATCAGGTTGACCTCCACGCGGTTCCCCCTGGAAACCATCGTGATAAACTCCTGATGAATTTGTCACAACGGGCTAACTGACGTGATCTCATGCTCATCTTGTCATCCTCCACTGGTGCCCCAACAGCGTAAACCGTTAGCGCAGGTGGGAGCACCATTCCATTATCATCCATAAAAAAAATAAATAAAAGAAACCACAGAAACGACTTACCAATTGGAAGACAGTTTTAAATGATGTATTGCAAGTGCTTAAATCATTCTTATGGTAATTACAAGTATAAAATAAAATCATATTCAAATCTTAAAGGTTTTTAAGATTGTAAATGTGAATAAAAATGATAATGCCAAAAAGAAATTTTTGGTACTCCTGGCTAATCGCTACATATGATTTTTTTTACTACGCATTTTAATATAAAATTTTATATATTAGAAAAATAGCAAAAAGCCAACGACACGTGGTGTTCCCAGGCGGTCACCCATCCAAGTACTGACCACGCCCGATGTTGCTTAACTCCGATGATCGGACGAGAACCGGTGTTTTCAACGTGGTATGGACGTTGGCGACAAATTAGTTAAATATTAAGTAGCGAAGGAATATTTATGTCATAATATAAGAAAAAAAAAATTTGCTAATTATTTGTGTAAAAGTGGAATTTCGCTGATACCACCTTTACACGACATAGTTTTATATTACATATCAGAAATTCAGGTAAGGAGAATTATTACTATTACATAAACTTTACCTTTCCATTAAATAAATGTATAGTACTGTTTAGTATAGGTACGATAAATATGATAATATTACTACTTATATCTTACCTTTTGAAATTTCAGTATGGGTTGTTTCATCTTGTTGAAGAGAGCTCTCGCCCAATAAATGGCGCCGGCTACAGGAGGATGATTTCGAAGCAGAGGCGGACTTTTCCGATATCTCTGAAAAAAATTTATTAATTGCTGAAAAAATTCTATATAAAAAAGGAGTATTAAAAGAACGGCCCAAAAGTGGTTAAATAGTCTAGATAGTGAACTTTGAAAAAGGACAGTAGATCTATGCAGGTCGCAGTGCTAGGTAGGTATTAGCACCTTCTTAGCCCAAAACCCTCAATAAAAATAAATCCAGGTCCAAAATTGCGTTGGACTAATAGGTATTATTATTAAAAACCAACAGTACTCGCGACTTCGTCCGCATGGAATTTAACTTTATTTTTCTAAAATCAAATAAATTTTCTACAATAAATGGAGCCTAAGGTACTCCTTATTACATCAGCTACCTGCCAATAATAGTCTCGTCAAAATAGGTCCAGCCATTTCAGAGATTAGCCGGAACAGACTGACAGACAGACAGACAAAAATTGTAAAAAAATGTTACTTTGGTGTACGTACATGTAGCAAAAAACGGTTATTTCAATATTACAAACAGACACTCCAATTTTATTTATATGTATAGATAAAGTCGAGACCAGAAAATTACTTAAAAAAATATACAAAGCTCAGTTTGCTTAAATATATATAATAGTATCAATACTGATATTTGTTTATATATGAAACGCACGGTAAACTTGTCTTCTATTGCCGTGATTTCCTTGATGAACTGTCGCATGACGAGGTCAAACTTGGTAGAGAGCTGATGGCGGATCGACTCCCGTGTGTCGAACTCTAGGAATTTCAGCAGCACTGCTAACGCCTCTTCTGCCGATCTGGTTATTAATATATTACGATATTCAATCATTATAACTATATTATATCCGCTACTTTGTTCATATTACTGGAATAATAAAATTGATTGGGACAAAAATGGTCTATTTTCTTCTTCATCCCAAATATGAATACCACAAAAATTAACAAACAAATTCATTCACGTTTATAGTGTCCATAATGATTATGTAGAAGTATAAGTAACCTAATATAAAAATAAAAGTACTGTAAAATTTTCTCAGTCATTCTATATGATTGCTGTGACAATATAATGCTGTTTTTTAAATCCCTATTTTGTTTCTATTTCTATTACTACAGTGCCTCATACCTACAATAGATTTAAAAATTGTGTTAAAAATATCGAATAGGTATAGCCTTACAATTTTGCTATATAAGTTGATAAGCAAAAGTTTTCAGTTGCCGTCCGGTAAGTTGTAATGTTGCCATACCAGCAGTTTAATAAATAACTTAAAATACTTACCGTAAATTCCCGAAGCTTTGGTTTATGTAATTCTTAGCCTCCACTTCTAAATAGCGCACTGCGTTCCAAAAATCGTTCATAATCACATCCCAGTTTTCCTTATTGTCGAACACGAATACACTGAAATCGATCGTACGGATCGGGTATACCAGGTTCTTCACCCGTTTGCGTACATCGTCGATCTGGGTTGGATCGCTGATGATCGACTTTAGTTCTAGGCCGAATATGCGCTCGAAATCAATTAAAACCTGTAAACGATAAATTATTACATAATACTAAAGATCCGCTCATGCTATTATAATTTTATTAAGATATTTTCATAAAAAAACATTGTTTGGGTTTCTGAAGTTCTAATAAAGATATATGTATATATATATATATATATATTAATATCTATATATTTTATATTACCCATAGTAATAGGTGGTTAACCAATTACCATTAGATGGGCCATCTAATAGAAAGTGGCAACCGTCCCAATATGAACAGGACTACGGATAAACTCAGCCTCCGATTCTGCAATTTTACTGCCATATCTCACCTTTCAATCCGAAACAGCTTATAAAGAAAACTGCTCGTAGGTAATAGATGTGAGATAATATTTAGTAATGGGTAATTGTAACCCTATTGCTAACAATTTACCATTGATAGTTCGACCTCCACGCGGTCCCCCTAGAAATTATTGCCGGTGATTTAATTAATTATTACGATGGGCAAACTGGCCTAACTTCGTACTCATCCTTCACTGATGCCCCGCAAGCGTATTCCGTTAGCGCAGGCGGGTGCACCATTCCATTTTATCCAATAAAAAAATAGGTGTGAGAGAGATGGCCACGTAGTGGATTTCTACGTAGTATATCAGTATTAGTAGTAATTTATTAAAACAAAACCGCCTTTGAGTATCTCAGTACTCCCTGAGATTGGTTGGTAGAGAATGCTATTAGCCCGCCTATTGTACAAAATCAACAAAGTTTTAAATAAATAAATAAGATTTTTCATAAAGTCAATCCTAACTTTTGAACCTATATTTACCTGTACAACGTCCCCAAGATCCCTGGCTACGGTGCCAATGTAGTCGGTTCGTGTGAACAGCAGAGGCTGGTCGAATTCCCAACGTGCTCCCTTCCCACTCAGTTCGATGTTCCGACGAGTCTCCTTGTACAGCTCATGCCATATCTCCATTATCTTTTGCCCAGCGCGGGCGAGTGCCAAGATCTCCTCGTTTGGTTTACTGATTAATATTATTTCAATCAGTATAGTTCATTTTCATACTTTAGTAATTCAATTATAATATTATGACATTAATTACAAGTATAACAATAATAACAACATAGGCCAGCGCTAATTATACCTAATAAAATTGAAATTGTAGGTACTACGGTACTAATGACTGATAAAAATTCTTAATTTCTTTCAATATCCCACATAACCAAATCTATACTAACAATACACTCATTAATACAAATGTTTATATCCCACGAAAATCGAATCCGGAACTATCTAACTAGTGATATGCTAAACCACTAAGTCACCGAGGATAAACAGGATTATATTATTTGATATCAGTTCTTAAAAAACGAAAATCTAGTATCTATGCAAGAACATACATAACTTTGGTATAAAACATCATTAAAATTATTTCAATATAACAATTTACGCCTGGTACTCTACTTTTCCTTTAAACAATAGTTAAGTCTATACTTAAATTACATTAAACTTACTCAAACAACTTGTGCACGTTAAGGAACCTCTCGAGTTTGTCACAGAGCGCCCACGAGATTCTGGAGAGTAGAGGTACCATTGTTTCATCAGTCCGGTATCCCTTGGACAGTACCCACATCATGTATATACTCTCCACCAGTTCAGGAAGTATTTCTATCACTTGTTGTAGCGGCGACTCATCTTCTATTACCTGATCAACATAGATAGGAATGTAAAGTATTAATTTATCTTATGACACATCCTTCATCTAATGCCATAAATAATGTTGAAGATAGGGGTAATAGGTAGTTGTAAATAATTTTAAATATATATATTATGAAGCTTACGGTGAAGAAACGCATCAACGTGGACAGGAACTTCAGATTATCTCCAGCCAAGTTGTACTGTTCCAATAACATTTCTTTATGACGCTTAAATCCCTGTAAAAATAAATAACATTCATTGCTTCTTGAGTAATAACGACATCTACATGATATCTCGTTGTTGGCTGTCAACGTGTTAATGGAACCATCGTTATTGAGTGGATGGTTGTAGTGATAACGTAGCTGGGATGGTCAGCAAATCTCAGCACTTTGCTAAAAATACACCGTTAGGTCCAGTGTTTTGCACATACCCTACTGTTGCTATTAGTGAATTCTTGACCGATTCAGCACTAAGTGCTGATACTTGATATCATCCTTACCTATTAATTATTGGACCGTGTGTCTTGTCAGCGTAAAACGATGGAATGCCAAGAATATCGTCATAACTTCATAAAAATATCAACATAATATTATAAGTATAAGAGAATGTATAAAATAAAAATTAAGCCCATCAAGATAGTACTACACATTGTCTTAATATTTATATTATATGATATACATATATCTTCATATAATATTATATAGGTAGTATTTGGTGAATAGTGCCGGATATTATCTGTCAGAAAATTACAACAATATTCAGAACGATTGTTATTAAAATAACAAGTTAATTTTGAAATATCGCATTCTAAATTAACAAGAATCTCATTATCATGCTGCCACAATTTAAAAGGTTATCCGAATTAATTTTAGGTAATACAGGAATATAGTATAAAGAAGTTGTATTTAAAACTATTAGACATTTTTATACCTCCATATAAGCTGAGTTTGCAGTCTGCAATATTGATAGTATTTTAACGACCATTGGCTGCTTCAGTTGCTCCACCAGGAGTGAGATTTCTGCGTCACGCTCTCTCCAGTATTTATACTCAGCAACTGGACCTTCTCCTTCGCGAGTCTTAAAGATCGATTTTTATATATATTATTTATTGCACTTTTAAATATAGTAATAAACTTATATATATACAGAGTGAGCAAAGGTGGACTTATCTCTAAAAGAGATCTTTACCAGTTAACCCAACAGTGAGGCATAGCTATTAGTGAGTGGGTAACACATTTTCCCTTCTTTTAAGTAACTTCAAAAAACAATTCAACTCCATTTTGTATTGTCGCTTATTTTAACATAATAATTAAATAACAATAATAACTAAATGACACTCCGCTTTACTACCGCGTCATCTAAGTCCAAGTTAATTGTTATATAGCTACTAGACAATAGTTTTTTTTAATACATAATATACATCGAAAACACAAATATATTGTTAAATATCTTAAAAAAATCTACCTTCCCCAAACAAGCGGCTATAGTGGTATCAATATGCGATTGCCACATAGTCACGGCATTCTCGAGTTGTGCTGTAAGTGCAGGGTCTTCAAACTCCATGTGACCTGGATGTTCTTCCAATGATTTAATATTTGGCATGGGGAGATGGATTTCCCCTTCGATATGCTCTATTGTCCTGTGTGAAAAGAATTTATACAACGTATAACTATGAAAACATAGACAGTCTGACTATAGAAATCTATACTAACAATAAAAAGGTAATGTTTATGAATTTGTATGTTTGCGGTAATCCCCGGTACTATTAATCCGATTTTGAAAATTTATTCCGTGTTGGATAGTCCATTCAACTAGGAATGCTTTTCGGGATATGAAGTAGCTTGTATGCTAATTTTCAGGGTAATAAAATTACCCGTTAAGGCATAAAATTCTATATAAAAAACATCGGTTTCTATGTTTCTTTTGAATTTAAGTATATTAGTTAATATTACCAGTTTACGATGCCCACAAGACCACTTATATCAGTGATGACCTCTTCAGCAGTGGACGTCTGCGTACTCGACGGGGTCATAGATTCAAACGATGAAAACTGAAGAACAGAACTAAGTGTACACATTATATAAATTAAATAAGAGTTTCCGATATAGTGGACCTGTGATTAGGACGTCTGTAATGGCAGATTAAAATAATATTATTGTAGTCAATATGAAAACAACCCATTTCATCAATTGTTATGGATGTTGACACGTCTAATTGACTTCCTGTCCCATTCCATCAGGCATTTGGTTTAAGCTGGTAAGAGCCGAGGTCGAACCGGTATTCGCGTAAAATCTTAAATATGTAATGCTGAACAACATTTCTTTAAAAGAATAATACACAATTTTTCTTGTATTCAGTCTGCTTTCCGAATGAGCGGTAGAATAAAAAAAAATATTATATGACTACACAAAAATGCTTATATTAAGTTCATTTGAATATTTCTATTTCCTAGAGGTGCCATGAGAGTAAAGTACTTTTTTTTTTCGGACAACTCTAATGCTGTTGGCACTCCAAACCTTTTAGTTAAAACATTTAAATATATGTACATTTTTTATTATTATTCTATATTTTTGTAAACATGTACAAGCTCATTTGATAAGATTAAGAGTTGAGTTATTTGTTAGTTCTTCTTAGGTGGAAAGCATTTCGTAATAGACCTACATGAATAAATATATTTTTGTTTTTATTTTCATTATAATTGCTGTTTATTATTATATATGCGAAGTTTTAAAGACACATGGTTTATCAAAAAACCTATTTCTGCAATTTTGGTAATATAACTTACCCCCTCACAGGCACTCTGCTTCCTAGTGTGTGCAACTCGTATTGCGCTTGTGGAAGTAGACCGCATGTTCTTGATCCTTAAATATGTATGGGTACATACAAATTAACAATATTGTGATGTAACGAAATTACTTTAATGTATTAGTTATATAGTCATTAGTAAATAGAAACTAGTATATAAAGATATTGAAGGACTGTAGATATATAAGAATAAATGTATTAAGTAATATTAAAAAATGTGATTAATTTAAATATATTAATAAATATAATATAATAATAATGGCTTTTGTAATCACTTCTAATATAAAATTACTAAAATGTAAGCTATGTTATCTTTTTAGTATGTACATAAATCTGGAAATCATGAAAATGCTATAACTTTATATAAACAGCGCCATCTAGAGAACGGCTCGTAAAGCTTGTTTGGAATTGCAAGGGTAAGCTGCTGAGCAAACAAACAAAATTTTAAAATTTCTATTTATTAAAAAGATATCATATGAATAAGAAAATTTGGTACTATATTAAAACCAATTAAAAATTTGAAGAAATATATTTACCTTCTTTCTGCATTTTCTCCTCTTGCTATATTTGACATTCTACGATAGTCGGATGGTCGAAGGTAATTTACCTGATGCATTAAAAAATTAGTACCATATGCTGAAAGATTGAAAAATTAAAGATACAATTAATTGTATAGATTTATATACTGAAGGCACCTGCGAGGCGGTCTCATCCTTGTTGTGGTGGTCACCGGCGTACGAGATTTGACGTGACAGTACGTCGTGATTCGACACTGCGCTGAGTACAGTAGTCTCACGAAACTGCTTCTCAAACAGCGGGATGAACGTCTGCAACACAGAGCAAATCGTAAAAAAAAATCAACAGACTTACGTACTGTGTACTGTTACACTAAGTTTTATTGTAGAATAAAGTCTTACAAACATATTGTTCACTATTGTCCACGACAGGCACGTCTCATAAAACTCGGCAGTAACTCTCAAAATTGAAGTATTAAAAAAAAATCGTAACATATTTTTTATGTTACTTATTCTAAATAGGTTACGTGACGTTTCCGTAAGTTTTTAAAAATATTTTCAAATTATCACTTTACTTCTTGGAGTTCTTTTGTATGAATTCTATCACCGAGTTTTACCTTAGTATATACTACTACCCCTGTATGAAAATAAGCATTTACGTATAGAAGTATTAATTATATTAATTTCATACTTAAATTTACCTCACGTAGTTGAAGTCCCAAACTTGTCAGAACTTTTCCAGAAGTAGAACCAACTAATATATACTGAGACATGGTTAGCATCGTCAGTCTGTCTGTTTCAGCCAGAGGGATGCCTTGAGGCGTTTGCCGCACAAAGTACAGATAGCGACGATTGCGTTGGATCACTTGGGGGGTAAATGCCCCAAATATTGGAATTAGCTTCGGGTATTTGATTATACGTGGTACTGATCTCTGAAAATTGGATTTTATTACTTCCATAATAAAATTGATGTTAATTTAATAAAAATAATATATAAAAATGCAAAATTAAAAGAAAGAATAATGCATAAATATTTATACAAATATTGCAAAGAAAAAGAGCGAATTTATGTTACGGGGAAAGTATACCAGAAACCACTATACCAATTTGAGAAATTCTTTGAAAAATTCGTTAGAAAATGTAAAACGACAAAGCTATGATGTCAATCAGGCGAAGCCGGGGACAAGTACTAGTAACTCATAATATTATCTTTAAAAAAATGAAAAGTCTACCTACATTATGAAATTGGACAATATCACTAACTTACAATAACAGTGTAATACTCCAATGTTCCGTCCACTTTTGGGTCTAGATCTTCCGGTGCTGAAATTTTAAAGGTGAACAAAAATCACAAAGAGATCACGTTAAAAATAATAAAATAATCTTGAATAATGAATGTTTAAACATAATAAATAACGTCGTTTTGCCCGGAAAAGCGCAACCTACTGGTTTCCAACCTTCCTCCAATCGTGTTTTCAAAACTTTTAGGTACCCATTGAAATACTATATACATACAAAATAATTATATATGAATGAGATAACATTAATTATGAAGTATTGAATGGTTATTTATGAAAATTCATGATCTAAAATAAAATTGTCATTTAGGGATTAGTCAACAGCCTTAAATTTAAAAAATGCAGTGGACATATGGCCACTTGCCAAAATGTACATTGCTTTTTTAATACATTGTGATGACAGGAATCAGCATTACAATAATGAAAAGTGAATACTTACGAGGTGGAAATGAATAGATATCTTTAGATGGTTTATCTTCCTCGACCTGGGTATCTCTGTCCGTTTGGTACTCGTCTTCACTGTCAGGCATGTCGCCTACTGCCCCGGCTGCTGTCTCTATGTCTCCATGTTCTATTATACAGGAGAAACATTAAAAAATTCTAAATAGGTCTTTACTCTATGGCTACTGGTTGCATTTATATGAAAATTTATAAATGGAATAAAGTCTATTTAGGGTTTTTATATATATAGGATTGGATCTGAATATTGATATAGATAAAAAATGATACCTTCATCTGCATCCGGATCAATATCTGTAATCAATATAATAATATTTATTATATTTAATAATACATTATCTATATTAAGTTCTAATACATAGAACACTGTACTTGTTTCCAACTATTAAATTATGATGAATTTCTCTATGAATCTCTATTTTGAATACCTACATGAAAAAATAATATACAATTTGTGCTTTACCTTTAGTGCCTTTCATGCCTTTTGCTCCCTTTGTGCCTTTCGCGCCTTTCTTGCCACCATCAGCTTTAGACGGATTTTCTGGTTCAGGTTCTTTATCTTTCTTACCCTTCTTCTTTTTTTGCGATACTGGAGGTGGTGGTGGTGGAGGTATGATTCCTGAAATGCGTCTTTAAGATGTTAACAGTAGTTGTATAATATACCTACATTATATTTTTTATTGTCATGATAGGATAACTTGATGGATATACATATTATATAGTATTGATGACCGATAAATTGTAACTAATACCTGTATAAAATATATGAATTAGAAGAGAGTTCAATTATAATTAATAATAATGATGAATGCTCTTATAAATGATATGTATTTGATTTCACAAATGTAAACATGTTCAGGGCTGCAATTCCAGCAGGGATGATTAGAAAAATTATACAGTGAAGTGTAAATACTTTAGCATTATTTAGTACTTTATCATAGTGACAATATTAATATACAAGTACTGAATATCAGTTAACATTTACTTAAATAGAGATAGTGTGACAAGGTTCAAAAGTGTTTATACATTATTGAAGGTGACCATACTTAGTATACAACATTATTTATATGGAGGGTCACAGACAAAAATACTAACAGTATTGAGGATTAGAGGCTCCATTGCTAGTGATGCATCATGTTAAGTTGATGTGCACTACTAGTCCAGGTGGGAGCACCATACCATTATCATACATAAAAAAATTGTTTATATCAAAATACAAACTTACTCCACTCAGTAAACTCCTTGTCTTCATGAATAAGTTTATCAACTATAATTTTCTGCAGATACAAGGTTCTTTTATCTAATGACAGCTCATTTGGTTTTAATGGCACAGTCAAGAATGAAACCAGCATTTTCCTGTTTTCCCCTTCCATCATGTTGTAGAATAGTTCATCATCATCCATGCCAATGTAGCTAAGTATACGTTCCTTGAGCCACAGCACTCGGGGGTCCTTATGTAAGTCAATATCTGGTGCAATATCTTCATAGGATGGCTCCACACCCAATAGCATGTTATTGTCTGACATTTTTGCTATATTATTATGTAAGTAACAGGTTTAGCTGTTGGGTAAATTCGGAAATATTAATACCTAGAGGGTAGTGTTGTATATACAATGTGTGTGTACCTGTAAGTATTATACATAAGTAGATATAGATAGAGGTGGCTGCATCCGCCTAACTAACAAGTTAATAAATCAGTGCGTAATAGACTGTCTCTATGTTTGCTTGTTTGCCCCGTATATATAATATATATATTATGGTATGGCCCCATATTATATTATGGTGTACCAAAACGGATGTACTCAAGAATCCATACCACTTTTACAAAAAAAACAAAGTTCTACAAATTATGAATTAATCATAATGTATTGTGCAGTAAGTTTTAAAAATTATATTCATATTTATACTTTATTTCTTTGAGATAGTTGTTCATGAATAATCTCTGGAGGACTATCACATGATTACATGCTCTCTGCTTGGCTTGTTTTGGTTTGCTTCCCTTTACACCTATCTTATGTACTTAGGTATATCTAGAATCTAAAACCTGTATATATAATACATGAAAGGAGAAATTATATGGGTTATAAATATAAAGAGAACACATAAAAGGAAAGTAACATTTTATTATGCAAGTAACACCTTGCATAATGAAAGCATCATAAAGGATTCACCAAGTTTCCATGGTAACTGGTTCTATTAGGCAGGCCGGTAGATATCTTTTTAGTCACAGCTTAACATTGTTTAATAAAAAGTGTATTCAATATTAAACAAAGTTTAAAGGCAAAACACTACTTTATTCAAGTATTCGGAACTCATGCTAAAGAAAGATTTTATGACAGGTTTTATTCATGTGAATAATTTCCCCCTCGGGAAAATTCTAAAAATATGTATCTTTCTTAATGTGGCATGGCAAACAAGTTGATGGTCTATCTGAAGGACCATTACCATAGTAATAGTCGCCTATGTCATGAAACGGCGTCATTGGTATGGTGCCACGCACGGTACCCCTCGCATTGGTATCCCAGCTGATCCTGTAATTTCGTTGCTATATTTCAGAGCTAACCAAGCTGCTTGTTTACTGTAATAAATGGAGGTCTCTAAAACTGATAAACTTTTCTTTAGTAGTTAAGTATAAAAATCATTGTTTTTATGACTGTTACTTATTGTAACAACACAATGAAAGTTGCACGATTTTATACTGTCTTACGGTAAGTTTATCTACTGAATGTTTTTTATGAATATTAAATTTTATGATACTACAATAATATATTGTAATAATATACTACAATAATACGGATTCTGTACATATATACAACTACTATATATATATGTAAATATTTAAAAATACATGAAATTTTTCTACTTACATATTCAAGATATTTTGTACTGTATTACACCTTTTCTTTATATTGTACATACACCTTTTGTAATATTATTATACTCCACTATCCTTTTACAGTTCTCTAGGATATATTACGTATCGATATAATAAAATAAAACAATCATTTGGAAAATAAACAAAGTTAACTGCTGTCATGGTTACAAGTTGACAACTATTTGAATTTGGCGCTTTGATGTGTATTGCCATAATTATCAATATGAAAATTGGACCACACGAGTCTGTTTTTTTAAAATTGAGTTATTTATTGACTAAATAATAAAAATTATGACTAGTTTTAAGCAATTTACAATTTTTCGGTGCATGGCCCAGTTAGGAAAGTGTAAAAAAATAACGTGTATTTTCTTAAAATCATATATTTCAGAGTAAAAATGAAGCTACAAACCATCTAGTTACTAATTATTTACATTATTAATATATCTAACAACACGCATAATGCAAATATTACATTAAATTCTTGACTTATTACCTGTATGTTTCATTAATTAGACCACAAATGGACGCTCAGGTATTATTTTAGAATAACCATTATTATCATCGAGTTCTAATCTCGAATTTACATTTTGTTTTTGTACTAAATTCCCTATAGTTGACTGAGGTGCAGAATATGAAGATGGCCCGGCATATAGACTGTTAATATTATTATATTCACTTTTGATTTGGTTGTCAGAGGATGTATGATCGACTGTATAATTTATATCACTAGCTATAATATTTTGTTTTGTATCTAAGTTAATAATTTGGCCTGATTTGGTTCTAGGGTTATCAAATTCGTTAATTTGAATAGCATTTGTATTTTTTTGTTGCTGCTTAACGTTTTCTAATTGATATCCTATAGAAGGAATGAACTGAAAAGTTATTCGATTAGGTATATTTGTGACTTGCCGGCTTGCCTCCAGAGGAGTCGATTGGATGGCAAAAGGATTAGTTTGGCCATTACCGTTACTTGCTTTACTATACACGATATAAGTTTGATCTTTCTCATAATTTACTGATTTATTATCTTCCAATGGATGAGGAATAGTACCTACAATTTTGTCCTGAATCTGTGCAGATATTGTATTATCAGCACCAAGATACTTGTTAATAGTTTCTTGAATATTATCTGCCTCATTAGGTGACGGTAATTGTAATCTAGCTGGCACAGGTTTTGAATTAACTGTTTCAATTTCTGTACTAGTTGTCCGGATATTATTATTTAAATTTGAGATTGGTAATTGAGTATTACTGGACTGTATAAAATTTCCTGAATTTTGGCTAAAGCTTTGTCTATTGTATATTTGTTCAGTTACATCTGGTACTGGTAGCTGATACAATTGTCCACTGTATATCTGATTTTGATTAGGTACAGTTGATTGATAATTTGCATTTAAGTTATTTTGTCCATTTTCATATTGCGTCAAGAACAAATTTTGATTAGATAATTGAGGAGTTGATGTAGTTAAAGGCAAAAAGTCATTCGGATTCTTTTGTTGATTTTGTATAACCTGTTCTGTCAATTCCCTGTATTGATAGCCTGTATTTGAAGTAGACTGTGGTGTAGATATAATTTTTGCATTTTTTAAATTGTTATAGTTATTTCCAGAATAATGTGATGATGTAAGTTGAGATATACTATTCGTGATTTGCGACAGTTGCTCATTGTTAACATTTTGGAACTGTGTTTCCATAGGTGTAGGTAACTTGTTCTGCTGCACGAGATTATTATATTCCTTTGCTATATTGATGGAGTCAGCCAAAAGTGAGAATACCAGTGCCTGTGAATTAGAAATACTCGAGTTTTTATTTTCAATCAGTTTACCAATAGGAATAAAATTTGTGCCACTGCTTTTAGCTAGAGGATTATTTGTTAATACTAAATAATTACTACTTCCGGTATTTAATATTTCTAACCTATCAAAGTTACTTTCATTGCGTCTTTTGAATAAATAAGAGGCCACTTTTTCTGGTATTGATATTTTTAAAGAAACTGTTCTTTCAATTGTGTTTGCTGAAAATGGAGGTTCTTTTAAAAATGGTAGGCTAGAAAATTCATTATTATTCTGATTAATATCATAAGATTCTTCGGGAGGTTCTAAATCTACTGAAGGACTTAGAATAAGTCTCGAACTAGATGGCGCAATAGTTGGAATCTGTCCAGTAAAATTTTCAACACTTTCAAAGCTTTCTACTGGTGGAAGATAACTTTCTTCAGGGTCATCAAACTTTGTAATATCTTGTTTATATTGGCCATATTGCCCTGAAGGTGCAGTACTTAAAAATTTACTCGTATCTTTTACTATATCATTTACTGTTATATCTAATTTTTCCTTTGTTAATATATCTGTGAATGTTAGGTTGTTATTATTAGTATCTATCGTAGTTACCGTAGTAGGAACTGTATATGTAGGTGCTGGTAAAGTAGCCGGTGCCACTCGCAATTGTCCACTTTGGTAGTTATTGGATTGTTGTATGGAATTAGGGCTAAGATATTGACGAGCTAGAACTATAGCGTTAGGGGATTCGTTTTCTGTGGGCGGTAAATACAATTTTGCAATTGGTTTAAAAGTGGTAGGAACTAAATAAAGGCGGGAGGCTTTAGTTGGTAATGGAGATGTTTGTTTTAAAATTTGATTAGTAGTGACAGTAGGAAGAGGATATGTTGCTAGTTCTCTATTGTTTGTAACTTTCTGTTTAGCAGCAATTGTTGGTCTGCTGTAAACATATGGCTGTTCAGTATCTGCGACTATTTTAGCCTGTGAATATGTTGTTAAAGGTTTGCTATATACATAAGGTGTAGTAGGATCTGTTAGTTTCTCAGTAGGGGCTCGTGTAGGTCTGTCGTACGTGTAAGGAGCTGAGCTAGACTGTATCAATTTAGCAGCTTTTGGTTTAGGTTTAACAATCCATGTTTTAACAGTTACTCGAGATTTAGGTTTTCCTGGTTTTGGTTCGTTTACTAGTCTACTAAATGTTAGTGTTCTTGTTATTATAGTAGGAGGAACGTTATCACTTTTGGTACTTACCAAATTTTGCTTTATTTCTGAGTTTCTAGTGATTTCATTAGAAAATCCTGGAGTAGGTGTATTGTATGTGTAAGGTGCATTATTTTGATTTGAAGCATATTGCTGTTGTTTCCCACTATTGAAATGAGTTAATCTGTAATCATTGTCATATTGTGAATTCTGTTGATTAAGTTGTCCTCTTTGACCATTTACTTCATTTGGTATTGTTATAGAAGGGTTTATATTAATATTTGGTTTATGGCCATATTGTGTATTTACCGCATTATTTCTTTGAATTGTTCGTGTTATTTGTGAATAATTATTATTGTTTGCTTTGCTGTTGTAAGCATAATCATTGCTGGCAATTATATTTTTAGGCTGTTGCTTTTGGAATTGATTATTTTGCGTTTCGTACTCTTTTTGTCTTTGAAACACTTCTACTCCTCCTTGAAGTGTGTTTTGTACATCATTAAAAGAAGCTGGTAAATACAATGATTGGGGTGTTGACGCAGAAAATAAAATATCATTACTGTTACCATTTTGAATCGGACTTTGTAATTCTTGGGCTGGAAGATAAATATTTTTAGGGATTCGATCAGTGTTAGCTAATAACGCTGCGTTCGGGTATATTTGACCGTAAGGAGGATTATAGTTTTGCATAACAATAAGATTGCTCTTCATTATTGTTTTATCATAAGGACTCCTCATAGGATGGGTAAGCATTTTTTTAATGTCTTTCATTAATTGTGGTCCCAATCTTAAATTGCCGAACTTCTCATTATTATTGTTAAAGAGCTCCTTTGACTTTGCACAGTTGACGTTCATCCACCAGTCACAAACGAATACAGCTTGATTGAATAGTGTTCCATTAGGGCAAAGAAAGGACTGGAAACCGTAAGTAGAGCCTATAGTGCAGATCCTGAATACTTGACAATTTGTTTCCAAATCGGCGTAATATCCTGAAAGTTAAAAGGAATATGATTTAAGTTAAATAAAATTTCTTTGTAAAAATTCTGTAATATACTTATTTACTATAAATGTATATTATACCATATTATTCATTATATATTCTACTTGAACACGCTAGACTTGTATGTGATTGCATTGTTTGATTTGATTACATATTATAAGGGAGATAAATTTATTTACCTGGTGCTTTGCCAGCACATGAGAAGGAAGTTTTGGGAATAGCACCGAGAGTGGGGTAGTCTGAACCAGGTTCACCTGGCACTGCTAGTTTTATGTCCCAACCATGACCATTGTGGTCGTGATATTGTCGTCCTCTACCATTCTGGCCTCCAACCCAAGAGAAGCTGAGGACCACTAGAAATAATAAATAAATTAGGTAATATAATTGAAGATATTAAATAGTACCTTATAATGGCGAACTAAGGTGAGTTAGTAAACATATATTTTTTATAATTACACTCATCATCTAAGAGAAAATATGCTTTTTTTGAGTATAATCCTCAAGATAGAAAACCTTAGTAGATGATTCCGCTGTAAAATAAATGTACTACCCGTACTACCCTAGCTGCGTCAAATTCGTTTGCGTCACTGGAGTATCATATAGTGCATATACGACGAAAAAATGTAATTCAAACGTTTTTATGCAGTAAATCTCACATTTATAATTAATATGATCAAAATTAAAATAATCAAAATTGGTTTTACAACACGAATATATTTTGTCCCACAAATTATTTCCCTTAACTAAGAAATGGCAAAATGTTCAGAATATTTTATTCTTGCAATGTAAGAAGGTCCAAACTACCACTAAAATTAATATTTTACAAATATTTTGTTGGCCAGATTTTTTCTAGAATATAATTTCCAGTACTTAATATAATAATGTGTACCTACATGACAGTTTCCTACGTAATTTCTGCAGTTGTGTTGCAAACTAAATAACATGGAGACAGTTCTCATAGAGTTTTTGTAGGCCGCAGTAATCAAACGGCAAAAAGACGATCAATGTGCTGTTTGGATAGTTAGGTCTCACGCACGAGTACCTACGTACGTAGAAAACATTGACAACTTAATTCTACAGTTTGGCACAAACATAGGAATTAATGTCGTATATATACCTACATTTTAATTTGTTTTCTGTAAACAGATTAATCTATATACAATTTCAATAACAGAAAGTAGTATATATATATTGTATATATGTAATTTATATAATCAATGTTAGGGCACCATCAAGTATTTCTGTACTTCCCTGTTCCCTGTAGAATGCCGCATTAACTTCGGCTTTTGACCCATAATTTATTGGTCAATAAAGTTTTAATTTAAAAAATAAAGTACCTATATATTTCTTTACATGAGGTCTTACGTTTCCGCAAGACTTCTGTAAAGAATTTGGTTCTCAAGTGGTAATTGTCGATGTATTATAATTTAAATGTGTACGAAATGTATTAATTTAGTACTTATTACAGCTCTATCTCCATGAATAAATTAATATATTATTTCACTCTTCAACCGAACAAAACTGAACAAAGTATGCTGTTTGGCCTACCTACACTGTGATCAGTACTTTTCACGCAAAAACTACTGAACGGATTTTAATGAAACTTTACAGTTATATAGCTTATACATCAGAATGAAACCGGGGGCACAGCTAGTACAATATATATTCCTATTAATAAAACAGCATATTAGATACGTAGTACCTGTCTACTGGAAAAGTTTTGTGTGAGTTTTGATGGATAGCCATGGCTCGAGAGGGTATATTCCCAAATCGAATATTGAATACGTGCTCGGCAAGTCCAGTTTGATTGGCTTGTTTTGTGTAGCGATATAATCAAACAAAACCATTGGGACGCATACATACCAGATAGTTGATTATTTTAGTTTTGTGGAGCGGTCATTATGTACATACCTATATGTAAAATGATTTTAAATATCTACCTATATTATTACCTAATTCGTTTATACCATTGATTTTACAAAATAATGACAATACATTTAATCTTAGAAATAAATGTGTAAGGAGAATATTTGAGAGAATAATGAAGTAGACGATATATGAAAATCGAATGTCGATATTCGATTACGAACACGTATTCGGTTAGTTTAGTATGATTAAGTTCGATTCGATCAGATAAAAGCATTAGGACGATCGACACCGGACACTTAATCAGATTATTCTATATGACAGTTTCCGTATTTCTTCATCTACATATTGAACTGCCTATTTTAGATACGTTAACTTTTAAAATGTATGTATTAGATAAGTTTAAAATAGAGGTTTCAAAAGTAATGTCAACAACGTTTTGTATAGGAACAAATTTGTAACGAGAATATTTGCAGAATTTATACAATGAAACTGGACGATATATTGCGAAGGAATAAAATCGAATGTCAACATTCTATTACGAACACGTATTCGGTTAGTTCAGTTTGATTAGATTGGATTCAATCAAACAAAACCATTGGGACACATTGATATCGGACACTTGATTATACTAGTTTTTATGGGACAATCTCCGTATTGCTTTGTGTAGATACGTAAAATTTGAATTATATTATAATAGATTATTCACTTTTTTATTTACTACTAAAAAGTAAAGTGGACGATAAGTATAGAGCGAAAATATTCGTTGTAATCGTATTATTAAGTTATGTAGCAATAGACTTATTTAATTTGAATTATTTTTAAATGATTTTAAAAAAATACTATTTATGAGATAATTCGCAAAATTATTCAATTGTGCCTGTGTATGATACGATGGAGGTTACGTGTAAACCCCCGTAGAAATGAAAATGGGCTCTACGGATTATATTGAGGAACTTATAAATAAAGAGTCTGAAAATGATTACATGAGTCGACCTAACACCAGAAGTAACCAGTATATAGTTTGCATTCTAAGCTGTTTCGGTAGAAGGCCGAGATAAGTAGTGAAATTACAGAATATGGGGGTGCAACATCTTGCTTTCCGTAATGGCATCGCATAAGTCATTTTTATTCACGGACGTTATCATTAAAAACGTAGTGCCTTTGGTGCTGTTCATGTACGTAGGAGACGGTTACCACATACCATCAAGTGGGTCGGCAACTTGTTTGCATTTTAGTTACAAAAAAAAAAGCAATATCCTCGTATATAATCGTATATTCATAAGCAATAGATGTAGGTCGATTTGAACATATGCATGAAGAATGCTATATAAAAATGTCATAATGAGAATAAGCAATACCAAAGGCGAAGAAACCTACTTGGAAATCTATAGATAATGAAATAAATAATAGTAAATGGATTAAGTCGTCATGATCGCACGATAATTAACTATCTATATGAAATTGTACAAGCAACAGTCTCAGGAACAAGGGTGCATTGATGCAATGATTTATGAAAGTATATGAAGAAGTAGGTAAATGAATTTATGTAGTGATGGAAACTAAATATTATTTTAATTATAAATTTAACTACCTACTACATAAATGGAAATTAAGAACATTTACTAACAAAAATAAAGTATTAAATTTAAAAATTTATCAAGTTTTTGAGAAAACTATAAAACTAAAATGATATACATACACATAAAATTCCTCGTAACTTTGTTTATCTGTAGTTTTATGAACTTTCATTTTCTATGGCTGTTTGCAATGTTATAAAAATTTATGGTACCTATTAACATTTTAGTAATGTGTGTGTAACAATCAATTATAAATATTCTAACGATACTTAGTCGAAACTTAATCCATTCATATTATTTGTAATTACTTCAGTTATAAGTAATGTTAAGTTACGATAACTCTATTAACAGTAGTAGAGATTTTTAGTTTCTATGTATTTTACAGAAACGTAAATAAATAACTAGTATTTGCCAATAACTGTAGAAATTATTTTTATATACGGTTATATCATATTAAACTTTTATAGGTATTCGTAAAAAACTATTTTAAAATAAATATCTAGATAGTGGTAAATTTTTGATTGAAAAATTCAATGGACGTGTGGTTTAGAAAAAAGTAAAGCACAAATATCGTCGATATGCTATTGGCACGACATCTACCTACAAATCCTACAAACCTGATTAAATCGGGTACCCTTTCCAGCATCACTCGATTACAGTATACCAATACTGTAGTATTTATTCAATCATATGATAGCACTGACCATCTAATATTGTTTGCATTGACAGTGTCTGAAGATCAACCACAGTCTAAGTATGTAACTACGATCGCTCTAAAGATAGTGATCCAATAATAAGTACATAAATATTTTGTTGCTTATATGTATATATATTCCATGCATAATAATTACATATACATATATATATATTTATATTATTGTGCATGAAATTTAAATTACTATTTATTCATTTGATGGTATGCTCCTTATGTAGTCCACAAACACTCCCAATATCAGATAATTATGATGTCTCATATAGTCGCTGTACCCAGTAATATCTCAACCATAATTCATCCATCAAATCTGAAACACAGTATGCAAGCAAGCTAATTATCGGCATAATTAACTACATAGCAACTAATAAACAGATTTGAACTATAATAATATGATAGCTCTGTGTCCCTGATGTATCTCATCTAGGTACCTAATGCATATAGTTAGAGCATATAAATGGGCAAATCCCGAGAATGAATGGCGACATATATCCATACTATGTATATAAAATTTCGAATGTGCAATTTGGCTGTCGATTTTCGCGATTAAATAACCTTAATGCAATTTGACATGGTACTAGATTGTATCACGAGGACTGACATAGGGTATCTTTTATTTCAGAAATAATTTGGAAGGGGTTGAATTCGGTAATAAATCTTGCGCATAAAGTTACCCAGTATTAGTGCTTTTATTAAATAAATTTAAAGTAATACTATGACAGTAATGAGAAAGTAGGTACTCCATCAGAGTAAGAGGCATTGTCGCTGTCGGGGTTGTAGGGATGAGCCTAGTGACGTCCGTTAATTATGATAATAATAATCATCTTTATTAGTCTCAAATAATGAACTATTACATTTTCTGCTTATAATAAAATTAATATTAATCGAGATAAAACAATCGCAGCGCAATGGAGGCAGTGAGGTCACCATCTCTGTTATTCTCTTATAGCCCTAAATTAATACATTAAAAAAAACTACGAGGACGATAGAATTTAAGTTAAAAACTGTAATAAAAACTTCTACAGTAACAAAATTTAATAAAAAACTAATAATTACTCAGCATAATCGTACATAAGTTATATTAAGTACATCATAAGTCGCGGATACGCGCGTACACATATTTTCACCAACACAAATTAGTAGATATCAGCGTTTCGAAAAGTTAAATTGAAATCGTTTTAGGTGTACTTTAGATACTACAACTTTGGGGCATCTACATGTCGCAGCAAGTTTGCTGCGACATGTAGATGCCCCAAACTACAAGACGATGAGGATCGCTTACACAGAATACTTTTTATTATCTAATTACTATTAACTACTACTAATTTTTATTGTCTAAAAATATGACTAAATCGTATAACTTACAAATAATAAAAAAGCTCCACATTTCAAATGTCCATTTAATTCCCACTGCAGTTGTTTAAACTTTCTAATTATCACGAATGGCACACTGTAAACAAATTCCTTTGTCACATAAATTTAAAAGTTACGCACAAATTATGAAATTACCGGCAAGCATTGTGAGCGAGCGCAAGTGACAGTAAGAATGGCGGGCTTCTATGGCGTGCGTATATTATGTTTTGGTTATGACATTCTTGCCCTACCACATGCTGAACCCCTTACTAACCAACCATATCAAATCAATAGACTCAACGAAAAATTCCATTTATAGGTTACCTATTGTTCTTTGGATGGCCGTGGTGGTTTAGCAGTTTAGCACACTGCTTACTTTCTGGTAGAGGGTTCGATTCCACGCACAGTACCTACAAGCATTTGTATTCAAGAGTACGATTTGACGCACGTTTGTATATTATTATAGGTCTTGGTGTTTTCTATGTAGGTATATATTTTTTAATGAATAATAAGCAAATGTAGCACGCGCCTGCGCTAACAGTTTACGTTGGCGCAGAGGCTGCAGTGGAGGATAATAGAATGAGCATGAGGTGAAGTCTACCCATCGTAATAAATTTACCAGAAATTTATCTTGATGGTTTAACAGGGGGAACCGCGTGAAGATCAACAAGACATGGTACCCTCCTAGCAATGTTGTTAGTCCACATTAGAAACAACACCCTTCCGCATATTACTTATGTATGTATAAAAAATATTAATATCACTTGTCTAGTAACAATAACACAAGCTCTGCGTAGCTTAAGACTAGATAGATAGCTTGATCTGTCTACTTACCGCATCTAAGAATACGGATAGCATTTTCTAAGGACTACAGGTACAGTCGGCACGAATTAGAAGTAAGCAACGTATACTGTATATATACGTTGCTTATTTATATAAATGATCCTGCATGGAAATGAATCTTAGCCTCTTATTTTAGACGCCAAGGCATGTAAGTTATGGGTAAGGTTGTAGGGTAAATGAGGCAATGAAATTACCCGATAAGAGACATTTACCTTAGTCCTTTGGAATGGTAAGTGGTACAACGGTCGTCACATAATGACGTGATGTCCATAGTACTGGTCATGTAACCGACGGTTACTACTTACCATCAGGGGACATCAAATTATTTTTTTATTCCATTTATGTAAAGGAAAATAAATTATCTAAGAAAATAGGCTTTTAAAACTAATTTAGTTCATCAACATGATACTTCATAATGCTAATATATATGTAAATATCCTCTTGGGCACTTTGTGATATTTTCCCACATTTATTTATTAAGAAGATATATAAATTAGCCGAGGTGCTAATTTATATATCTTCTTAAATTTACAAATGCGATTGTAGATCATTGTAATAATACACATTATTGCGTAGGGTAAATACAGATTCGCATTTAGGCCGTTGCTATTACTAATAATCACTTAGTTACCTACTTATTACTGTGTCGATGGGTTCATTATTCCATCAGCATCTAGAAAAAACACCTCACGGAACAGACACAAGTCTGTATGGGGAGAGTGCAAAATGATTATAGTTGTTAATATTATTCAGTGTAATAAGTGTTGTAAAAACAATTTGACTTTGATTGTCATGAGAACATGGAGTAAAAAGCCATCTCATTGTCTTATCATCTGTTTACTTACAATTTAGACATAATTAGATTAGTTGGACGTAATAGCGTCGAATGTTGTGCAATATTGCACATTAATCCTGGAAAATAGGTTAATAAAAAATAATTATTAATTACTGCAATCAATATTATTTATGGATAAAATATAAAATTTTTAAAACTGCCTCCTCCTCGAGTTCTTCTTTATAAAGTATTTATATTTATCTATTTATGTTTATAAATTAGTAACTACATTTCTATATACTGATGATCTGGACTCTATGAAGTTACTGTAAATGCCCATTTCTCAAATTTTTCATGAATTATATTCCATCCGTACTCTGTACCAAGTAATAAATAGTACGAATCCAAAACGTATATGACCGTGTTATGAGCACTTAACTGGGAAACCACGTTATAAAGGTGAACTAACTTTATACCAGACGTAGCCTTTGTTAACTTTAACCTGCCTAGAACGACTAATAATGTATAGGTAGATTCGCATAATGTAGAAAAAATTAAAAAATATGGTAAAAATGAGCAACAATATAAGTCTCAATATGTCTGAAAATTAGTCATAATATTTTTATAGACGATTGGGAAATATATAGATAAAAAGAACTGTACTACAAGGGTACTATCAGAGACTATAATGTCCTAAATCGAATTTGAATATCTTCAAGGAACATAAATTACGCTTAATTTAAAAAGTAGATAGGTACCTATAGTAGATTTTCGATAAAATATATAGATAAATTTTTGAATAAATTTTATACTTTATATTTGTTATCGACTACTAGTATTGGAATCTTATATATCTGTAACCACAATGTTGCTGGGAGGGATTGGCTTCGAATGGCTTCTATAGATGAATCCAATTCATTAGATAATAAATGGAATGAGATCTTTGTGTTTATTGTTGCACAACTATGTAGCATTGTCGAGCGGAAAATGATAATGCAGGTTCGCAAAAAAAAGTCAAGTGTGTATTGTATAGAATGCTTAGATTCTTTGTTAGTAGCTGCCTACTTAGTTTATTATTTTAAGTCACTACTGTAGATGTCCTAAATAAGGACTGTTGCGTTTACTCTACCATGATACTACTGATATATCTCCTCGGCGAATTGACGTCACTAGATACGTATAGTTACCTAGTTACTAGTATGTAATAGTATACATTAGTATGTTTTATTTATGTTTTTATTAATGTTTAGTATGTTTTATTATTGTTCTACTGTAATTGTTACTAGTGTAATATATACATTTTTCATATAAATTACGATTTTTAAATATAAGACTACAATATGTATACGTTTTGATAAAACATTAAGTTTTTAACTATTTAGGTTCTCCGAGTATTTTTACTGTTGTATTCAATTACCTCCTAGAACTTAACTATTTATTTGTAAATGTCTAATTATTTGCTTAATTACCTAGGCAAGCCAAAATTATTACTATAATCTAATTATGGGATAAATTAATCAGTCGAGAATATTTCTACCCGTTTTTAAAAAGAAATTAAAGTGACTGAACTGAGTGACAAAGTTCAATTTTAGTTTCTTACTTGCATTAAAATCATAGGTTGTTTTTCAGAACTATTCTAATACTGTTGGCCACAGCTGGTCTTTACAGCTTCTCCGAATGATAAAGCACGAGCAGATGAAACTCCAAACCCGCGGAATGACGTCTGGAGCGACTGAAGGCCAATTCTTCAAATGCCTGACGAATACGACTTTAGTCTGAGGGCTACAGCACTAGGTGTTTGAACCTTGGTGGAGGCCGTCGTAATTTCGATTCCCAATTGAATTGGATGGGGAATCGATCGGAGGGGAAATTAATACGTGCAGTAGGTGCACATACGAGTAGGATCATTTATAGAACTTCTATCTTCTGTGGTATCCCAGCTCGGTCAGTATACGTCGCGCTGTCAATCTACTTCGTTTGATATAAACAGTACATTAGGTCCTTGATGTATATATTTTTAAATAGTTAAACGTAAAATGAAAACTGGATTGACGGATCCCTAAAATTGCACAGTTGCATACAACAACAAAGATCAAATGTATTGCGTTCGGATACAAGCACAACAGTGTGATAATTAGAATGTGTCAAACTTTCTTGTGATATTTAACTATGTAAAATAGTTTCATAGATAACTATTAGACAGGCGCCGTGTGAACTTGCCTATTTATCCCAAATCGATGGATAATATTCAACAATAAATTTACTTAGTTGCGTGAGAAATCTATAGGTGGGTATGTATGTGAGGTTCGGAAATCTATTATTGTATTAGGTGTGCTTTGGTTGCTTATGATAAGTGTAAAAATCAAGTACAATGGAGTGGTTATAATATTTGTGAGCAATAGTCGGCTTATCTCTAAAATTGATCTAGCGCTGATTAAATAGGAATTATTGGTAATATTGAGTACAAGAGAATTATTAGTAATACAATTAGTTACTAATCTCACGTGACTATAGGACCAGATCGAGCAAAATATTACGACATTCCGCTCTAGGGAATTTTTAGAGGACATACAGAACTAAAAAAAGTTGTGTCTAATTAGAAATGTTGTAATTCCTTAAATAGCAAATATAATATTAATGCCGATGAATATGTAATATATACTAATGCCTCAGATGATATAGTTACGTTACTAGAGTATGTGTGATGTTTTGAATGATAGTCATTTATCACGATGGTTTCCAGGGGGAACCGCGTGGAGGTCGACCTCTCCCTAGCAATTTTCAATCCATTAGTTGTTCTCATTTTCTGCATACCCATTATTCAGGAGCTCAAGTTATCGGATACAACTGTAGCAAGACAACAGGCGTAATATCGCATGTAGAATGCTTAGGTGTACACATAGGCTCAACTTTTTAAAACAAATATATAATTATTATTTTTTAATTTCATCATCAAACATTATTGTTTAAGTAACAATAATGTTTGATTACCAATGAATAAAAACTCAATAACAAATAAGATTTTTAACAAATACAACAAACATGATATTATTATTTTATATGTTTTGGTATTAAATGCCGCCAAATAACCGTATGGAATTTAACGAAGCCAAGTTTCTTATACAGATTGTATGCATTTTCATTTCCTCTCATGCAATAAGCGAACGAATCCTTATTCTCTTTCAAGCGATTATTGCAAACTAATTTAAGTAGTATTTCTGCGTATCCTCTCTTTCTGTAGTCGAGTATGGTGTACAAATGTGTGAGAGCTCCAACTTCGTTGATGAATACCCAGCATGCTAGTTCATTGTCTTTGAATATTCCAAAGCCTGATTGTGTTGTAATCAACAACTCGATGTACCAAGCAGAGCTATCATAGCGATTCACCCACGATGAGTCCACTAAATTTATATGCTCTTTTGATAACGGTTTAAACGTCAACCCTGCAGGTAAACTGTAAATTAGAAATAGAATACATCTTACATAAAAGTCACCACTTACTTTGAATAACATTCTTTATACTATTCCATAATGTAAATACTTACCTTAGATAAGTAAGTAGGGGAGGGTGGGGCAAGACGGGGTAGTTAAGGTTTGACACTGAATAAAACTCACATTTAAATAGCGACAACCATATTTTCTTTAGTTTTACAAACTTTGGTAATCGGTTTATTGTTTAAATGACAATAGACTCAAATTAGCTTATTATTTATCTCATAATCAATAGTTAAAGCGAAAAGGTCACTTTGCCCCATCTTGCCCCATACCTGGGGTAAGACTAATAAAAAATTTAAGCGGTCGAAATATTCTCTTACCTTACTTTATGCTTTTTTACTCTTCCAAAAAAAAAAATAGCAATAACAGCAACCACTCATCAATTTAATATTTTTTTCATGTAGTTAACAACAATTGAAAATAATAAGTAAACTGGTCAAAACTAGTTTTTTCGCTCAAACATCTAAATGCGACGTCTCACTGCGGTGGTTCTCAGGCGACCGAGGGGGTCAAGTAATAGCTTATTACTGGTATTATTGTTTTGACTGAGGTTCATTTGGTTTTCTCTATAAGGGGGGTACCCCGTCTTACCTCGCTACCCCGTCTTGCCCCACCCTCCCCTATATACTTATGTACTAATATATACGTAGATAATAACAATGACCCTGGGCAATTCACACAGCGCCATCTAGTCCCTAGCTAAGCAGAAGCTGTGTAATGTTTACTAGATAACTGATAGAAATACTTAAATATTTTATTTCTTTGTAAATAAGATAATATACATAGAAAACATCTAGACTGACACAAACAGTCATACTTTGAATACAAAGGTTTGTATCACGCGAGGAATTGAACCCGCGACCATTGGAAGTATGGCGGTGTGCTTAACCGCTAGACTACCGAGGCCGTCAAACGTAGATAGTAATGAGTATATGTTTATACTTTAATGGACGATTGTGTATGGTGCCTTACTTACGCTAACGATTTAAGCAAATTTTATATTTAACTTGTTATGGAACATGTAAGTATTGCCTATATATTACCTGATATCTTTAAAAAGAGGATTAAGTTTATCCAATATGAAAATTTCATGCGGACATCCCTCTCCGTCTATTTCCATGTTGACGTCTCTAAGAATGTTTCTGATACAATTAGTAATATGACTTGGTGGATATGGCACAGTCATTGATTGTCGCCAGTCTATTAACTTTGTCAGTCTAAGAGCTTCTTCAAGCTGTGACGTGTCTTCTTGTGGACATTGTATTATGATTTCATTGAAAGTACTCTGCAACATACCATTTACAATAAATTTCATAAATTTTTTTTTTTATTGTATATAATCTATGAGAATATGTTTGTTAGTTGCATTTTACATTTTTGATCATGATTAACATCTTCATTAGTATTTTTAAATTGCAATGCCTAAAATTTTTTTTCAGTGCGACGGTTGCCAGTGAGAGATTGCCAATTTTGAATGCAAAATTATAAATAATTGTATTTGTAACTGTAACCCATACAAATTTTAAGACACATACATACGTATCATGACATCCTAGTCTTCTAGAATGGCAATGCAAGTCTGATACCATGGGCGTCAAGTGATTGCGTGATGTCAATGGTGATGTTCCTGTAAGTACATAGTTGGCATTTACCATTTCATTTGTAAAAGAAATGGTAAATTTTTTAATATTTCTTTAAATTTCTTCAAAAATAATATTTTTCAAAGAAGGGTAGTGTTACGATAACAGCCACATTTGTAATAGTCATAATAGCACTTACCTTTTTATTAAAAGCCACCATTCCATTATTTACAATACCAAATGGACAGTACACTTTAAACTCATGTTCAATTCCTCTTTGCATCCATTCCTTTTGGGTCTCTAGTGCGTAGTATGCAGATATTCCTCGAGGCCAATTTTTCATAAAACTAGCTTGTAATTCTGGCCATTTTTCTAGTGGCAAATATTCTAGTGAATCTTGTTTCGTTACCGCCATGAAGTAGGTCAATTATAAGAATAAACGTGTATAAATAAACTCTATAAATAGTGCATACTATAAGTACATTTGACAAGACAATGCCTAGATAATATGTAAAGTAAATAAGTACTTAGTATACCTAAGAGATTTTACTTTATTGTAGTAGATATTTGTAAATAATAATAAGGTAAATTGTTTGCTGTATATAATTGCTCCATTATATAGCCCAGATAAGAAAATAGGACATAGTTTTAATTAATTAAATAAAATTATAAAGTCAATAACGATGCACAAGAGTTACGGATTGTATTTCTGTCAGCTGTTGTGGTGTGCTATGAAACTAGATCATGTTGTTATAAGCAAAATTATTAGGTCAGTACATATGATGTATAGATACTACAACTTATCACTTATTTTCTTTACCATTATGTTCCTGACTTGGTGGTGAGAACAGCCACAACAACTTATTGAAAGAATATAAATAAAAATTATACAAATAAAAAAGAGTAATAGGGAGATCGTCGCTGGGAATAAATACTTCTTCTGTATGCCTAGTATTTACCTCTATTTTTCATTCACAGTTAATTTTGTCTTCTACCAGTATTAGATAAAACAACAGACACCTTATTATAAACCAAAAGTCCATATTTTTAAATCATTATTATATAAAAATTTTCGTCCAGGAATATTCTAGTGACATCACACACTATATATATATAATAATACTTACACTTAAAGCAATTGTAATAAAACTCTAGTAACTATGATGTGCATTAGGATTGCAGATTGCACGGTCAATACGCGACTTCACGTTTATTGCAGTGTTCCTATTCTCTTGTACTGTAGCTATGTTCATTATAAATCGTTGATCGATAAGAGACCTTGATGTCAATGGAAGCGGTCAACGATATACGATATACTTACATAGCATAACCTCGCGACACAAAAGGATGTAATCGTCGCCTACATTAATAAACACTGAGTAGGTATTCAGTGTTTACTTACGTATTAATACAATTTTATATATTCTATATTAGCATGTAATATAGAATTATGATAGTCAATATTAATAATTTTTGGTAGTTTAAAACCTCATTCACGTGAGACGAAATACTTACTTTAAAAACCTTATTAAAATTTTATCAAAATATAAAACGTATCAAAAATAACAAACAGTTCCTATTGAATAATAGTTAATCATAACATCCTTGTACGTGTGATTTATTCTACTTTGATAAAGCAGTGATTTAGGCTTTACCTATTACCACAAGTACATTTTATACGCAACTGTCATATATTACTCTTAACACTACAAAACTAGTTAAAAAATCAAAACGATTTAACGCTAAATTAGACTATATTACCATACATTGTACATAATAAAAAACAACTGATAAATATCTACCCCAGTAGTAACTATTTAAGAGAACCGGCGTTTATTATAGTATCAGTGTCTGTTCAGAAGTGAGTTCGTATTAATGGCAGCAAAAATGTCTAAAAGTGACTATGTTAAAAATGAAATCAAAGCATCAGCTTTGGATCTTATCGGTAACACGCCAATTGTTGCTCTCGATCGTCTGTATACAGGACCTGGTCGTATTTTAGTTAAATGCGAATTTATGAATCCGGGTGCTTCGATCAAATGTCGTTCAGCACTAAAAATGATAAAAAGAGCACGAGAATCAGGTGAATTAAAGCCAGGAGATCCTATCATCGAAAAGACCTCTGGCAATCAGGGATGCGGACTTGCAGTTGTTTGTGCAGTATTGGGTCATCCTGCCACATTAGCAATGTCCAGAGGTAATAGCATCCAGCGAGTAATACACATAGAAGCACTGGGTGCTAAGTGTATCAGAGTACCACAGGTGGAGGGAACATATGGCAGTGTTACGTTTGCTGATGGACAGGCAGTGGAAAAAGAAGTTATGAAGATAGTAGAGGAAACAGGAGCATATTACGTAAATCAATTTTCAAATAAAGCCAATGCTCAGGCCCATTATGATAGCACTGGACCTGAAATTTGGAAACAGACTGGGCATCATACAGATGTTTTTGTAGCGACAGTCGGCACAGCTGGAACATTTGCTGGTACCTCGAAGTACTTGAAAGAGAAAAATCCTAAACTTTTGGCCTATGTCGTGGAACCTGCTGGTTCTGAACCTATAAAGGGTGAACCCATCACAAAACCATTGCATTTACTTCAAGGATCTGGATATGGGCGTATACCAGATTTGTTTAATTACGAATATATGGATGGTACTGTGAGTGTTACAGATGACGAAGCTGTTAAGTATATGAAACTTATTGGTGAAAAAGAAGGTCTGTTTGTAGGTTACACAAGTGGTGCTAATGTAGCTGCCGCTGTGAAACTTTTAGAATCTGGACAAGTGCCTAAAGATTCATGGATAGTTACTATACTTAATGATACTGGTTTAAAATATACTCCAGTACCGAAAGAAATGTTATAAATAAAGTTATTAATAAATATAATCATAGCTCCATTGTATAATTGAAAGACATTATCTATAATGTTACATAATATGAACTACGTTAATATACATATTAATGTAGTTTATATGTTCTGTGTTACTGTGTGTTGTTTAGTTGGGCAATAAACTCTAGATCTGAAAACAGTTTTTTATACGCTTCTTTTACCTTATGAAGAATAGAATTTTCGAATTAAAATTAGGTATACCTAATGAATTACAAAGTTAGAAGTCAGGATTGTTTTTCTATAGGTTTTAAATACTTATTGAGGTCGGGGCACTTTTATCTATAAACATGTGTCAGAATTAAAAAAAGAGCATAAAAATATTTATTATTTAATAGGCATTTTAAATTTTCTTTCTCAAGAAACACCAACATAAGTCGTCGTATAGTTCAAATCCCATTTTGGTGTATAATTTCCGCGCGATAATATTAGCGGCAACACTGAATACTACTACATTTTTATTTTCCTGTAATCGCATGTTGCAGACCAATTTCAGCAGTGTTTCCGCCAGTCCTCTTTTTCTATATTGTTCTACAGTGTATACGTGGGTGATAGCACCAGTTTCGTTGATAAACATCCACGAGAGTAATTGTCCATTTTCAAAAAGACCATAACCAGCTTTAGCTCTGATCAGTAGTTCGAAATACCAGGTGGAGCCTGGGTATCGATGAGGCCAGCAGGAGTCAATAAGCTGTACATGTTCTTGATTTAGGAAGTCAAGTGTAATGCCAGAGGGTAAGCTAAAATAATTACAATTTGTATCAAAATAAAATAAGTCAGTTTAACAAAGGTAAATATTGCATCAGTAAAAAAATATGAACTTAATAATTACGAAGCACTAAGATCTTGCATTGATAAGGTAACTTTTATTTATTAACACAAAATTGTCGGTTTATTATATATAAACCTGACATCACATAATTTGAATAATAGAAAATCTCCAAAGTTTCTTGACGGATAACTAGTATGAGAAATGAACGTACTTAGTTTGAAAGTATGTTCAAAGCCTAAGTATATTTATGTTATAATTATGATATATGATTACTACCAAGGAAAGGGATTGTGGACTAATGACCCCATTGCCATTAATGTACTTCTGATGTACAACGTACAATCAGACTGACCTCGACACAAGGGGAGCCCCCTGCAAACCATCATGATAAATTACTAGCAAATTTGCCAAGATGGGTTAACTGATCTGACCTTATGCTCATCTTATCATTTCCGACTGATACCCCGCCAGCCTAAACTGTTAGCGGAGGTGGGTGCACCATTCTATTATAAGCATTTAAAAAAGTCTAGATCACTACAATGACTAGGCAACGATTAAGCATTAAAGTTAAATATGAAAATTTATAGACTGATGGCATTGCAACAAGTCGCATACTGATAAGTCTTTACAAATCTTGAAAACACAACATACAGAGATAATGTGTTCATTATTACATTGAAGATATTATGATTTACTTACTCGATATCTTGATAGGGCGGTGTATGTTTATCTAAACAGAAAAGTACTGATGGAATTGTTTGATATATCTCTACATCAAAATCTTTTACGACCTCTTTGACACATTCAAAAATATGTCGTGACGCGAAAGGTATAGTCACACGTCTGTCCCAATTTATAATTTTTGTATTTCTTAATGCTTTTTTAAGTCTATCCGTATCGTCTATAGGACACTGAATTATGATTTCGTATGCGGTATTCTGCAAATATAATATAATATCTATATTTTATTAAATATATAGCAGAACCGATACAGGTGCCACAATCGTCAATCAACTGAAAGGGATGAAATTTTTGGTATTTTTAATGTATATCTATCTATATAGTATGTATTTAGTAAATAATATTAGTATTAAAAGAAATAATTTTAATAGACACTACAAAAATGACTTCTTTACGTAAAAACAACTGAAATAATTATATCAAAAGGCAAGAAAACAAATCAACATGAATATTAGGGTCATTATCACATAATATGTAAGGTCATTACATAATCAAACAATATACTTTTATGATTCACTCAATTAATTAATTTACTGGAATGTGGTTATTTCCTATTTCTAATATAGTAATGGTAAGAAGACTATGCTTATTATTATACTTATCTCATATTTTTATGTATAATTTATTATAAGAAATTGTCTGTACAATTATAGTAATTCTATTTGCTTACCTTTTCGTTGATAGCTACCATTCCGTTTAAAGCATCAGCATATGGACAGTATACCATAAATCTATGGTTAATATTCAAATGCAGCCAATCTCTCTGATGGTCCAGAGCTGTATATCCAGGCAAACTGCGAGGTGTATCTGTTTTCAAGGCAATCTGAACTTGTTCCCATTTTTCAACTGGATAATATTGCAGCGGTTCATGCATTGTGCATGTTCTAGTATAAAACAAATGGCGAATGAAATGTCGGCTGCGTTGTGTCTATAATTAGTGTGACTGTGACCTCATGTAAATAACTGGTTTATATAATATTCTTATCGTATACCTATAAGTACAATGTATAAGTGTACAAAATAATAAGTACGTCTATATATTAACGTGAAGCAAAAATTATGTACTGCTTTTTACAAAAATTGCGCGGACGCAGGAGTATGAAATTTCGTAGGTATACGTATAGTATATATAGAGAAGGTGTGCAGAATGTAAATATTTTTCTATTTGTACATAAAAAATAAAACAATTCTATATAAAAATATCTTTTATTTATTGTTAGTCTGTTGTAAAATTGAGAAGAGTTTAATATTGTTTTTCTTTTATAGCATTTGTCTATAGTCTTTGATATTGTTAAGGTTATACCTTAACAATATTCAAACTTATAATTTCAAATATTTATGGTCTAATTTTGTCTATTAATTTTATTTTTATACTAAACCTTATAATGTTTTTTTAATTGTTGAAGATGAACGCACTAACTTTCACATTTATATTAAATAAATATTAATTATGAAATAAAATAGAGAATAGAAAAGTAACACCAATTTGATTTTCAAAATGTAGTTTATTTATTCAGACGTATTTTAAAAGCTACAAGTAACTTGTTAACATTGTTGAATTGAGTTGAACGTACAACAAATTGGTTCATACATTGTAAACAAGGGCAAAATCCTGGTTTCACTACAAAGTATTGAAATGAAATTTTGCTTAATCCGTATTATATTGTCACATAAATAAAAATTTGTCTGTATACAAACATAAATATGTCTACTTAGTAAATTATCAATCAATCAGGCAATGAACTACTTATTCATATTAAAGTTTTATCAATATTTTTATGCCTTGATAAGAAAACCCAAGAAACCTGGCCTATGAGTTTGAAACCTAACTTGGTGAACATTTTTTGTGGCTTGTAATTTTTTCCTAAAGTATAAACAAGCACATATCTTCCTTTACTTAACATGTCGTTTAAGGCTATCTTAGTGATGAACTCGCCATAACCCTTGTTTCTCTGGGATTCTATGCAGTAGAGATGCGAGAGAGCTCCACATTCATCAATGTTGATCCATGCAATGGGTTCGTGATCGTTTGTATACAAAACATAATTTAAATTGTTCTCCATTAGTCTTCTAAAATATATGGAAGATGTAGTGCTTCTAAAAGTCCATGCTTTGTCGATGGTGTCAATGTATTCCTCTTTCAGTGGTCCCACATATGTATTATCTGGACAACTTGAAAAGTATAAAAACTAAAATACATTCTGATAATTACGTAATATTTTTTATTATGATTGAAAAAGATTACAATAACGATTATGATGGTTATCTTGTGAAAAAATATTTTGTTATATGAATTTGTCAGAATAAAAGTAATACCAACAGGAATATGGGCATGAAATTTGTGGAATTTAAGACTACATAGATTGCATACTTCGGTGGTCTCTTTGTTAAATATCTTCTAAATATTTTATATGTATTTGCATGGGTATACAAGTTGATGATCCCCCGATATTTAACTGTTGCATTTATACATAAACAAAACCACGGCCATCACATTACCATGCGTTATCGTGCTGGAGGACTGTCATTTATTTTATCCTGTAATTTCATTGCCTTACACCAACTTCAACTAAAACACAACTTACGAAGGAAGCTGCTTGGTGGTTGAAATAGGTGCGACTAAGGTACCCATGCAGAAGACTTTTTACAAAGCATACCTCGTTTCAGTTCTACATACAATATATTTAATATCGAACTAATAGACATTATTAGTCGTTAATATATAATATAGCTACCCATCTTCAGTAGGAAATAACATACACATTCATAAACATATTAAAGTACTCGCAAATTTTTAATATAGGGTCGCAAGCGTCTCGAACATGTTAGTTCATTTCATTACGAGAATATAACATTTCACAATCAACACTTGAAATTTTTACGTACCTGATATCATAACGTGGTGCATTTTTATCTAGAATATAATCAAGAACGTCGTTGTCAAATTCCATATTCACATTTAGTTTCTTGCACACTCTTGTTAGACATTCTAAGGTATTCGGTTTAACAGAGGCTACTGTAATCATAGTTCGATTCCAATCTATTTTTTTAGTATTAAGTAAAGAGTCTTCTATGGCTGCCAACTCATCATTTATTGGGTATATGTATATTTGGTACTTTTCCTACAATTAGAACTTATTTAAATTAATATATTATTTATCATTACCATATTATTTATCATTACACTTGGTGCCTTACTGCAGAATACTGGGTTTCTCCCGATGTGAGAAGTTTACTGGTCAAGATGGTTTTAATTTGACTTTTTCCTTCCTGTGCACTATTTATTTTTACGTGTTTAGTTATAACAAAGAATATATTATTACACCGTCTAATAATTAAAATAATTGTAATAATTCATCTCTATGATAATAATACTATTTCATTTACTCATATTTAAAAATAATTTTTACCATTTCTAACTATTAAAACGGTATTAATATTTACATAACTAGTCCAAACGCTGTAAATAAAAAGATCGGGTAAATATTTCATATGTAACGTATAAGTGTACCTATGAAGAAATTAATTTAAAATAGATTATCTTTTGGTTTAACTTGGGAGATGCAATTGATACACAATTGGAGACAAAAAAATCGAAATTAAAAAGAAATTTTCCAACTATACTATAAACAACAACATTTCTTCTTTTAAAGTGAAAAGTTTATACTTTTAAACATATTTATATCACATAAATGTAATAGATACCACCTATGAAGGACAATCTGTCTATAAACTATAGAGTATATACATACCGTGTCACTAACAACTATTGTTCCGTTACGGATATCACCTTGAGGACTATAGATCACAATATTGAATTCTTCAGACAGGCCTGGACAAGATATTTGCGTGTCCAGAAAGCAGTATCCTTCCGCTGCTTCCGGCCATTTATTTCGATAGAGATCTCGAAGTTCGGGCCACTTGTGTTGTGGAATTTCCATTAGTGGTTCCATTATCTGAAGAAAGAAATTAGATACTACTAATTAATTTTAATATTAATATTATATATAAATTATATAACTTTCGAACAGCTGCCATGGAAGATATAGAGACACAATGGTTTGTGAATTTTCATTGTTATTTCTAAGATAAAATGTATTTTTTATCATTGTCTTATCAGTTGGCAATGGTAAATTCTCTCAATAACGTTAATAGATACTGTTTTAGTTATATAGAATAAATACATATATTTGACGGCTTCGGTGGTCTAGCAGTTTAGCACATTGTTTTACTTACGTTGGTCGCGGGTTCGATTCCTCGCACTGTACTAAGATTTGTATTCATCTCGTTCTGGGTGTATATACGTATGTATGTATTTACAAATAAATGAATATGAGTTATTGTAACAGTCATCTAGGATGGTGCGAAGGGCATGAAGTTAGATCAGTAAGCCGATCGTGGCAAATTGATTATTGTGCTTCCCATGAAAACTGCGTGTCGTTGATATTGACTTGACATGATATATTTTATGTCACTGTAAAGGAAAACAAGCAAACAATCCACATAATTAGCTTGATTGTCCACCGCAGGCATCGTCTAGTTGTATAAAGGAACTGCACTTCGAACATGTTTTATAGTAAGTATGTTTTGTTATTGGTAAGTGATTACCACCGTCCACAAGCATTATGGAGAACTAACTTTCTTTTTGCCTTATAATTTCACTATCCTATCTTACCCTTCAATATAGTATACAGACGAAGTTGTTTGGCGGTTGATTATGGTGGGACTGAGGTGTCCATGCTTATACTTTTTAAATATATATAGCAATTTTTAATAAACATAACATAGTGCCAGATGCCGCTATCGATTAGATCATTTTTTGTAAAAAGGTTTACAGTACTTTATTTATTATGATTTAGTACTATTGTTCAATATAAAGAATCTATTATAGTTCGAGCGGGAAAAATTGTTTGGTAGTAATTCTCTATTCCTTTTTTGAGACTCAATTTTTATAACACGGCTTCTAGTCTTTCTCCTTAAGTAGTAACGACATCTATAATATGAGATAACAACTAGATAGCATTGTACTATTTAATTTCTTTATGAAGAACTTCTAGATGTCGCTTTGATAGAAAGTCTTTTACTTACAAATAGATTCTTTGTCTATTTAGTAAAATCATATAATTTTATAGTATATGGTCTAAATAAGCTTGCGGTTCTATTCATTGTAAGTTTTACTATTGCCAATGAGTATTACTAATACCAGTGGAATTGTTAGTTTGTTGGCTGGTTTTTCGGTCTAAACTGAACATTCTTGACTTATTATAGGGAAGTAGGCATTTGATTTAGGGTAAATAGTAAGTGAACATACCTAACTTAAAACGAAGTAATTTGTACAGGTAAATACAATTGTACAATGTAAATAATGTTAAGTTTACAATATGAACCATTCGTAAACTGTTGAAAAAGTAACCTTAAAGTAACCACTGATCAGACATACTTACTGTCAAACACTGAGCAACTAATCGCAATATTTTTTTATGTATATGTTTTACGGCTCTGGATACAAGTCCTTTTTAGCCCATCATCATCATCATCGTCCTGCTGGACATTTCTCCACGACGATCGGTCAATTTAACAAATAACAAATCAAACTCTAACTTAAAGTTGAGAACGCCAAATTGCCAAATACTTAAAAATACTTGCCAGACTTCAAAATTCTATGTACGTCAATTACATATAAAAATAAGTAAACAAGAGAAACAAATATTCGTTTATTTTGCGTAAGTATATAATAAACAAATTAATAATAATATAACTATAGTATTTTTATCTATATTTAGATTTGATCTTTTTCTCTTTAAATATACAGTGTATATTTATATATTGTACTTATACTTAAAGAGAATGAGAGCAAATCGCTTTAGCTGTTCTTTTAACTAACGACCTAAACGACCATCGCAATATTTATTTTCAATATCTATAAATGTTATTTATAATATGGACATTTACTACGGTTTTCCGAAATTTGGGAGCGACTAGTATACAATTCGAGGCGAACAAAGCCTCGGTGAATCTAATACAAAAACCCTTTTTGTAATTTAGCGTATTGGGCAAAATAAAGCTATATTATTTTTAACTTGTTTTTTTCATATAGCAGTTTAGCGCAGTGTTTACGGTTATCTTTTCTTTTTCAGTATTACATCTGTCATTCGCATTAAAGTCGAAATGCTTAAATCCTACTGATATTATTAAAGTGAGAGTTTTGTGAATGAAATCATTAGTCAATAAAGCACAACGACTTTACGGATTCATGTGAAATTTGGTATACATAGACTATATTCTAAAGTAACACATATGAGACTTTTCTTTCGAATTCCCTTGGAGATAATTGTGGAATACAGTTCGTATGATGTAAATTGTTATTGGAGATAATTTATGTATGTGAATAATTATAGTCGTATAATCAAATGCCTACTGTATAGGATGTGAGATGAAATGCTGTTAATTGAATTATACATTGTCAGACGACAAAACTTTACTAATTAGGGTACGAATGGGGATTGCTACGAGAAATAATTATGTACGCAATGTAGGTGTAGATAATGTACAATACGATGACTGTTATCTAAGAGATAACTTTAGTAATTAGTTCACAGACTTTTGTTTTCAACTGAAAACACTCGTACAAATTATATTTTCTTCCACAAAAAAACTGACCGCATTCTAATTGACAAAGTTGGCGGTATACGGGAAAAAAGGTATAGATTTCAGTCATTCTTTTTGCAATGGATACTCATTGCAAAAAGAATTACTGAAATCTATACAGATAGAAAATGTAATGTAAAATTAACATGCACCTAAATGAAAACATAGCTCGTAGGATAGATGGGCGTTGGGGCAGTGAAGTTCTCGAGTGGCGACCGCGGATCGGAAGACGCAGCGTGGAAATGCCTCCAGCAAGGTGGACCGACAATCTAGTCAAAATCGCTGGAAGGCATTGGATGCGAGCAGCGCAGGACCTATTGTAGTGGAGATCTTTGGGGGAGGCCTTTGTTCAGCAGTGGACGTCTTCCGGGCTGAGATGATGATGATAATAATGAAATCAAAATAGGCACTGAAAAACATGATGAGGTACTCAGTTCCTCTTTATTTATGTGAATGTTACGTGATGGCTTTGCAAATTTCTCCACTGAATTAAAACTGTCCTTTAGGACGGTTGAAGTAACGGCATGAAAATTCTCATATCCACAGTCACATAATACTTGGAATTAAGAATGACTTATTGTTAATATGTACTGTTTATTATGACTATTTTTAATTATTATAGCAATAATAGCCATCTCACCTGATGGTCGCGGGTTCGATCCTTCACAATATTAAAATTCGTATTTATGAGTAATATCTTATGGCATTGTAGATTATATACCATAGAAACTTGAAATTTACACTACTACCCTTAATATTACCAGTTATGCTATACCATACCAGTATGAAAATAAGCACAAAGTAAAAATGAATAACCTATTATTTTACACTATCCTTTTAAAAAGCCTATTTTGGTACATAATGTTATAGATTCCAGTTGTTGTTTTTCAAACTTATTATGTTACTTTGTTTTGTTATCGTCTACTTTATCAACTGGCACTGTCAAAATGTTCTTGATTTCATCTTATGCGGGCTTGAAATGTAGGTATTTTCCCTTAAATTGTGCGCTATCAGGGTTTGTAAGTAGTTTTTGTCATCATGTATTACACTCCGAGTATTTTATATGTAGGTAGTACACTTATCTTGGACCATTGTTGCTAGGGTCGTAGTATGAGACTAGCATTTAAATTATTAATTATGTAAGCTTTATGTGGGACAGAATGCCGTAGAGATTAGGCATCTGCTTTTACATAGAATAAAAAAGGTCAGCTAAGGTTTTTGATAAGGATTTACTTTTACTTATATTAAGTTAATTACGAAAATAATATTTTAGATACTAGCTTAATGTTTTTCAGCTGTGATAATTAATAAAGACACTTAGGTATTTGAATTTATAAATGTTTTTATCTAACCTTTTTATAATTAGAAGGCCAAAAGACAATTGTAGGTGCCTAATATTTTATAACTACGGAACTTTAATGACCTAACTACGGTTTTGTCTTTCACGACAATTGTCTCTACTTCATCCGGAAATCTTCTTCATATCAGATGCGAGACGCTGTAACAGACACGCCGCACTTACCCCGAAGAAGGTTGTCTTGTAGCCGCACTCAAAATAAACCTTAGTATAACAATGTGTGTAACAACAAAGTTATACCACATAGGAGTTACTAGTAGTTTCTAATTTTGAAGCTATATATAGTACAAACATTACTGTAAATTATGCTGATACTGATGTAATGCTGAATAATTGTCTTTCTTATCATAAAAAGGCCTAATACGAAACAATTGTCGCGAAAGAGGGAAACATAATAAGTTCATTAATTCCGGCACATAGTCATAAAATAGTATAATAATATATAGTGCAAAATAAACATAGGTTTAAAACTATTGTGAGTAATAAGCTTTGCATGTTAAAAACAGTTTTCTTTACTTGCAATTTGAAAGTCCCTTCTAATGAAAATTCAAATGCGATTTTCTGTATTCAATTTTGTGTATGCCGTTCGAAAAAATAAGAAAATAAATTTATTGAAACTAAAAGTAAATAATGATTTTTAATACACTTTCATAATACATAAAACAAATTATTCAAGTAGTATATAACCCAAAAGTAATGCTAGTAAAGTCGCTACGCTAGTAGCACTACGTAGTACGCTAGAGTAGTCTAGAATATTCTTTTATTTCCTATTCTCAGTTTAGTTGTCGGCCTCAGTATGTATTTGGCACAGAAATCGTGTCTGGAATAAAATATAAGGGGACACTTCTATTTGAACCAGACAGGAAAAGCCTAAATAATTGAAATCAAATCAAAACAATCAAAATATTTTTATTCATGTAGATCTATATATCAAATAGATTTGACAAGCTACGAAGAACTATCGAAAAACTAAGCTCTTATTCATTAATATAGATTTGTGTTAAAATATACCTAATACATAAAATACTTAATTCATGTTTAAATTAAATTTAGGGAGAATAGAGTTACCACTAGTATATTAATACCTTCTAGACAATTCACGTAAAGTCGTCTGGTCCCAAGGTAAGCAGAGCTTGTATTATGGGTACTAGACAAATGATACTTAGATATTTTTATTTTAGATAAATACATAATATACATAGCTAACACCCAGACCAACATAAACAATCATACCTATGAATACAAATGTTTGTACCGTACGAGGAATCGAACCCGTGATCATCGGATGTAAAGCGGTGTGCAAAACCGCCAGACCATCGAGGCCGTTATAAAATAAATAGATTAAATAAATTGCTTATCACAATAACTACAAATATACACGAGGGACTGTTTCTATTTTTATTATCAATTCTACTTTTATTGCGGCCCAAGTCAGTTGTAGACCTAATCCGAAAACATTCATGTTAAGGGTAACTCCTTTTATCTATTTTACGTGACGGAGCAGTATTGGAACAATCTCATAACACTTTTAAAGAAAATCTTAAATAATTTGTCAAATACTGGAAAAGTCTATTAACTTCATTTACTTCTCTAATGAAGGGGGAAGACATCGTCAATAATGAGGTCTGACTGTTATACTCATTACTAGCAATGTAACTATCCTGAAAATGATCTTATTAAATTAACCTAATGTTTTAGGTAAATTTTTGGTTGTAAAGTACATATAATACAGTAAGTAACAAAGATTGAAACTAAATGACATTTATAGATTAAATGACCTTTTGTATCGTATTATAGACTAGCTGTTGCCTGCGGCTTTGCCGCGTGTTTTTTTTTTATTAATATAAATATATTTGTTTAATTAAAAACGTCAAATTCCACGCGGATAAAGTGTCCCAGCATGTGTATGCTGGGATATATATACACTCCAGTTGTTTCAGATATTTACAAGAATATATAGACAGACAGATATTTTTTTGATATTATTTTTTGATGTAAATACCGTAGGTATATAGTCATTTAGTAAAAAGCTGTTAATTTGATATTACAAACAGACACTACAATATTATTTATTTGTTAAGATTGCAAGGAACATTTAAAACTAATTATGAAATTTTATTATAATTATGAAACTGTAAACAAATACGACCATATCTTGTGTAGTATAGGTAAGTTTAAGTTATTACAATAAGTTGCGTTTTGTAGGTAAGGTAAGAATAAGTTAGTTCGAAATATCTCTACGTTCTCCATGGGCATACAAAAAGTAATTGAGTTTCATCAAAAGTGAAAAAGTTTGTGAAAGTTTATGATTTGTGTCCACGTTGTTCTTATATGGTGGTACTGTCCAAAACTAGCCGGGTCCTACGTGTCCCATTAAATAATATTAGTTTTATTTGTGGAGAGTCACGTAGCAACGCATTGTGCGTACGACGTGACTCAAGTTGGGTACATTGAATTAGGTGACAGTGACTCTGCGATTTTGTTCAAAAAAGAATCTTCACGTCATTACATCTTGATTTCCAAGATTGCAAACATTTGAGTGCTTAAGGATTTTTTATGGAGTATTAAATCCGTGTGCTTTAATGGTTAATGTTCGAATACCAGTGAAGGAATTATAATTTCATCAGGTTATTTAGCATATTTGCCAGGATGAACAAGATTATTTTCAGATTGTCTGTCAGCCAGGTTGAGATAGGTACATTGCCAGCTATTAAGTCTGTTAGATCTAAATATACTTATATAGTTTTTACTATAATTATTTATTCTGTACTTGAGTTTATCCTTGTACTCTTTATAAGAGGGAAGTCTACCATAAGATCACGGCGGTATAGGCTTTCAGTATTTAAGGTTTTTATTACTTCAGGTTACAAATATTTAATAACACATTGTTCTCTTGCTCCATCATTCTTCGGATATATTTGAATGAACAGAATACTCAAGATTTACATACAATACAAATCATACTGCAGCAATTAAAATAAGTTGAGATGAGGATTGTTATAATATTTTAATTCAAAGAAATATGCTTCGCAATAAAAACAATAACACTCGCGAGATATTGTTTCTTATAAAAGATATCTTATTTTTATTGCTGGTTAAGGAGCAAAGCTAATCAAACCGAGATGATAAATCAGTTTACTGTCCTCGAAAGAAGGAAGCTCATTTATTTTCTTTGTAATAAAAGTCTTATAATTACATTAAGAAAATTAATTTATTGGTTAATTTTGTTCCATTGCTTTTAAACAGTAATATTTTGATATATTACTGTCGGTTTCGTAAAAAATAATATGAAAAGCATTATGGTCTGCTTGATTAAAACCTATAAGGGATTCCATTCGTAACTTTCAAGTTACCCGATATTATAAAACATTATATTACAATTTATATTTGTGACATATTATCCGGTGATACAAACACCAATAACAGACTAAATTATCTAATAAAAAGGCGGTAAATTCTTATACTTCCACTATAAATTTAGGTTAGAGTGTAACGTCGTCATTTGACAGTAGCTTTCACTACTCCTTCTGTAACAATAATCGTGAGGATATTATTATTAAAATTTAAAGTTTCAAAGAACGATATATATACAAGTGTAGGTACATTTTTGTAAAAGTAATCCATCAAAAGAAGGTATGGTATCCCATGGGGCGTGCCAGGTTAGTGGGCCGGGTCGTGCCACCATATTTACAACCTTTTAGCTACAGATAAATAGACGAAACTTTGTCTCCGTCTACAAACTTGGCGGTATCACCATTCAATCGCTAGAAGTTGAACTTACATTACACATGTGAGTTTCTGTCTAGTTCATCGATTGAATTCAGTCTATATTAAATGCAATTGAATAATTTCTTCAGTACCAAAATTTTGCGAAGATTCCTCATCGTTGAACCGTTTATACCGATTAGACTGATTTCTACGATCTTTTAGTTTTCGTACCGTCAGCCTTTCAAAATATTTCTAGAAATGCCTAAAATAATTCTCCTGTACCGCAAACATCATAGTGAAACTCATGATGCTAGCCAACTGGGGAGAACAGTTATCATCACTTTATTTGTTATACCTGATAAAACATAAGTATGTTTTTACAAGAGGTAGACTTTTTATGTCCATGGCATGAGTTTCCACACAGAAAATAAAGACCTCTATTGCGCTTATATCAGCCGGTAAGCAATTTGATTTGTGAATTATTGCACTAATAAGAAGCCGGGATGGGTAGCTAATTCAATATAAAAGTATATAAGTATAATAGCTAAATATAAAACTCTTTAACATTTTCGCAGATCATAAAATCAACTATAGTCAAACAGAAATAGAAGTAATCTTTATTCAAATAAACTCAGTACAAGCACTTTTGAATAGTCATAGTTTTATTTCATTCTACCACTTATTCGAAGAATAAATAAAAGAATCTGCAAGATACTTGTGTTTTGCTCTTTTAAATAGATGTTTTTGAAAATAAATAATAACTTAATTAACAATATTGAAGAATTTGCTAATTTTCTAAGGCATTGTCTACTCAATTGAAATTAGTATAAAAATAGTCTAAAAGGGTAATTTTAAAATAGATTATTGATCGTACCCGACGGTTGCTAATTGGAAGCTCGTACCGTTGGGACTCTCACCTAATTAGAGGTTACAAGGGCTAGTTATTAAGATGAGTGTTAAAATATATTGGTCTTTATTTAAAAAGTACGCTATGGACTGCTTGTTTGTTTGTTATAATTTATGATATGGTAGAGAGTCAAAACATACAAATACGTGGATTAGTATTTTATGCCTACTTACAATTTTATTTATTACTTTTAAGTTTGGGTCAGAAAAACCTAAAGATTCATTACAGAGGACAAACATTTTATTATACATTATTTAAAATATACTATTTCTATCTTGGAGTCATTACAAATTTCAAGAAGACGTACAAAATTAGTTTCACAATTATTTTGTTTTTGATATTTGTTAATTTATATACATTTATTGATACAAATATATGATATGATTTTCATATATATGTTATTATAAAATAGAGTCACCCGTATCCATACTAAGATCATGAATTCGAAAGTTGTGTGTATGTTTATCTTTTAGTTACCATTTCATGACTAATAGGCGAAATGGGAGGCGTTATGTATAACATATTATATATAGGTATAAATTTAAGTAACTGTTATTCCTTTAACTGGCAGATAGCCTTTTTTTAAAATATAACATTGTCCGTTCGCATGATTTATTTTACGTATATTTTATTTTGACGTAAAATTTAAATATGATCCTTTCAGCTTGTGAAAAGGTAACAGACGAGATATATTTTGACGTTTATAATATTAGTAATGTATGAACAAGAGAGTTTAGAGTTAAACAATAAAATAAATGACAGTGGCTAATAACTAACATGAACTCATTGTATGGTACAACATAAGCACTTAAAACGAAAGTCTCCTGTCTTTATTATTATATCCTGACAGCAGTGTTTGGATTGCACCTTTAATGATGTAACTAATATGGTATACTAAATATGAAGAACGATAGCATATGATACAGTTTAATAGACGTTTATAATATAATTACTTATTATATTACAAACTTATACTTAAACTCTACTTAGCGATCGCCCAGTAAATTATAGACAAATAATATTAAACACAAACAATACTAATCTATTCTCAATTCGATGAAAGACTTGAACAATATCGAAAGAGTTTATATGCGTGTATGTGCTTCAAACACATGGTAGTGTGTGTAATATATTTTTATTGATGATTTTTATGCATAATTTAAAAAATATTACTTTCTCTATATAAAATTTTAGTGTGCCAAATATAAATAAGTATGAAATTTCTCAGTCCCTGCAATTTTGTGTTTGTTTTATACATTAATCTATACAATAATTAATTAATTAAATATATACAACATACAATTCATCTTAATATTAAAATAATTAAATTATGTCTCTTTGTCTACTTTATTCTCTTTACTACCTTTTCTGTAAAAACGGAATATATATTATATACAAATAAATAAAATTTTAGTGTATATATGTAATACATATATTTTTAAATTAACAGCTTTTCACTTACATTAAAAATTTTTTTTGTCTGCCTGATTGTTCTTTTTAATCTTTGTAAACGGCTAAATCGATTATAATCGGACTTTGACTAATAGACATCTAATGGTACAAGGCATAACTATGGCTACTTATATTTTAGAATTTTTGTTTATTATAATAAAACAAACAAATAGACAGACTCATTTTAATATTTATACTACTACAGATTAATTAAGACCGGAGAATTACGTAGGAAAGGTAACAAGATCCTTTGCAGGCTTCCTTTGCATTCATATATTGAGAGTAATAATTTTCTTTATTAAAAGAAACTAGATACTTCCTTTAAGCACTGCACTTATTGACTTACCCAACCCATCCTGACTTTGTCCAGATACTAATAACTTTATGAGTTATATGTATACTTATATAATATAACATAGATATACTAATATAGAATATTAATAAAATAAAGTATAGTTCCATATGGCCCATAACATATTGTGTAATACTATGTAATATTATGTCATCTGTGATAATACTATCATATATTTTTTATACCTACCAAATTCGAACTAGTGACCTACAAAACCTACTTGCGGTAACAAAACGAGATCGCGAGTGAGGTTCTGGAAAGTAAGTATAAATATTACTATACTCAGATACATAAACAGAAGGGATCACGTTCAGGAAATGTTTCTACAAAAATACACGAAGTTGATCCCAACGACCTTCGATTATCTTCAAGGTCTTTAATGATTACTCAAGTCAGGACGTGACTGAATTTAACAAGGGTAGAGCAGATTAGGAGCGCTCACTATTTCTATTTTCAAATTTTACTCATCCTTAAGACTCGTCGTTATTTTTATTTCTGCCATTTCTTCGCTATTCGATTTTCTAAATTCCTCAGATTACATCACCATTCGGCGTCTGCTTCTTTTGTTAGTGATAAAATGCAATCTGCTCTAAAACAAGAGCCATTTAGCGTTCAAAGCTCCTAATAAAATGTCTCCGTCCAAACAAACATGCGTCCATAGTCATAAACGGAAGGTTGGAAAAAATACGGCAAACAGCACTTAAGTCATTAATAATCGCATCGTAAAACGGAAAATTTCAATGGATATCCCATCGTCGGGCGGTTATCCATTAAATAAATTTTATTCGTGTGATAAGGCGCGGGGCGGGCGGCAGCGCGGCGGCGGCGTGGCGGGCGCCGGCGAGACGCCCGCCCTAGTCACCGCCCGCCGCTCGCACCGCGACGACGCGCGACGCATCGCCGAGCAGCGGTAGCCGCGCTAATTTTACACGCCACTACCTACCAGTCTGCCACTGGCATACAACTGTTGACCCACTGATAGTGAATCTGTGCTCTAACCATCCATGTGAGTGACTCAGCGGCGTCTCCCGCCTTACCCACCGGTGAGTATACTCCTCGCGTTTCGGATAACTTTGACATGAGGTATCTTAATCATCCGACGGGCTGTTACGGCCATTTTATAGCAAGCAACGGTTCAACCTTGACTCGTCATTATTTTGGTTGTTACAGTATTAGTACCGACTGTTTTTTTCTTTACCACTCGTGAAATATAGGTGTTGAATGTCGCAGTTTAAAAATAGCGGACGAAGAATTTCATTGTGAGTAAATCATTGGTTTCTTGTGTTTGGATTAGGGCTCGTCTAACCATTAATATTTTGGGAGTGTACAAAAACAATCCACAGAATCATGTCAAGGCTCGACACCTTGTTGTATTACAAATAGGTCTTCGGCCGCGATACTTTTCAGGGTTTCTCCCGCGCTGCTCTGTACCTAACTGCTATGTCTTGATGTTCCGTTTATACTCTTATTAATTATTATAAAAACGATATTGAACTAGATTGATACCGATACATATTTTGAAGAATATTTTGTGAAAATTGTATAATCTTATATCTTTTGAAGTATTATCCAAATAATGTAATCTACATTTTTACTATTATTATTTGTACATTTTAAATATTTTACTACTGGTAATGGATAATTAGCTAATGTTGACATACTGAAACATTATATTTAGATGTATAATATTCCAGACCCATCAATGTAAGTAAAATATATACGAAACCAAAATAATATCAAAATTAATTGCGTGGTTTAGTAGTATTGAGTTTAGAAATAGACTGATGAAAAATGTGATTATGTTTCATATTATTAGAGGAGATGTGACACTTGTCCACGTTAATTAACACAAATTTAATGATAATTGGTAGATCTTGTGGCATCGCTTTTACAACTCGATAGATTAAAATGTCCTCAGATCGTGAATGACAAAACTTCTCTATTTTACTCCTCATTAGACAAAAGTAGGGCTGGGAGATGTTTTCATGATAACGCTTAAATCGAGAGTTTTGATTGCTCCTTCAAACCGTTGATTGGTTTTCTTCATTGTGTTAAATAATTATGTGATCCTCAATAAGATAACGTTTATTGAAGTTGATCTTTTTTCTTAAATATTTTCAATATGACATTGGATGAAGTTCGAATTATTACAAATTTCACATTTTAACGTTAAATAGTGCTTATTATAAAGTTTTAGAAATAGGTATAGAATTTTACTTATTGATTGGATAATGATTGAGAAATAAAAGATATATTGTTGTGTAATTTTTTTACATAAAGAAATAAGTACTTCCGTACTAAATTGCGTACATGTGCATATTATAAGCATTCGTGTATTTCTATGATTGATGTTCAATAGAGGAATTTATTACCTACTTGTATATATTTCTATTAATGGAAGGCGATGGAATGGTACTTCCGCCTGCGCTCACGGTACATACCATTGGTAAATAATAGAACGAGAATGAAAACTGGTTAGCAAGCCCAGTCAGTTAGATGGTAGAATGGTGCTACATTTCATATCTGATCGCCGTACTAATGTTAATTTCACTTTTTTTACTTCCACGATACAAGCATAACCTAGTGCGATATAGTCTTCCGTAGTTAATTTTTCCGCCAATTAAAATTATTCTTAATTCATATCCTCTTAATAATCTTCCCCTATTAACTTTTTAACAATTTTAAATAGTCTACTAAATAAATATGTGATATTAAACATTATGAGAGAAATCTTCGGCAGTATTGTAAGATGAGCGTTGTCCAATTGGAGAACAAACGAAGAACATTGCACCGACATTTGTGGTCCGCGCAAAATCGACGGGAACTTATCCGAAACCAATCTCTTATCACCGCCTATCAGACACAAAAAGGGCAAAAGGACTCAGGGGGAGAAAGTCTCGGATAAACACAGTTACATAAATCCAAAGCGTTATTGATGGCGTGAGCGGAAATTACCAAGCCCGCCGGACGGTGCTTTCGACCTCACATTTCGCGAGATGCCGCAAACGTAATCTGTATCTTTCTTTCTGAGAAACAAAGTTGCAATTTGAAAAGCAAATTATGATTGTCTTGTGATAGTGGATACTGAAGGATTATGATTAGGAATTGTAGTTTGATATTAATCTTGTAATACATGGTTATGTGACATCGGAGTTGTTAGTGGTGTACGAGGTTAAAGATCATTAGATTGGATCTGTATGTTATTAGTTTCCTATACATAGTTACATTAAATTATATATTTTATTAGGATCAAAAGTTACTTAAATATATATGAATTAAATAAGGATGATACAGTATTCTCGATTTAAGAATGGAATTATCCAAGGATATTAATCAATATTGTCACAAAACTATGAGATAATATCGCATAACATTCAGATACAGAAAATAGTTATAAATTTCGCACATCCTGCATTTTGAAGTCTACTAAAAATTTGCATTGGCCAGTATATTAGCAATATCAATTCCTAACATGTTCAGCTGTAAGTAGCAAACTGGGAACAATGCTTCTTGCTAGTAGAGATCCCGGCAATATCGCTATACAGTACCAAACAAAATACGCAAAGAATTTCCTTATATCCCAGAAATAAGAACCATTTTTCGGTATCTAGGAAACTTTGTTATTCGCAAATTTGTACGGTGATGTAAAATATATCACATAGTGGTGTGAAAGCATTGAAAATTTAAATGAGAGTACTGTAGCTTAGTGTAATCTGCGACGTGGTTTTAGATAGTTGCAAATATGAAATATTCTTTAGGGGTTAGCTCACAATTCCATGATAAAGCTAATGCTTGATGATAAGGGGTTTCGGTAAATAAAACCGTCAATGGCTTGACTGGTACTTCAACACAGATTTTTATTGCTACTGAAAAGTATAATGAATTGAAATACATTATGCCCGTACGATTCTCGTTTATTTGATGGAATGTATTAAACGTAACAATTGGATTTATTTCTTTATTACTTCTCGGTTGGTGGAGGAAATTTTTATAGTTGAACGAATATGGAATGATGCACTCACCTGCATTAATAATATGTGCTGGAGAGGCATCAGTGGAGTACTGTGTTCAAAGAAGAAAATTAGGTCATTGTAGCAAAGGCATTATAAATTCACCAAAACATGACACCAAATGTAACTACTAGTCCTCAATACTAATAATCCGCTTCTACCCTGGGGTGGGAATTATTACTTTTGGTACTGTTGTCCTATGCACAGAAGATAAATCGTTTATTTCATTAGTGTAATTGACAATTTTACTTTTATAAGTAGAGACAATAGGGGGGGGGGGGGGGGGGGAGACTGTCGATTGACGATCTTATTCCTAGCAATGTACCATGTTAGGTTGACCTCCACACGGTTACTCTTGGAAAAATTCTTGGTGAATTTGTCTCGATGAACTAACTGACTTGACCTTATGCTCATTTTATCATCCTCCACTGGTGCACCGCTAGCGTCTGCAGGCATTTCATTATAATCCATAAAAAAATATATAGTTCGACATACATAAGATTAACAACTTCCATAATGAGTGATCTGCAACAATATAAATAGGTCGTCAACTCAGTATGGGAGATTCTTCAGTGACCAAAACACTGTTTTTTAACTTCAGCCTATTCAATCAATATAAATGGTGTTCCTGGTGTACAATTCATCGTCTTACAAACAGCCTTTGGTGCTTTGACAGCATACATCGTTAGCGCAAGTAGGAATATCATATTTACAAACAACAATACCACCATTTAATAAAAATGAACGAATAAATCCCGTAAATTTACATGTTACTTTTTTGATAAATTATATTTGTTACTCAATATCTTAGCATAATTTGATTACTTTATTTTGAGTATGTTTAATTGTTTATTCAAGTTTTTATTCTATAATACAATTATAATACAAAATATTATACTTTTTGAATAGCAACATGTTAAATTATTAAATAATAATAATAAATAAAACAAAACAACTCACACAGCGCCAACTTGTACCAAACTAACCAGAGCTTTTGTTACGGGCACTAAACAACTGATATATATCCATAAATATTTTTTTTTAAATACTTGAATAATATACATAACTCATGAATACAAATGTTTGTACCGTCCAAGGAATCAAACCCGCGACCATCGGAACAAAGGCCGAGGTCGTTATTATTAGCACGATCAATCATCATCATTTGATCAAAGCAGTAAATGGAACAACAAAGAAATTTTTAAATGATGTTACGATACCTAAAATTTTCATTGAACGTTATTCAGTCAGAATTAAATAATATTTGACTACAATCTAAACACTAAATTTGGACATACGCCAAAGCGCAACTTCTTGAAGCGAACAGGAATGATTCGTTTACTCGGCCAGAAATAAAATACATTGTACCTATGTACAGGTACGTATTATATGAATGAAATAAACTTGCACTCTACCTGCTGAAAGCATTGAGGAAAGCTGTTGCAGAATATCACGCTGCTATGGCGTGGAACACGAGTGTTTATTTTTCTTGCGATATTTGAATGGATTTTCAATTGATATTCAATTTATAGGTATCTATTGCAAAACTGTGAATGGTAGAAAATTTATGAGACTACACAATTTGCAGATGTATCTTCCTATTTCAATAATTAAAGATTGAAGTTAAATTACCATGCAAACTGGCAGAATTCGGGTCTCGTATATGTTTCCGATACTTATGTAAGAATTAAAACGACAGATTAAAATATTATATATTATATAATTATATTGTAACTAATTAAAACGGGTTGCTCTTTTGTAGTTCAATTTGGTATTAATTAATGAAATTAAATATTAAGTCTATCAAGTTAATACAAAATGGAATTGTTATTTTGGTATTCATATTTTTTTATGGGAAATGCAAAAGTATGAGCCATACAGCCATAGTGATCTGTGACATTGTGTTGGAACAGACGAAACTAGTGCATGTCATATTTCAAAAGATCAAAAAGAGCTTTTGATTTTGGTTGATATATTTTTTTCAAAGAATGTTCTCTCAACCATAAAAAATAAGCGACACTATAAGTATAAAC